CGGCCATTTTGAAAATAGGCGAGTTTTTGAACCAGGAGTCATAGGGGAGTTTTCTGTATTGATGTTAAACAGAAATAACTTTGAACGGGAATCCTATCGACAGAGGTTTTAAAACGTACCGCTATTGTTGACGGACGGACGCACGCACGCACGGACAGACAGACGGACAAGTGAGTGATTGCAAAAGCTCACCATGTGAGCTAAAAACGCGTCCAAAAAGTCAAAAAGCTCGAAGTCGTTTTGGAAAACACTTAATGCTAAATGTGACTATCCTATTCAAATAAAGGATCCATAGGATAATATTAATATTATCACTGAGCCAAAATTAGTGTCAAGGTCCTAAGAGACTACTGGGGCTCTGTCGGTAGAAAAGATAGAAACCTCCTTTTAAAGAAAATTCTAATTCACACATCATTGAGAAACTGGAAATAAAAGGGAAACTGTTTTTTCTAATGATGCAATGACCGGCTTTATATTTGACCAGGAAGATATTCAAAACTCAATTAAAACCTTAAGTAATGGTAAGGCCTGTGGTACAGACTAAGCCCCTAATGAATTTCTGAAAAATGGAGGAAAGGCGATGATTCATACGCTCCATGACATTTTTACAAAAGTGAGGTTGCTTTAAACTATGCCAGATGAATGGAAATCTGGGCTCTGGAAACCATTGCATAAGAATGGCGAAATGGAGGACATGAATAACTATCACGGAATTGACCTTTTGCGATCAGAAGTCAGGTATTTTGTTTATGGATAATGTTGTCATGTATTTCGTCTTATTGGTGTGACGTCATATAGAAAAGATATTAGACATGATGAGGAGATGAAATGGCTGACACGTGGCAGTTTTAAGCTAAAAATGTTATTGATTCTTTTATGAAAACCATGGGTCGGATATTTACCAGGTATGCCGATTTGACTAGATCATGAGTATATCTTTATATTTGTGTAGTTTCGGTGTAATTCATACTAAACATCGATGCCTATAAGCACCCCCCGTTTTTGTCAAAATCGGGGGCGCTTAGCCGTTATCTAAATCATGTAAGTAAGATCTTGGACTTGGCATGTGCCTAGCATGAATGTTGATCTAGTCAAATCGAACACTTCCGTGAAAAAATAATCAATAAAGTACGAAATCAGAAGATTAGGGTCTCTCAAAATCAAAAAGCTATAACAGGGTGGCCTAATTGTGACGTCACTACAAGATAGAATTCATCCAGTGATCGCAAATCGTCAATTACTATTATAAACTCAAATGTTAATAAGTTGTTTACTCCCTTCTTGAGCGCAAAATGATGTTTTTCTGTGAAGAAAAGAACTTATTTGGTGATCTACAGGGTGCGTTTCGCAGTAATTTACGTTTAGAGAATCACATATTTGCCCTGAAAGGTCTCTGTAGTATTCGTAAAAATAAACGCAAAAATACTTTGGCTTTTCTTGACATGACTAAAGCTTTTGATGTTATCGATATAGATCTTCTTTTCATGATACTCTGGGAAAAAAATATCCAGGGTAAAACTTGGAGATTGCTCCGGGAATCCTATAAAGATGTCAAAAATAAGGTCTTATTTGGCAAGTCAAATGGTGATAATTTTGATAATGAACTTATGAAAAATCTGAATTTCAAAAATGACACACCAAAAGCTGAACGCATGCAAGGCATGTTGTGTTCAACTCTGAGTAAACACTGTAATGCAAAACGTATAAGCTTCGGTGATATTATATATACATTTTAAAACAGTTAACTAACTCTCTTCGAAATTCTGATAAATTTATCCATAACATATGGGATGATAAAAATAATGAAATTAATGGCAATAAATTGAGGCAATATAGACTGTACAAATATGGTGTTTGCAAGGAAGGGTATTTGGCCCTACCAAAGCATCACCGAAGGTCACTCGCTAGATTCAGAACTGGTACTTTACCCTTAGCAATTGAAACAGGGCGCTACACAGGTATACCATTACACGAAAGGAAATGCTTATTATGTGACATGAATTGTATTGAAGATGAAAAGCATTTCTTATTAGAATGTAGCCATTATGATGATCTAAGATGTGATTTTTATGAAAATGTTAAACAGAAATTGCCCTATTTAGATGTAACATCAGCCAATTCTACACTTCTTTTTGTCTCCATTATGAATTGTACTTCACTCCAAAGACCATTAGGAGCTTTAGTTTATAATATGTGCAATAAGAGATCCCTTAATATTGATAGGCTATAATCACTAAATGAGTATGCATGTCACCTAAGTTTCCTTTATAAAATATTTATTTAAAATGTATCTAGTCAGAAACTCCTTGGTTTTATGATGCCTCTTTTTAGTGCTTTGAGCTATCGACCTTGGGGAAGATGGTCTCAATTCAGTACTGCAGAGGTGAATATTATCTATGGGTTTCTTGTTTTATTTATTCACTGCTCATGCAACTCCCATTTAGTGCAATATATGTATTTATTATTCAATATGCATCTCACATTTAGTGCAATATATGTATTTATTGTAATATTTGTCTCCAACCATATGCATTATGTATTTCACATTTAGTGCAATATTCATATTAATTGTAATATTTGACCATATGCAATATACTACTTACATTTAGTGCAATATATGTATTTATCATGCAATATGCATCTCACATTTAGTGCAATACATGTATTTATTGTAATATTTGTCTTCAACCGATGCATTGTGTATTTCACATTTAGTGCAATATTCATAATTATTGTAATATTTGACCATAGTGCAACATGCTACTTACATTAAGTGCAATATATGAATTTATTGTAATATCAGTCTTCGTCCATATGCATGATACATGTCACATTTAGTGCGATATTTGTATGTATTGTAATTTTTGACAACATGCAACATGCTACTCTCATTTAGTGCAATATATGTATTTATTATGCAATATTCATATCACACTAGGTGCAATATATGTATTTAATATAATGATTGACAATATCATTCCATGAACTGCTTATTTATGCCAAACTGATTAACCAGACTGAATTTATATCATTGGTTATTAATGTATAAATTTTTACCAGGGACATTTTTTGTCTCTGTCTTTATGAATGTTGACCCAAGCTGCCCATTGGGGGTAGTAATGGGTGACACTCAGATCTAATGTATACTGTGTCTCATAAGTCGGCACCGGCTGGTGATGTTACAAAATGTTGTTTTTATTATGTATTTTATATGTATATTGTAATATCAGTGACACAAAAATAAACTATTTTAAACTAAAACTAAAAACTAAACTATATAATTCAATGTTTGTACCTGCAATTTTGCATGGTTGTAGTACCTTCGTATTGAACAAATCAAATTGCAAAACACTAGTTACCTTTCAATATAAGATAGGAAAATCGCTATTGCAACTTAATTGTAATCCTGCTAAAGAGGCCCTGTATGGTGACTTGCGATTGAGGCCTATATGTAATGTCATAGAAAAAAGAAAAATTGACTATTTTATCTACTTTAGCTCTCTTAAAGCAGGACTCCACAAGAATATTTTCAATCATATGTTTGAGGACTTTAAAGAGGAAAATACAGCCACCTAGCTGGTCTTTTTTTCTAGCATTAACGATATTTTGACCAACCATGGCTTAGATGATGTAATATACAGAGAGGACACAGATTGGTACTCGTCATATTTGAAAATACCTAATGATTTGTTACGCAATACATGTTTTGAATCGATAAACCAGAAAAAAGTCACTTACAGTATAAAGTAATTTAAAAAACGCACTTATTTCATGAGAGATGATTTGGTCTGGCCATTGATCTGGAGAGATGGGGTATAAGTGATGGAATGTGTTATTTTTGTAATATGAGCTGTAAAGGAACTACTGATCATGGATGTTTTACTTGCCCAAAGTTTAAAGAGGAAAGGTATATATTTTTATAATAGCATTGAGAATAGACTATCACACATTTATGATTATTTTAAGACATGAATTCCGAAAAATGGTTTAGAATGGGTGCTTGTGGATGCGGCCTCTCTTAGGTCAACAAGGTTATATTTTCGACGCATGCTCAAAGCAGTTTATCAAAAACATATATGTAGCACCAACAAGTTAATGTATTGCAAATGTTTTAGTTTTGTTTTTATATCTTAGGTTGCAAATGTTTTAAGCTCTGCTTAAGAATTGTGCTTGTACACATGCAGTGTATGTTTTAACTTCTGCACTAGCTAACTATGTGCCACTGATCTAAAAGTGATTGCAATAAACTAATAAAAAATAAATAACGTGGCTTTACCAAAGTTTTCTTTTCTCTCTGTCTCTAATGTCTACTATGGAATTTTCTAATATTGTAGATTTCTATAGTTAATATTTTGATTTTAAAAAAATCAAACAGACACATTTCTGAAAATTTCTTTCTTTTAATATATCTAGTCTTTAAAAACTATAAAAATAATACTTAAGTAAAGCCATATTCATAATGGTTTATAATGGCAGCCAATGGGGATTTTGCAAAATTCAAACTCCAATAACCTTTGAACAAGGTAAAAGAAAAAAATCATCCTTTTGGTTTTGAAGATAATCATGTTTTGTAACAAACTAGGAATATGGGGTTTATTGCTCTAGAACTGGTATAAATTAGGATAAACTTCTTTTGAAGATTGATAAATTAACATGGAGCTCAATTTAAATGTGCAAAATTTTGAGGCCTGCTATTATAAAACTGGGGCCACTTTTCAACACCACTTGAAATTAGTTGACAGATTTGGTTCAAAGTTAATATACTGATGCTTTGGTTATATAGGGTCTCTGTTCAAGATGACACTATCATCGCTTTTCATAAATATAGTAGTTAGATATCACTACTATATGTATCAATGATACGTTGGTCAAAATATATATAGCAAGTGCAATTGAACAGCTAAATGGCCCCACTAACTGTACTACTTGAAGTAACATTGTAGGAACTATAAAATTTCATTTTTTATATATAGCTCGTTTGTAAAATCACATATAAGTACCTGAAATTTCATGGTGTTTCAGTGGATACATTTGTGCAGTATACCAGCCACCTCGGCCAAAAGATTCGCCCGGAAATTCGCCACTCCCACTACCACTACTGCCGTAATCTATCAAATCTTTTTCGTAGTTGTAGCAACTTCCGATCGTCAAACTACAATTAAAGGTTTTCTTTAATCATCTACAATTAAAAAGCTGTTAAAACGCCACCCTCAAATCGTCATTGACCATGCCCAGTATCAAGCGATGGTAACAGTCGTAGTCTTCGCATTTAAGAAGGCGGGCGGGAAGTGGAGAGGTTAAGCTACCGTATAAAATCCAAAACGCAACTTAAACGTATCAATCGGCCCTATACAAGTACATCTAGAGTTCACACATAAATAGCCGTTCAGCTCTAGTGTTTGTTTAGACTACACCATAGCTTGTAATGATTACATAGTATCCCATTGATGAAGTTCAATAGCTGGTTTTCTAATACATATTTTAAACGAGCTCGTTTCGTAAGATTATGGGAGTTAAATCATGCGTAACATACATCATCTTCTTCAGAAAGAATTATACTCTGCATCGAAATCAAAATTGCAAGGATAGTATTCAACAGACATGAGTATAATGATTCCCGTTGATAGCAACGTGAAAAATTAAAAACTCCCGTTCTAAACACGCAACTTTGAAGTTGAACGGGTATCTGAAGTAGACTAAAGCGATACAATCCTATGTTGATTCAATGTACTTACGTTTACGTATACGTTTTGAAAAACCGTATTTGCTTAACCTCTCCAGTATCGATTTCGATACGCTTAATTTTCATCAAAATAACTACTTTATAGATTAAACCAGACTTATATGACATGGAGACTCCGGTCGACTATGATCAGTTGTTCATATATTGTGCTTAGGCGCCACAATTAGACGATGTCTCCAACGCTTAAAGGAAAGGTTACTGGGATTTTGGATTTAATGGTCATCTTTTGAATGGTAACAATATAATTTGAAAAAAATATAGATACTTTCATCTATATTGTTATAGAAAACACATCAAACACTTGTTTTGTTCTTGGTATCATGTTTCCAGAGTGAAATGAAACATTTTTCCGAACCTCATTGGAACAAATCGACATAAACACAACATGTTTAGGTCTCTAAATATTGTAATTGTACAAAAGCATTTTTGGTTGATTTTAAAAATGTATCTTGTTAATGAAATAAAAGGTTTATCTTGATTTTTATCTATTTTGGGGGGGTTTGTTTTAATTTTTTGAATACTTTTTTAAAATCAACCAAGAATCCCTTTGTATAACTATAATATTGAGAGGTCCAAAAATATGTTGTATATGCTATTTTGTTCCAACGAGGTTCGGAAAGACATTTTAATTCATTCTCAAGAATTAGTAGAAAGGAGCAAAAACAATTGCACTATGAAAACAAAACATGTTAACAAAAACATTTACAATAAAATATTTCTAAATAATTTTCGCATTTAATTGTTGTCAATCAGTCAACATTACATAAAAAAACGTGTTTTTACAGAATGTTTTCAATGATTGGTTTAAGAGAAAAACAATGTTGACTGATTGGCAACAATTTAATGGAAAAAATATTTAGAAATATTTTATATAACAGGTACTGTTCTTGTTTACATTTTTTTAGTGCAATGTTTTTGCTCCTTTCTACCAATTCTTGAGAATGAAATAAAATGTCTTTCCGAACCTTGTTGGAACAGAATAGCATACTAGTATACAGCATGTTTTTAGACCTCTCAATATTAAAGTTATACAAAGGAACTTTTGGTTGATTTTAAAAAAGTATTCAAAAAATTAAAACAAAATCCCCCCAAAATAGATAAAAATCAAGATAAACCTTTTATTTCATTAACGAGATACTTTTTTAAATCGACCTTTTAGGTACAATTACAATATTGAGAGACCTAAACATGCTCTGTTTATGTCGTTTTGTTCCAATGAGGTTCGGAAAGATGTTTCATTTCACTCTGGAAACATGTTACCAAGAAAAAAACAAGTGTTTGATGTGTTTTCTAAAACAATATAGATGAAACTATATATCTTTTTTTCAAATTATATTGTTACCAATCAAAAGATGACCATTAAATTGACGATGTGTTAAATTTTTGGATTTTTTTATGACTGGTTTAAGAGAAACGTGTGTTCAAAAAGTTCTCCATATCGATACCACTCCTTTGGTATCCCTGTATTCCTGATGTGTTTATAATAGCCAATATCCACTTTAGAATACTTCATTCTATATAGAACTTTAAAATCCTTATTTTAACAGCAGAATATCAGACCATGTTTATTACTGAAGGGGTCGTCTCATCATTACTGCATGTAAATGCTTTGATGAAGGAAAAATTTTAGAAACTTAGCATTAAATCGTAGAGAAGAACTGAAAATTATTTTATGTAGGTAATTATACGTACACAAGAAATTGGCTAGCTAAAAGTTTGAAATTTTTGCCGGGAATATTAAGCATTTTACGATAATTTACGATATTCCTGATTGTTCTGACCCAGGGGTTCTGACCCGACCCAAGATTGGTAAGTAGGTGTTCGTGACCCGACCTGAGCCTTCCGACCCGAGTTTCATGTCGACTTCGGATCGATGTGATGACAGCCCTAGTAATAAACGGTGGTAATAATACCAATAACGTCATTTCTGCGGTCAAAATAGTGAAATATTGGACATTGGGCCTTGGGCCCTTGGTCCAATGTCTCACTATGTTGCCATTTGTTTCTTTATCAAATAAAAACTTTAGAGCATAATAAACATTATTTTTCGGACACCCTGTATATAAAAAAAGATTTATTTCCTTAATTATTTAGAAAGTTATATCTAAATTGATTGGTGCATCATGTATATTGATTAATTTGTTAGAACCTGTGTTTGTTTAACATCCACATGCTTTGTTTTAATTTTCTTTTGTTTTCAATAAGTGACTTTTATTACTGAACCTGTTAAGCTGAATCCTAAAATAATGAGAGAATTTTATGAAAGAGAAACAAACGAACCCGAACATCGACTTTTGTTCATAAAGTGATATCGCTTCTTCGAAATCCTCCGTTGGACTCACTTCTACGCCAACAACCATTAATCCAGACGGCCCAACTGGAATAAAAGAAAATTCTTAAGCAAAATGAAACATAAAACTCGAAAGCAACCAAACGAGCAGGTTCAATTCTAAACAAAAGTAGTAATGACCAGAGAGGCAGAAACTAATTAAAGAAAAGCATTATTTTATGGTCATCGATATTTATGTTTTATAAAGCACCGTGGTTCAAAGGTTTGAGTTAGACCACTGGTGATCCACTCGATTACGCTGGTTACCGAAATGGTTCGTTTCGGTACTAACAAAATGTCGGAACATCGAAGCTAGGATTTTTCTTTTTTCCTTATTTCACATGTTACGATAGTGAGCAACATTATATTCTACTATATTCATCTATAGATTAATTTATAATATATGCTTGCTGTATATGTTGAGCTATTCTTTATTAGAGATCTTAGCTCAAGGTCACAATGACATTATACACTTTTTAAAGACTTCTCACGACATTTTTAACACAAACGTGTATCAGTAACATATGTTTAAAAAAATTTACACATTTGCGAACAAATAGTTCAGAAGACAACAGAATCGTCGATTTAATTTGTCACTTAAGTTACAGAAACGGTATTTCGAAAAACAGATAAGAGCTGCACTTTTAACCCAAACCGTTTCTGTAACCTAAGTGAGGAATCAAATCGACGATTCTGTTGTTTTTCGCAAAAATGTACATTTTATAAAACATATGATACTGATATACGTTTGTGAGAAAAACGTCGTTGGGATTCTGCCTACAACCACGCCTAACCATCGACAAGGTACAGTGACAAAATATACCGTAGTACACTTTAGATGTACGATGTCACAATTTAACCGATTTGAAGCAAAGACGATGATGCAGGTGTGATGTAGGATTTGAAAAAATTATCTTGGAAATACTTGAAAGAGTTCATGTTTAGTTTCGTGTGTATTCGTTAAGGACGACATTCAACTTTCTAATTACGTTAAAAGATTTTCGAACAGTGCTCGATTTTTTCGTAAATTGATCGGTTGGAAAATTTCAGGTTTTTCACATTTGCTTTGATCATTATTTCCCTTAGAATATGTTTCTCTATACTACACAATTTAGGAACGGTGGAGATTAATAAATATTCAAGTATTTATTGTTATTCATAAAAATCAGAAATGTGCGTTGTCAACTCGAATGTACGTTGTCCAGGTAATTGAATGATTTCATTTCTAAATTCATTAAGATTTTTTATGAGTAACAAGTGATCTTTAACGAATATGTTCAAGCATTTTTTTTGCTTTTTCATTTCATGAAAGTATTGTTGTGTTGATGGTTAATTTGTGCCCATTTGGTGTTAGCTTCCAGCTCAAACTCCCATCCAGTGTCTCGGAATAGAATATGTTGAAGACTAGTACTGCCATGGAATCTGCTTCCAGCCTGTTTGATTATTTGGCGTCTGTACCTTTTATCTGTTTACCTTGATAGATAGATCTACCGATTTATACTAGCTTGTTGAATATGACTTTTTAAAATCCCGTTTATGATATATCTGGAAAGTTTCAAGAGTTCACTCAAATTGAAGTAATTCTCTAATTGTTCTGTTTCAATTTTAAATGCATCTGACTCCCCTGTCTGTTAGTGTTATGAAAAATACGTTGTCTTTATTAGGGCTAACTGTGAATTGAGTAAGTTCAATGGGACAACGTATGACGTACATTCGAGTTGATAACGTACACTTATGATTTTTTAAATTATAGCCAAAGTGATAATGCTTAGTAAATCTTCTTAAAGAAACATATTCTCATGAAAATCTTCGTAACTCTTAGACGACAGGGGAGGAAATGATCAAAGGAAATGTGTAAAAACACAACCTTTTCCAACCGACCAATTATATGGGTAGATTGACTACGAAAAAAATCGAGCACTGTTCGAAAATCTTTTAACGTTATTAGAAAGTTAAATGTTTTCCTAAAGGAATACACAAAAAAATCAAACATGACATCTTTAATGCATTCCTCAGATTATTTTTTAAAATCTACGTCAAACATACATCATTGCCTTTGCTTCAAATCGGTTAAATTGTGACATCGTTCATCTAAAGTGTACTACGGTATATTTTGTAACTGTACCTTGTCGATGGCAAGGCGTGACAACGTGTGAAATAGCGAAAAAATCGTACATTCGACGTCTCGACATTTTGTTACCGAGACGAACCGTTTCGGTAACCAGCGTAATCGATTGGATCACCAGTGAGGACTCCACGCGGATTACCCTGGCGCAGAATATACAGTGTAGTTATAAACTACCGCTCTTTTAAGAAGTAAAGTTGAACGAATGCAAGGGGTACACACGGGTGGAATGGGGATTTTAATCTCCAATAAAGATTTCGATGCATTCCACCTTGCTTGCTCATACGGAATGGGATATTCACGTGTTAATACGGAATGGGTCTAAGATCTTTATATGCACGGGAAAATCACAATTAATATGCCGAATGAAAATGGACGTATTTTGAAAGCAAACATGTAAAACAATAGTGTTTTGCTTACCGAGTTTGACCGAGTTTACACTGAATCTTGTTAACTAGCTGTACAAAGTTCATAATCCCAATTTAATTATGGGAATCAAATTCCCCTTAATTATTGATAGTGAAGTGTTAACTATTCCGCCCTGCCATGCCCAAAAGAACCCCTCATACACAGATGGGGTCAATATCATAATTTACATTATTTTGATCAATTTCAAATTTTGCATACTAAATCATGTAGGCTTGTCAGATCATAGGCAAAGCTTTACTCCTATCAGTTATCATACATTCATCAAAATAACCCGAACCTGTTTTGGAAAATGCCTCGACCACGTAAGAAGACGAAATTAGAATTTATGCTGACAAAGAGGAAGATGAAGCTGCCTTTTACAGTAATGAAGCTGATATGATTTTTATAGTTGAGGCATCATAGCAATCTTGTATATCTATTTACAAACATTCAATAGTTATATGATGTGAAATAATAAATGAACTAATAGTTGTAATCGGTTTGAAGGTTTATTATCCCATCGAACGAAGTTCGGAGGGATATTGGAAACGCCTCCGTCCGCCCGTCTATCCGTACGTCCTACCGTATGTCCGTTCGTCCAGGCAATAATTCAAATACAGTTGGCCCGGTTTTGTTCATATTTTCTACACATATACCCTATAAGGGTAGAAGTTCTGCTCAGAAGCTGATTTTCAAAATGGCCGCTCATTTAAAAATGACAATTTGGCTAGTGAGCAACCATTTTGAAAATGGTGGCCATTTGTCTAGTTAAAATGTTGAAATTTGTTTTAAATGTAGCCCTATCACGTAATCTTTGTTTAATTGTCATTTCCACATCGTATTCACTATTCATATTAAGCAAATATTTCATTCTATGGAGGGCGACACCTGTTCATCTTTCAATGATTTTTGCAGCATGTATTGCCCGCAGCCCGAAGATTTTCTTTGGAAACGAAGTTAGCCGAGGGAACCACGAATGTGAAGAGGACGTTTCTAATTGGTCAAAAAGAGAGGCTCGGCATTCTCCGTCAGATTGAATCGGCAAAATTCGGTTGTACGGCTTACCTTCGGTTGTATGGCTTACCTTCGACTGCATGGCCTTACCTCGATTGAATGGAAAAGATGCTGTCCCATTTTTGTAGAATGGTATGGTAGGCCTATTTGTGCCTTTTCATAAATTTTTCTGTTTTTCGCCCTCGCAGTAACCACCCTTGGTATACGCAGCTAACGAAAATTGACCGGTACGGGTCAAAAAGCTGGACCGGTACGGGTTAACGGTTTTATTTGAATTTAAAACGGCCATAACTTGCTCAATATTGACTTCCTCGTGTCTATTTTGAAATATATAATGCCTCCCAATGCTTTTAGGTACCCCAATTTTTTACAGATTTTTAAACGGACCAAAACTCTCTAAATGCGCATTTATGCTCTTTTCTCTCGAGAACGACTGTCTCATTTTCACGATAACTTTTATTTAGTACTTCTAACATATAAGATCTATTTTTCCCCATCAAGGTATGATGTAAATGACATGCTATTTACATCGTGTGAGTTTCAATGACGCGCGTTTGATTTTATAAAAAATGCCAAACTTTGTGACAAAGAATTTCATCCTGCTTGCAGCGAGAGGACGGACCGGTTCGGGGCAATAGCATGAACATAATTTAGGAATCTTTATACATGGCAGTAAGGGCCGTTGAGAAGGGGGACCATAATCCCCGGGGACCATAATTTCTTTCGCAACGGTGCGCAGACATTTCCAAGGGAAATAGAAGTTGCAATCGTGACGTCATCGGGCAATAGTTCAAATGTTTATTCCCGCTTCTCACTTTTTGAGGGAATATATTTTTCAAAGGGAAAGACCATTGACCAATAAGGATTACTGTTACATATTAGCTATGAAATAATGTGTTATACATGTAGTTACCTGGTTGAGGAATGTATTTGTACGATATTTCTGCAGTGCCAGCTCCCTCAAACTTAGGGCCAAATTCATTTCCAATAATAGTATTCGAACACACATATTTCTTACATAGTTGTGTTTGACTATTGTATTCAACTAGGTTGACACTCGATGCGATCCTGTCGCTAAAGTCCGACGGTGGAAATTCACTTGGACTGGACGCGATACAGACTTGATCGTTGATACATTCGTCGATAGTGGCATGCGTTTTCGATTCACTTGAAGTAATGAGTCGATTACATGAGTCGACATTAAGGTCACCAGTGACGACTAGGTCATCAAATATGCTCAGACAGGAACCTTCAACAAAACGTTCATGAATTAGGGAGTAATAAAGCATGTAAAGATATAAGTATAAACTATATACAATGGAAATCGAATTTTCAAATGATAGTAATCTGAGGATGTGCTTCATAGACTGTAATTTTCAGTCTGGCGTAGAATGCCACTTTTCACAATGGTGTTACAAAAACGGTTCCTGTAACAAGATGGCGCGCCTTCGGCCGATGATCCTATCTCCATTTTAGTGGGCAATCTTACATAGAGAGATTCATCCATAAATTAAGGAATACTCCTCCATGATACAAATGTACTGAGAAATTACTTTATTTTTGTCATTTTGAACTCCTTTACATAAATTGCAGAGCTACATATTAGACTATCGATATGTTAGTTCTCAAATAAAAAATCTAAACATATAATTACTTTTAAGAAATGATCGCTCACATCACTGAGGCTAATATTTTTGCGCTAATGTTATTTCTTTTTGAAATTGGGCTAATGAAAGTGTTATTCTACGCCAATATAATGTGTACCCTTATCATACTTTCTGAGTAGTCCTTGGCATGTACACTGATGCGTATATCGTCCCCAACAGATAATGTAACGCCGTTTGAAGTAGAATCTACGTAGTTGTCCAAGGTATATGCGCCTGTTGGGTCCACTTTCTTTAGAATCGATATCTCAAGATCCAAATCAACTTGAAAGGCTTCTTTCGAATCTATGCCGGAGAAACTAATAAATGAAAAGCTGAGATTAACCATAAAATGATATGTAATAACAGCAAAGAGGGACAAGACAAGCCATGTCCAAAATGGTAGAATAGTCCAGTTTTTAATTAATGATTTAGTCATTGGTTTTGAATGCTATCTTGTATCGTGACTTTCATACCGGTGTAAAAGGGTGGGAGGTCAAATTATGGTCCTACTCTCCATTGATTTATATGGTGATCTCCTACAACTCTTTCCCTCATTATCTTATACGCAATCAGGGCCAGGAAGGGCCGTTAAGAAAGGGGACCATAATCTCTGGGGGACCATCATTTCTTTCACACCGGAGTTCATACTCAAGTATTTCAGAGTATACGGTAATCTTTTAGATATAAATATAGTGATCCCAATGCCCGTCCTAAAGCAGGCAATTTGCAACATACGTATTTTTCATAAAATTAACGGACAACGGAGACAGACCCCTGGCCCGTTAGTGCAGAATCACTCGTTGGCATAGGTTGCGCCCTCAAAATCAAAATCCGAGATTGCCGTCATCCAAATCCGCCTTTGCAAAGGTAAGTATAGACAGTTGTGTTATTTTCGGGAGTTTTCAAACCTGAATTAAATTGCTTTCATTAGAAGGGTCCCTCGTTATTAATACTACAGGGTATAAAAAACAACAGCACCCCCTTCTCCAGCAAAAAGTCCTTAATGTTACATATCATGTCATACCTCAATTGAACGATAAAACTATATTAAAAAAGCTACACTGTTTCAAGTATATTGTAAGATTTTGACAGAGACATACACAACAAAAATTGATCAACACTGTCGTACATTTTATGATATATGTCAACGGAAACAAGTTAACCCTGCTTTCCTGAACCTGGTTTCCAGGATTCGCCTCGCACGCCTTCGACTCTCTCCCTTAGTGGGGGAATTGTATAGCAAGCCTAATTTTGAAGACATCTAACCCTGACAAAGTGCAGGAGATATTTTTCATATGCTTATAATGAGAAAAACGAGAGCTTATTTTTTAAATGAGAAAAATATTTTGAAAAAATAGGACATGGGCTACTTATCCATTAATTATCTATCGGGATAGCCGAAATGACATTTTTATTATTCTTTTGTGTAGGTTAATATAATATTGTTCTATGTACAACATAATACAACAAGGAATGTGTGATCTAACAATACGCCCAGCCAAAAATTAAAACTGTCTAGAATTGTTTGTTAAAAAAATTCACTGAAAATTATGATTTAAAATAATATAATTTTATAATTCACACAAATATTTCAGCTAATTAGGTCACAGTATTTCTTATAACTACATGGCAAGGAGAATTGGCTCCAAGGATCGAAACTCGATATTTTCCAACAATGAAAACGTCGATGTCGTTAATTTCTGAAAATAAAACCGACTATAAATTCAAGATAAACAGTTCAAAAGATTCGAACTGATATTTCGATCATTTCTTGTGAGTTTTGGAATTTCTCGTTTGGAAATAAAGACAAAATTCACGATCACGTTGAAGTGAACAAAATGGCGGCTGTTTGAATTCGAATTTTGTATCACGACAGGTCCATCCTCGACTACATGGCATGCTTCTTATCTAAAAATGCACCCAAGGTCATTTGAAGATTACATCAATTTCAAAAACTTGGCTGTCAACTTGGCAGTTATTCATTCCCTCGACTCCTTTATATTCAATCAAAAAGAAGACGGATACACATCAAAACGGAGAAGTCGCAATTCAAAGAAGGGAGATTAGTTCTGTTTAAGAATGAACTGGCTCAAATGGATTGAATATCTGAATATGTAATCTGAGGAAATTAAAGTTGATTATTAGATTCAGGGGAGAAAATATGATTTTGTGACTTTAAAGTGATATCGTTTTAAATATTGCAATGTGTGAAAAGAATGCTCAAGACTCAATGCGTTGTTGCTGATTCAGTCCACTCGGGTGCTGTTTCCCGAACTGAAAATTTGAAACAACGCCTTGGAAGAATGGTAACCAGTCCACAAAGCACCGAGCACAGGGCTCAATCTTTAATTCAATACCTAGACAATGTGTGTCTGATTCCAGCCAATCTTAACACAGTTTTTCACATATAGAACAGTGTTTGAAATAATCAATAACAGGGTTGTTTCAAACAACAATTGCAAAATGTCTTGTTGTCAAGTTGGCTGTTCTACGTATCACCTCTTGTATTTTCGATCAAAGAGCATGAATAAAATTAGATTCAGAGGGAGAATGTACACAATCCAGTACAGCCGTCAACAGAGTTAATTGATACTTTGCCAAGTTGCCCTTGCAAAAAGATTCCTTGAAAATATGTTCTTTTTTGTGATGCTTTTATATTTTGAGTGCCATGGTTGAAAATATGTTGCAGAGTGAAAAAATTTAAGCCCAAGACGCACTGCATTGTGGCTACTTAATTCCACTCAGATGTTGTTTCCCGCTGCGCGGTCATGCAAAGATTTGGAAACAACATCTTCATGGAATGGTTCAGCACACAATGCACTGAGTCCAAGGCTTAAATCCTCAAAGTAAAGTTACTATTGTGGAAATGCATCACTAAATTAAAATATAGTAATGAAAGAAGGAAGTGTTAGTCAATTGTCTCATCTACAAATCTATTAAAATCTCACGAAAAACGAGAATTAGCGAAATTTCACAGATAAAAAGGTATTAAATATATAAAAACTACTATATAAGAATTGTCTCTGTATTATTTTGTAGCCATATCAAATACACCTGATAATCTTTCGAAAGAAAGCCTCCTTTTCGTTTTTAAGGGATAAATTGAAATACGAATCCAAGAGACGGCGAAATGGTACACATGCTTACATTTACATTTTACATGTATAGTAAGTATTAGGTAGAAAACTACCAACATTAAGCTCAACTGACATGCATGTTAAATTGAAGTCCTAAAATATTAAATGCTATTCAAAAAATATATGCTTGGGAAAAAAGCTACAAAAAATATATTGCAATACATGAAAAGCATTCATTTTAATTTTCTTTTTGGTTTTTAAATTTTGGGACAAGGACATTGATTGAATTAGTTGGATGAGACGGATAAAAAAATTTTTGTTAAAAAATATTTTCTTAAAGCAAACAATGGCACCAATGCGATCATTTCTGAACTCTTTTTATCCAGTTTTAATGAGAAAAAATACGTTAAAGAAATTGCCTTTCTGAACTCTCATATAAAATCGAAATAATAGAATACACACCTTGTTGGCGAAAGTGATGTTGAGATAACACTTCCGATTGCGGTTTCGATGTTGCACTGTGCAGTTATAAAGAGAGAATCGCTTTTTGACGTTAATATGTCTACGTATTTCTGAATCAGCAGGCCAAAAACGACGTATGGTTTCTGTAAAATAGCATAAAGCAAACTTTTAATAAATCTGAAAATATTCACAAATCTTCTTTACTCCATGCTTAGCTCTATTAAAAACCCATCATACGACGGACAGTTTTTTAAATGAATACTTTACTTGTAAGTACAGTTATCACTGGTATACTCTTATATGCTTTCTTTCTTCTTGCTATGTAATGATGAAACAATTTTTGGTCATTTCCCTTTGGCACTTGCGCATACAATACATATAAATATAAAATTGCCAAACCTCTCCCAGTGTCTCTCCACATTTTCCTACAAGCCCCTCATCAATTATGAATTCAGTCCTGATAATCATTCTATCACTAACGTCGGTGCTAACATTAACCAGTCCTGTTTCGCCACTTTTGATGCCTTCACTTGTGGTCCATTCACATGTATCACTTAAATGTGTTATATTAAAGGAACCTACCAACAAAAGACAGTGTACGGTTGTGTAAATGATTTTAGACAGTCATATCCTTGACCATAAGCATTGTGCCTAGCCCTAAGTGGTGTATTCGTCCTTATTTCCCCAGCTCTTCTGTCTATATCTTTGAATAAATGTTCAAGAAGTATCAACACATTACATTCATAATATTCAAATGATTTTTTAATTAAGTCAGAGACGACATTAAGAAACATTATCAAATCGAATAGTGGAATCAATTGGTGCAAGGCCCCCATAGGGACCTTGCGTTTTCATACTAAAGTTTGTTTTGGAGTTTTTTCTTATTGTTCTATGTATTTCAAGTCATTTTAGAGACAGGGCCCTTTTTCTAAAGCCCTTTTTAGAAAAATAATTGAGAATACAGAGGATACCTATTATTACTGCTTTTTAACACAATGTTAACAGAAAAATCAAATTTCAAACTCCTTATCTCACTATAATTCACCAATGAAGAATGGAAGTTGAGCAACCAAACTTGGCACAAAGTTGGACCCTAAAATAGGCTCTAATCTGAGGTGTTTGATCTTTTGTGAAATCATATATTTGCCTAGCAACCACATAGCAACCATCTAAAATATCATATTTTACAATATAAATCCACTTAATATATGCTAGGATGCTATAAGACCATTACAAAAAGTCTTCTTATCCTAAAATACAACAATTCAAACATATTTACAGAAGCAGGCCTGTCAACTGTCCTGCAATTTGCGTATTTGTCACGCATTTGCTGAAGAATTTGAAGTCACGCCAGTTATTTTTGCGTGACAGAAAATGTCACGCAAATACGCATTTTACCTGGTAATTGTCAAGCAAAAATCTTTTGTAGAAAATTTTCTAAAAAAGATCGTCTACACAGCAAAAATACGAACGACGGGAAAAAAACGTACGCATTTCGTTCGGACTTTTCACGCGAATTGCGGATATGTCACGCATTCCGTTCGAAATTTTTCGTACCTTTTTCAACATTTCCAAGTCACTCATGTTAGATGTTCCCAAGTTGACAGGCCTGCAGAAGTGACATCATCATGTTGCATAGCAACAACATGGCAACAGGCTACAATGCCCATTTTGACATTTGCACACCATATTCCTATTATATACTCACTTGTATGCCTTTGGATCCCTTCCACATTATTTCTTAACATACAGAAATTGTATTTAAGCATAAATGATGCAGTTATGCCTGACTATTTTCCCTAGCAACTTCTTAGCAACGGCTTGAAATAATGGTTAAATTTGCCTAGCAATGATCTAGCAACAGCTTAAAATAGCAATGTTTCTCATAAAATCTCATTATATATCCACTATTATGTACTTGAAGAAAATATATGTATGTCTTTTGATTTATAAAGCAAAAGTATAAAATGTATGATGCAAAAGTCCTGCAATTCATGTTTCAGTTCTGAGATAAAAATTTAACACAAAATATTCATCGTATTTATCCTTGTTATATTTTCAGCATTGATACCCCTAAGATAATACTTTATTTGGATTAATGGCTAGAATTTCCTTTGCAGTTGCACAGTTTCGGTGCAGTAGAATGCACCATGGCATTTGCAGTTCCCTTTGCAGTCACATTTGGTGCATCCACATTTAATTATGACTTTACATCCCTCGGATGCTAGCGATAGTATAGTCCATCTGGGTACACACAATCCTAATGCGCTCCTAAACCATCCCAATAGGTTTGGCGAAGGAAGAACTGGATCCACTATATACCATTATGTGTTCCTTGGAGAGCTGCTCGCATGACATGATAAAGTTCTGCATCGCATGTTGGAGGTACTCTAGTGGGATCCATCTGTCATGAGTGAACATGTGCCTGTCTCACTGTTTGTAGGCTGGTAAACCAGGATAATGAACCTCTCAATTGTGCCTTTAACTTCTGTTGTTAGGGTTGATGGGCCAGGCCCGTAGCCAGGGGGGGGGGGGGGTTCGCAGGGTTCGGGCGAACCCCCCCTGGCCAAAAATGCTTTCAAAATCATGCAGTTTTTCACCATTTTGAGCACTTCTCTTGTGATTTTAGCCATATTTGGGCCAAAATTGTCAAATGTGAACCCCCCCTGGAAATTTTTGATAACTGAACCCCCCCTTGGCAAATCCTGGCTACGGGCCTGTGGGCCATATGCTAGAGTCAAAAGGACACCTGTTAGATCATTACATAAGTTCCATTGCTTGAAAACTGTCACCTTGCTCTAATGGTAAAGTCCAGATGTGGTATCAGTTCCAGTATGGGCGTGGAACATTGGCAGCACACAAGATCTTTGTGGTCCTAGTGCTCTAGCAATCTCATGAACTGGAATGTAGCGATACGTTTTGCATTTTGAAAATGCTATATAGACCTCAATCTGTAGCTCAGAGGCACAGGCTAAGGCTATCACAAGAACATTACTGTCCACTGATCTTATCATTGACCTGCAACCTTTTCCAACACCATGAGACACATGTAAAAACATATTATGTATCAGCCTCATGACATTGTTAATTTTCCACATTTGGATAGTAATATTCCACTGAACCCAGCATATGGGGTTTATGTATTGCAGCAGGGCGTGTCCAAAATACTAGTATATAGATTTTAAATCAAGACACCATATTTTACTGATTAAATCATTAGGTCAAGGTTATACTTGTTAAAAGCTTAAAATCCTATCTGGGCTTTGCTGAAACATTCAAGTCATTATTTTTAAAGTTTCAAGTTTTACCACTTGAGATGCTGAAGGATGTAGGAATTGTGCTAAGAGCTCTATCTTTCAAGAAAGTCTTGCCAATTGCTTGGTAGTTTGGTGTTAGGATAGGATTTCTCAGAAACAATGACAACAAGATAGAGTTCTTTGCACTACTAGCAACTGTTACAAGACATATTATGGCAGATGATAGAATTTTTGTCTCAACCATTGAAGGAGAGTGCATCAGTAATCCTGCTAATTATGCCATAATAGTCCCTGCTCCCAGGAAGAGGCAGATACACATGTTTTTGGATATGTCTCATGGTGTCGGAAAAGGTTGCAGGACATTTATGATAAGATCGGTGGACAGTAATGTTGTGATAGCCTTATAGCCTTTGCCTCTGAGCTACAGATTGAGATCTATATAGCATTTTCAAAAGGAAAAACTAAACCCTACATTCCAATTTATGAATTTGCTTGAGCATTACGACCACAAAGGCCACGTGCGCTGCCAATGTTCCACGCCCTTACTGGAACTGATACCACATCTGGATTTTACCATCATAGCAAGGATACAGTTTTCAAGCAATGGAACTTATGTAATGATCTTACAAGTATGAGGGCAGTGGTATATAGTGGATCCAGTTCTTCCTTCACCAAGCCTATGGGGATGGTTAAGGAGCCCATCAGGATTGTGGGTGCCCAGATGGACAATATTGCCTAAGCATCCAAAGCATGTAAAGTCATAATTAAATGTGGATGCACCAAATGTGACTGCAAAGGGAACTGCAAATGCCATGGTGCATTCTACTGCATCGAAATATGCACCTGCAAAGGAAATTGAAGCAATTCACCGAATAAAGTATTATTTTAGGGGTATTAATGCTGAAAATGTATCAAGTATCAATGTGATGAATATTTCATGTTTACTTTATCTCAGAACTGAAACATGAATTGCAATTTGATATACGTAAGACAAAAAATGTCCAAACACGCTTTACACAAGAGACTAAAGATTTTTAAGTGAGCAGCTATAAAGCTTTATAAATTACAAAAGACATATACATGTATATTGATTTTCTTCAAGTACATATAGTGGATATATAGGGAAATTCTTATGAGAAACATTGCTATTTTAAGATGTTGCTAGGTCGTTGCTAGGCAAATTTTACCTTTATTTCAAGCCGTTGCTAGGGAAAATGGTCAGACATAACTGTATCAATACATTTGCTATATGTTAAGAAATGATGTGGAAGAGATCCAAAAGCAGTGAACATATAATAGATATATGTCTGCAAATGTCAAAATGGGCATTGTAACCATGTTGTTGCTATGTAACATGGTGATGTCACTTCTGTAAATATGTTAAAATTGTTGTATTTAAGTAAAGAATACTTTTTTGTAATGGTCTTATAGTATCCTAGCATATATTAAGTGGATTTATATTGTAAAATATGTTATTTTAGGCGGTTGCTATGTGGTTGCTAGGCAAATATGTGATATAACAAAAAATCAAAGCCCTTAGATTAGAGTTTATCCTAGGATCTAACTTAGTGCCAAGTTTAGTTGCTCAATTCCCATTCTTCATTGGTAAATTATAGTGAGATAAGGAGTTTGGAATTTGAATTTTCTATTAAAATTGTGTTAAAAAGCAGAAATAACAGGTATCCTGTGTAATCTCAATTATTTTTCGAAAAAGGGCTTTAGAAAAAGGGCCCTGTCTCTTAAATATCTTTAAATACATAAAACTATAAGAAAAAACTCAAAAACGAACTTTAGTATGAAAACGCAAGATCATTCACCAATTGATTCCGCTAGAATTAAAAATGAACAATCCTGCACAGGTACGAGTACAAGAAAGTTATATTCGTATGACTCTGTATTTTACTTATCAAAATAAATTGGCGTTAACCAAAATACAATGCAATAAAAAATATGACAAAAAATGCATAAATACGCAAGGCAACAAAGCTCCATTGTGACGAGACTTACTTGTACTCGTACCCGTGCTTCCTTATTCGCTTTGATAATGTTTCTTTTTCTCGTATTCGATTCGATATAGAAGAATTAACAAAGGTCATCAATAATGGACGATCTTGCACGGGTACTCATACAAAAACCTCTATATCTTGCACGGGTAGTCATACAAGAACCTTTATATCTTGCACGGGTACTCATACAGGAAACTCTGTATCTTGCACGAGTACCTATACAAGAACCTCTACATCTTGCACGGGTACTCATACAAGAACCTCTATATCTTGCCCGGGCTCTCATACAAGAACCTCTATATCTTGCACGGGTACTCATACAAGAAACTCTGAATCTTGCACGAGTACTTATACAAGAACCTCTACATCTTGCAAGGGTACTCATACAAGAACCTCTACCTCTTGCACGGATACTCATACAAGAAACTCTGTATCTTGCACAGGTACTCATACAAGAAACTCTGTATCTTGCACGGTACTCATACAAGAACCTCTATATCTTGCACGGGTACTCATACAAGAAACTCTGTATCTTGCACGAGTACTTATATAAGAACCTTAACATCTGGCACGGGATCCTCATACAAGAACCTCTATATCTTGCACGGGTACTCATACAAGAAACTCTGTATCTTGCATGAGTACTTATACAAGAACCTCTACATCTTGCACGGGTAGTCATACAAGAACCTTTATATCTTGCACGGGTACTCATACAAGAAACTCTGTATCTTGCACGAGTACCTATACAGGAACCTCTACATCTTGCACGGGTTCTCATACAGGAACCTCTATATCTTGCACGGGTACTCATACAAGAAACTCTGTATCATGCACGAGTACTTATACAAGAAACTCTGCATCTTGCACGGGTACTCATACAAGAAACTCTGCATCTTGCACGGGTACTCATACAAGAACCTCTATATCTTGCACGGGTACTCATACAAGAAACTCTGTATCATGCACGAGTACTTATACAAGAAACTCTGCATCTTGCACGGGTACTCATACAAGAAACTCTGCATCTTGCACGGGTACTCATACAAGAAACTCTGTATCTTGAACGGGTACTCATACAAGAACCTCTTTATATTGCATGGGGTAAAGATAGATGTATGTGGGTTAGTCATACGAGAAAAGACTTAAATACCTTGACTGGAGCCACCTGATATCGATCCTCCTATAACTCGGGATATGGCATTATTATCGTGGAAGACATAAACATCAAAATAGAACTTTGTACTGTCAAATGCATCTCTCATACAGCTCGCTTCAGCTAAAAACAAAACCACAAAGGGTACATATTATAAATGTCTGAGAAATGTAAGGTATGAGCTTTTCATAACTTAGTTAAAGATTTAATAGCAAAGTTATCGCCAAAATAAATCAATGTAGGATTAAACAAATGTATGTATAACGAATAAATAAATATATAATAAAAAATAGATATGTGTTTGTAATATTGGTGTTCACTTTACCCTACTATCACACCAAACTACTTCTCACTACGTTCTCGAAATCGGGCTTCAACTATGTACGAACGGACTGGACGTACTTAGAACCGTTTGGGGTATATTTACAAACTTCATCGAACGTACTTGAACGGGTACGTAGTTCCCCTAGAACTTAGAACATGCTCAAAATGCTCTCGTGGTCGTCACGTTCTACAATTAGAACGAGTGACAACGTACTAACGACGCGCTGGACGTACTACGAACGGAACTGTCGCACTTCAATCCTACTATGGACGTTTTTACAAGTTGAATGAGTCGAGTCGAACTGTCTGAGGACGTATTGAGATTTGAGAACGAGGTAGAACTAATTGCAAACGGGTTTAAACTGATTAAGAACGTATTTAAGACTGCTTATGAACAAGTTAGCTAAAATATAGCTTTCACACCAAACAAGTTGCCACTGCGTTCTTCAAAACTGATTTTAAACTGTGTGCGAACGGAATGAATGTAGCTGCAACTTTTTAAGGACTATTTACGGACTTCATGAACGTTTTCAGTCGGGAAGGCGATTTTAGAATTTTAAAATGATTCAAAATTCGATGGCGACCATACCGTTCTGTAATCAGGTCATGATGACCTTCTAGACTAAGGGACGCGTTATACGACGTTGCATACCGACGTGGTGCGACCTGAACGAACTGTGAATGAGATGGACGTATTGAAGACTGTTTCTGAACGAAGTAGCTAATTATTTTAGACATATTTCCCGACCACAGTCAGATTGAGCCCGTTTTACGACGTTTTCGTAGGACTGGCAAGAACGGGTAAGAACTAGTTTGGTGTGATAGGGGGATATACGTAAGATTAAAAATTGCCACTATCACTTTCATTTTTTAACAAATATAGTGTCACGTGACACGTGATGCGGGCAGTCAATTTTTATCTATCGCAGACCAGATATCACCATCAAATTGCCGATATTTCAACCTTGTCTTGTGAGGCCATTTTAATTTGACACACCTTGAATTTGGTGTTAAAATTTACTACGACTACTATATTCATTCAGAAGCCGTGTATAGTTAACCAACCATAGAGACAAATATTCAATATATGGCAGTTCATTGACATGTTCAGTGTTTACTACTGCCTTTCGCGTCATGGCAACACGAGTAGTAACCAATTAAAATGCCGTATTTTATCACGCGAGTTTAATTCTCGAAATCGCTGTTCCCTCTTCAAAAGAGGAGACGCGAAAATCTTTCCTTATAAGGTCAAAATATTTCCCATGATGCAGTTCGCGGAGGAACAAATTTATAATTCCTTGTTTTCCCTAATAGGTTTAACATGGGGATTTTCACACCTATTTTTCAAACGATATATTCGTTCATATTCCCGTACGAGGGTACAGAAAAAATTGTTATAAACGATTGATATCTTATTAATCTTTATATAACAGCTATTTTTTCATTGTATTGATTCATAGCGTGGTGAAAACGATGATTGAAAAGTGAGAAAATATTCCGGAAGAGAAGGTCACATGATCAGTTGACTAGTCGCCATATTGGAAAAAACAATTCCATTCGACTTTCAATACTTTTATGCCAATCTTACCGCGCTACAGACTGCAACATCGATGCAACAACTGAATAAAAGTATTCATCTTCAAATTACATCATAAGTTACGTTGAAAACCAACAAATCACTGAGCAGTAGACGAAAGAAGCGTCGCTATTATCTAGGTCACTCTGTTCAGTGGTCCGAAAGCAAAGCTATAGTACTCGTTTCCGAATTTTTGTACAATCTTTTATTTATTAAAACTCGGTATACTGACTATTAAAGCAATGACAAAGAAGAATACTTCCGATGTTGTCATTGTTTTATTTAGCGTGCAGGTGTAAAAACAAAATTGCGTAATTAGATTTAGAACTTTCGGGTCACGCAAATAGCTACGCGAAATGCATAGTGAAAAAATATTGACCAATCAAATTTTGTCCTTTTTGATTGCTTTTTCAGTACATATTTGCGAACGTTCTGATTCAAAGAGCGAATCGCGAAATGGAAAATTGACATACACACACAACGTGGATTTTCTCTGATCGCGATGTTGAGCAGTTTCTTCTCGGAATTTGTCCGAAGAAATCAACGATTCTAAATGAAGTAAGGATCTGTCATTTCTCCCTGTAAAAGTTATAACTTATCTTTATTGAATCCTAAAGTTTCGGATGTAGATATGAAGCATACGTTTAAAAACGGAGCGATTATTTGACGATCTGATTTTGCAATCTGCAATGGCCAATTAATTGCAAATCTGTATGTAGTTTATTTGGCAAGAGATAGCGCCAACTGTTACTGTTGTATTAATACTAAAGGAATTGACACAATTCTAATGACTACCTCATGTTGAAGCTCCACTGTTTTAAATATACTGTATTGGTCGATTTAATATCACTGGATATATTTTTGCTTGTTGAGCATCACACAACATTACCGTTTATCATTTATTTGGGATTGAGCAGGGGTCATTTTTCAAAATAATTTTTATAAGCTCTGTGATATCAAGAACATTTTATACGATTTCAACTGAAATATAAGACCAAAGTGGACTCCAAACTCACAGCGGATGGTATAACTCATCAAACACTGTTTAATTTTTTAAAATATATTCTAACGATTTAAATTAGTCTACATAAGTTATAATAAAATCATTGACTATTTCTAAATTTGTTGGACATCATGCAACTTTACAGATTTTTAAAAATTTGAGGTTTCAGCAGGGGTCTAATTTATAAAATCATCAATTATAAAAACATTAGCACAAAAATATGAAAATATGATAAATTATTAGAGAAAAGTGCTAAAAACCTTGACCTTGACTTTAAAAGGTGGATAAAGCTTTGCAAAGGTCACATCTTCTGTTTTTGTTTTTCTTTGTCTCCATTGACTTAACATGAGGATATCATCAAATTTCAAAATATGATGATATCCCCATGTTAAGTCAATTTTAGAGAAAAATCGAAATAAAATACATTGAATTAATACCTAAATTATGAAGATACTTGATAGATCCTTTTACCAATACTTTTAATGTTAGAAACAATATGATAAAATTCTTATTGATTTTATTCAATTGTTTCGGGAGGGGTACTATTTGATAATTTCTGGAAACTTTTTATGTTTGAGATTATGAAAAATCAAAAACTATTTAATTCCACTGTTTTCAAGTAGGAGAGTGCACGGGGTACAATGCTATTCAGTGATTTATATGCACTTCCAAAGCGTTTGAGTCAATTAGAAAAAATAATAAAAAGTTTTAGTGGGGGGGGTGCCATAGGGGGTGCCATAGGGAGAAAGTAGCACCAAACGCATCCCCATCCACCCTTTCAATGGGCCTGTACATGCTATATACACTCACACATTCAAATGTTATTGCCAATAAGTTAATGAATCAAAATATAACAAGATCGTGAATCAAAATAGGCGTGACAATAAATGCAACCCTGGAGAACACCAGTGATAAAGGTGACTAGAAACATGGATTTTACATCAGATAAATAGTATTTTTACTGGTGAAATCCTGAAGATCAACACAGATGTACAATGAAGCTGAAATAATTGTGTCATTTATTTTTAAAAATTTGAACAAAAAATACAAACGGACAGATGGTCTCATTTTCAATTTAACAAACCTTTCAAGCAAGCAATTCATTAGTAGATCATCTGTTGTAAACTTCAAAAGTATCAAGATTTAATATTTCTAAATTTTTATGGACCCCTGCTAGACCCTACATTAATAAGTAAACAGTGATGTTGACAGGTGTTCAACATGTCGAAACATATGTAGGAATATATGCATTATTATTTAAACATATCAAAACAATTGGCGGATCAACGAAAATCAAGATGATGATTAAAGAAAGTGAACTAAATAGAAGAATTATTTTTTAATCATTTTGAATGCAAAATAAATTCATACAGACGATTCTATTTTCAATCAAACAGATAAAATCAATATGCTTTACCTTTCCAAAAATCAATTCAGTAGTAGTAGTAGTAGTAGTAGTAGTAGTAGTAGCTGGTTAAACCACTCGAATACCAGATCCATATTTACTAGCGCGGTACAGGAAAAATGGGGAATTTCAAATCAACAATTCTTGTCTACTTTTATTGCACGTTTCAGCTATTTATATTTAAGTGTTTGACAAATAACTAATTGTGTTATAAAATATAATCCACAGACATAAATTAACATTCAAACTATATGTTTTATTAAAATTTGGGGGCATTTTTGCGTTTAAATTTACATCTTTGGTTGAAGGAGTTTTTGCAATTTATAAGGCATTGATAATCAATCGCCGGACATTGATATATTGATCATGTCATGTATGTATCTCGAATGGATAAGTACCATTATCATCTGTATATCAGTCGTGTAACTTACCCGTCACTGTGTCGTAAGAGGCAGAGGTGCCGTCTAACACCAGAGCAACGATCTGAAAGTATGGAGCAATTTTAATTTAATTTAATAAAACAAAGAATAGTCACTTTACAATGACGCAACTTAACATCTTTTGATGCAAGTTTTAATATTTGAGAAAAAACATAATTCAAATGTGTAGCCAGGTGTACACCTTATGATTCCAGTTTCACAATTCAACCCTAATGCTTTAAGCTTAACAATCAACATCACCTATTGTCCTAAAAACTTCGTTTATGACAAGTCTTTCTTTTTAATATTCTAATAAATTCAGACGTTTTCAATAATAGTAGTATAATAAAGGTTTCAAGAATCTTCATGGTATAGCTGTTATTTATTATTCAATGGCATTGGCTGTCAGCAAACGCCTCTCACGAGTCACAAGTCGTACCGTCTGTTTTTGAAATCATGCTTTTTTAAAATGTACATTTTATCAAAAATCTGTCGTTATACGAAAACAAATAATAAATAATAAATAAATAAAATATAATCAAGCTTTAGACGTATGACTCATATTTTAATATGTGGTGATTTGAAACGGGAATCGACGCTTTTTAACAACAGGTTAAAGGAATTTTAATCATTTTTATTCAGAGATAAAAAAAAGTTTAATTATGTGCCTGGCAAGTTCAAACTACGCAATTAGTTCAGAAAGCTATCATATATTGAAACTGCACTGCAAAGTGAATGTTGTAAAAAGTGAAACTATAATGGTTATTTTTTTCTTCTCGTGTACATATCCCACTTAACAAAATTGTATTAAAAGGGCTTTCAAAACTTGGTCAATTGCTGCAAATGGTATGAAGGGCGTGTACATGCATTACTAAATATTGAGTTTGAAAAAAAATTGAGTTAACCATTTTGCCTTTTCAAGTGCATCTAATTCCAAAACGACCGCTGCCATTATCCCATTTAACCTTAAACATGTTGATGTTGTATGGGGTCTCAATCTTTGGAAGGATTGTGTATATTTATACGTAGCAAACTCTGAAGGGTCGAGTATATTTATTGCAATAGTTCCAAAGTATCTAGAATTTTTAGATGGTCACACTCATCAGTACGCAGGTTATATACATGTAGCATTGGATAACTACCAATGATTATTCAATACCTGTGACTTTTCCAAATAAATCACCAATTTTCAAAATGATGCAAACATGGAACAAAGTACCTACAGGTCTTTTAAAGTCATCACATGAGAGCTCTCTAAAAAGCTTGCAATAACGTACCTGTTCCTTTACCGAAAAATAGTTCAATTGTCATTCTGCAGACGCAGGCTTCTGTCTCCTTGAATTAACAATACGCAATGTGGCTGCTACCGTAACATATTTAATTGGTTCAGTCTGTGCCAGTGTATTTGTTGCGCCTATATTCATTATTGACCATTAAGAGTATAGGACCGCCACAACAAATGTAACTAATTAAAAAGTAATTCCGTCACAAGCAATTACCCAAAAAATATTGAATAAGGTCTCACTTCTTCAAGCGTAATATATTAGATGTTATTATTTTGAAAAATATAAAGGTTCCGCGTATTCAAAGCAACTCGCAAACCATTTCTATAATAGTTAAGCGTTACCTTCTGAATCATACCTTAGCTATTAAGTAATGTATACATGAAAGTGATCTCGGCTGGTCAGATTTGCTGAATGAAATGCGTTTTGCATAAAGACTAAATTTGTGATTCACTTAACGACTATTTAATGACGAACCTAACACATTCATTTTTTGATTAAATACAGGAAAAGTAAACTCAAAACAAATTATACATTTAGTATTTCATATTTCAACTAATAATGAAATATATTTTTAGTTATCTTGTTACTCACCAAGCCAGACAGGAGGCTAGCGAAGCGAACTTGGGACGTCATCCTCTGCGCACGATGCCGTCGATTGCGAATAATGCAGGGTTAAAAATGACGCATTCTTATATATGCACCATTCAACTTTAGAAACACTCCACCAGCTCAGTTTGGGCTAGAAGCCCAACTAGGTACGTATACACTCCCCTCCATAAGTTTGGCAACTTAAAATTTGCTTGGATCACTTATTAAGGCACGTTTATGTTTGGCAATTAAAAAGTGTTCATCATATTTATCATACATTTCCAAACTATTGTAACAAATTTACAAAATTAAGATTCAACAGGTTTTGATGTACTATCCAATAAAAACTCCCGGTTTCAAAACTTATTGACTGGGGTGTAGGTTATATAGTTTAGAATGTATTCTCAAAAGAAAATCTACACCCCTTTTCAAAAAAGCGATTTTTTATCCCACCAGTCAATTGTGACCACAGTGAATTTATTGGAATCTTACATATTCAAGTCCTGCTGACATGAACACGCAAATATTGATTCAAATATTTTTCATGCACTTAATTATAGAAAGTGAATTAGTGAAGCACACATTTTTAAAAATCGTCCTTTCAGATTGTTTCAAGAAATTTTTCAATATATTGAAAATGTTTCAATGGCGTTTCTTACTTTTGTATACCCCAGCTATTCGTTACATTAAATAGCATTTTTTCATTTATATATTTGATTTTGTATTTTTTATATTTTGTATTTTGTCTACAAATTAAATAAAATTCTATACAAATATTGAATTCTGTGGAGTTGAATATTTGGTATATATTTTTGAAGGTGTATTCACCGCAGCCCGAAGGGCGAGGTGAATACAAAATCAAATTGACCAATGAGAGAACGAGTATCACGGCATGGAAATGATAATATATATTATTATGATTTGTCAAACAGAGTATTTTTTGTATCTTTTCTCAAGAAATTATTACAGGGTTACGATAAGCTTATCGTATGAAAACGATATAGCGGCTCCAGGCGAGTCAACTGGGTCAGTTCAGTTCAGTATCTCTATTTCCCCCACATAATGCCTTGGTCACATTTGCTCCGATTTTCACTACGGCGATTGAGTATTTTGTTTAAAATTGAAAACAATATTGAACAAAACACTCAATCGGCCGAGCGCTGGTCGATTGATCGGAGCATATGTGACCCAGGCATAAGTGAAGATTCTAAACATTATAACGTGACTTGTAATCATACAACAATTAATATATTAATTACATTTGTGCATATCAATTTGTTACATTCAGATCTCTGATTGCTTGATTACCATTTTCACCATTAGGCCTAGATCTATACAACATGCACTAGACAATGGGAACTGTTCAATTCTAACACCTTTGCAATTTTTGAACACGCTTGCAGTTGAGTACAAGTACTCCATCAGTTGTTAAGTTTGTTTTAATTATAACATCCTCAGTTCTGTTCAATATAATCATCTTTTGTAGTAAATATAATCATCTTTTTAGTAAAAATATAATTTTATCATTTTTTCACTTTACCTCATTCTGAATTTTTCATGTTTTGGCGTCTTCACTGAAAAGTCAACGATGTCTCTTTGATCGAATAATCAACTGTAGTCTAGGGAGAGTTTAGTTTAGGCCTCAAATCAAACTTGGAACCAGATAAATCTAATCAAATAATGGATATGTTCTAAGAATTAAAGAGAGAATCAGATCTAGCCAGCTAGACAGTCGGGACATATTATTTGAAGTACGTTATAAAAAATGCCTTTGGCTTTATGTCTGTTATCTGAGAGGCAAGTCAATACATTGTCAAGGAGTCCTAATTCAATGAAAAATAACGTTTGCTGTCATATGTCACATGTTACTTTATTTTTATCACTTTTGGAATTATCTTATTACGAAGTGGATCAGCTTTTGAAAATAATTTGAAAAAAGGTATTGTTTAGCGTGGCTGAGTAAATTTTCTGCTTTCGTGGTCATACACTCCCCTCCATAAGTTTGGCAACCTTTTTTCCCCATTGAACTACGTGTTAAAGCCTCTTTACCTTTGAATTTTTATTTACTTAAAATGCGATGAAAATACTTATACTATTGATGGAAACGTAATTTGACTTAAATTCCAATACCTCCAAATTTTCTCAATTTTTTTCCTCAATTACAATAGGTCGAAAATTGATGATAAATTTGATGAATTTTTGAAAATTGACATTCCCATGTTAACCAATGGGAAATGGTAGGTTTGCCGCAAGTCATATGACTGAATATCCATCCATCCGAGTCCTTGCAAAAAATACGAGTTGGGCAGGCAATTGAATATGCTAATATTATTTAACAAAAAATTGATATGTTTCTTCAGGTTCAACAAAGTTATAGGGCTTTAAAGTCAAAATTGTTTTTCAAAAATCTCTCCCATTGAAATAACACAGGAGGCGAAAAATTATTTTCAAAAATGACTTTGAAGCGCTGTAACTTTAATATTCATCAAATAAACTAAACACTTAGTATTCAAAAAGTTAGGCAATTCAATTTTCTATATAAAAATATTTTTTGCTGAATCTTTTACTGAAAAGATATCCTGATTTCTGATTTGCCCCGAACCCTCAATTTCCCATTGGATTACACGGGAATGACGATTTTCAAAAATTCATCAAATTTATCATCAATTTTCGACCTATTGTAATTGAGGAAAAAAATTGAGAAAATTTGGAGGTATTGGAAATAAAGTCAAGTTGCGTTTCAATCAATATTATAAGTTATTTCATCGCCGGTTAAGTAAATAAAAATTCAAAGGTAAAGAGGCTTTAACACGTAGTTCAATGGGGAAAAAAGGTTGCCAAACTTATGGAGGGGAGTGTATGTGCATTGCCACTATCACCAGCATAGATGTTACTGCTAAACCTGTACACATATGCTTTTTCCCAACAGCTCCCATCATTGTCAAACCTTTACGTTTAGAGTATCTAAAGAGTTCAACTAAGCTCAACAACACAGTCAATATATCTCCCACTAGGAAACCTATATCTCTGGATCTCTTAAATTGTTCTGCCCCAATGAATAGATTTACAAGGAATTGATCGGAAGCACTTATGAATATATGAGCCATTGCTATAGAGATCATTCCGGTAAGTAACCTGGGTTGACACTCTGATCTCAAATCACTCATGTACAGCGCCATTAAAGTTCCTGCAAGTTCCGTTAACGAAAAGAACATTTGATGGTTCCATTGTTCGTAGAAATCATCATTTAAATAGTTACAAAAGTTCCACCAAGAATAATAATGAGGATAGATGGCGCCACATACTACTATTATCATTGGTATTCGTAGATTACCGTTGAATATTAGTCTGGTGACATGCCTAACAATTTGGTATGTCCATATAAGGACAAGAAGAGATATTGCCCAAATAAGGAATGTATTGACAGTCACATTGATGTAGATATGTTTATATCCTGGTTTATAGTTTTCCTTTGTTCCCTCGTAAGATCCTGAAAATATATCATCCAAAATAAAACAAAAAACTTGATGGGAGAGGTAATGGATGATTAGTTCGTTAGCTGTATTGCTAAATCAGCGTTTTAGGGCCTTACTAGCAGTTTAATCGCAAACGTACATATGTAGTATTGCTATGGATAATCATGACAAGATCTCCGCATTGATTCAGATGGAATATTTTTTTTTGTTGCAACGAAAGCTATGATTTAATGGCCATATTCGTGATGTCATATGTTTATTCGCGAATGCAACTTTCGGCTGGCGGCTAGGGTTGATTGCAATTAATTAAAAAAATATGAATAGTGCCTGCTGTGTATCCCAGTAGCTGATTCGCTAATTGAGGGGTTAATTTATGAAAATTATTGATCTGTTAGCCAACAGTCGAAGGTTGCGTTCGCGATCAAGCTAAACTTGTATTCGCAAATATACAACTTTCGGCTGTTGGCTACAGGATTAACCCGCTGTTTTATGACGAACTGATTTGAATAAAATCTACCACTATTCCATTTATGTTTAAATGAGTTTGCCATAAAAAAGTACACCAATAGTCAACAGTCGTTATTTGCATTCTTCGAAGTATTTTTTTAAGTTTATCCTATTTTTACATGGAGAGAGCCATACAACGTATTACATCATCATTTAGCCGATATATTCAAGTTTCTTTGGTGTTACTAAAGGTGGCAATCTGGTTATTGGAAAGGTATAATATATACGCTTTCAACATTTTATTTGTTTTTACCTTTGAAAACGGTGTCCCAACAGTCACACGTGCATTTTTCTCTGTCTACGGGACTTTTTATGACCCATAATCTAAAACAGTAAAATTAGTAATTTCAAAGGCATGCGAGTGAACTATTAATATGTGACATCGTGGAAAAAACCTATAGATCACACATTGATATAATGTCATTGTTTGGCTGGGTTGACCCATAAGTGAATTACTGTAGAAAGATGTGCGTACTGGCTAATCACCGAGAACCATAGTTTATACAAATTGTGATATAACCATGGTAAATAAAAAAAACTATGGTAAACCTAATAATAAATCAGTTTTACCTCTGAACAAGTCCAAAGTGTATCGTTGGTATTAGCAATATAACAAGGAATCCTGAAAAATTAAAATACACATCAATAAACAAGATGTTTTGTTTTTACTTATTAATAGATATTAAATATATCTTTAGGATTTTATAATCATGTTTATCTGATCCATGATTTAATCAAGGTGACACGTACGCACGATGCTGGCAACTTTTACTTTCCAGTGCCAAATAAACTCTTGAGTATGTAACAAAATAACTAGAGCCAAAATAAATCGTATCACCGACCAGAGACAAGCTATTTTCTTTCAAAGTATACAAACAGAATATTTCTATGAAAGTACAACATAGGCTAAAGTCGATAGAAATAATTTTAAAATAAAGATGGCATTATAATCGATCTGTGTTTATTTATAATTGGTGCTGCCATCTTTATATCGGCCCGGGATGTATGGAAAATACTGGTAACGAGTCCAGATAATTTCATTTTATACTTACCTATGGAATGCTCCGCTATCAAACGGATGTAGTTTTTCCCTACGCTCGATGCCCTTTGCCATTCGGCCGCATTGGGTAACATTGTCGTAGTAGTTATGGCGTCTCAGTTATTGATGGTTGAGATGACTAGCACCTACTATAAACAGAGGCTGATATTAGACATGGCAATAGACTAGATGCGAGTAGAAAAATCTTGATTTACGCCATTAAATACTCAAAATTCAGTCAAAGCGATGTTATATTTGAAACCTACATGTAAAAGTACATCTAGAAATATGCTTTCGAAAATTGTTTATCAAGTTTGAAATTTGAATTAATTTTGAAAGTGTGACTTCTAGTTCGGGTTGATTCTCCATAGAGCCCATGTTACAAAATCACAAAAAGTGAAATATCTTTTCTTGTATTGGTCAGATAACATTTTCATTTACTGGACATATTTTGATTTGCATAACTATTAGATACATAAGGGTTATATGAAAATTGAACCACAAAAACAGATGTAATTTAAGTTAAAGGGAACTTTCTACTATACCCGCCATGCTATCTGACCCGAACGAGCCACCTGGTGGTGAAACTGGTAACTACCTACTCGCATCTGCGTTATTGCAATGTATGTTTTAATTGCATATTATCTTTTTCAGTGGTCGAAAAACCGACAGAGTATATACATTATACATTGACCAACAAGACTTTGACATATTAATAGGCATGCAAGATTACAATTTCATGAGATATCATGGGCGTAGCACCCCCACCCCCAGAAAAAAGTTATTTGGTAAAATTTGTTGAAAAAAAAACATTAACAAATTATGGTTTGAAGTGCTTAGAATGCACCATATACAATGTCTTTTTTTAATTTCTGGGATGAGATCCGCGTATCCATTTTTGGGGTTCGCTTCGCTCGCACTGAGGTAAACCCAAACAGTTGCACCCCTTGACAATTGCTTGCAACGCCCCTGCCTATTCACATTCCAGAACAGCAAAATGATCAATAAGGTGGACAGTGTCAAATACACATAATTCGTGATTCAAGGACAGTCAGGATAATTTTTCCTGAATAAAGTTCAGCATCAGTGATTATCCTCATCCTGGATTTCCAAGGTATGATGTGTTCATACCTTGGAATATCAGGCTGATATTTTCGGTCAGAAAAGTTGTCCACTGATACCAGTGTGATTGAAAATCAAACTGGGAATGAGTATGGATTATCCTATGGTAGCCAGGATCTTCAATAAGGCCATGTTTTTGGGATAGGCTTCCATTGGGGATCATTTCACAGTTTCAGTTGGTCTAATATTACTTTTTCGGTGGTGAGGCAGCTGGATCGCCTGAATGAAGATTCCGCTTTGTCTGATGAGGCCATTATTTCGAATTATGATCAGTTTTTGATGTCAAGTATGCCCCATGCAGAGTACTAGCAATGCACAAGGGATAATCCAAGATGTATACTGTGATCCGTATCAATATGGTTTTGAGTTTCCAAAACGATGTCAAATGGTTCATGTTTACTTTTATAAAAGAATCGAACATAAGCATAACGGTCTTTATCTAATGAATGAATGGATGAATTGGGGCAAATGTGACCCAGACATCAGTATTGTATTTTGAGTTTACATATGAATGCAATTCTGAATAAAATGTTAGATCGACCGGGCGCCGATGAAAATCTGAGCATATGTGACTCATCATTACAAAAGCTTATATATGAATCGCTGATGTTAATATTGAATATGGTATGTAATGTCAAGCTGTGATTAAGCTAGATTTTGTAAGGTTATGCATTAATATTTAATGGGACCACGTGGACTGACAAATAACAAAAACATTAAGAAGTCAAATGGAATTTGTAAACTATGGCATATTGATATAGAAAGTCAGAAAACACTTATTTGGCAATAGAGGCTTTGAAATCTGTTTTAGGAGATCTGCGTTTTTAACCGCTGACAACTAACATTTTCTTCTATTTGATGGCATATTCTGTCTGTAATTTTCTATCAAAACAATTTTGATTTGCACTGTTATTTACCTTTATTCAAATTCTAGAGATTTTCAAGTTTTCTAAAAATGGTCGGGCTAAATCCCCATTGACACCATGTTGAAAAACCTTTAAAAGTTCATTTTCTCTTATAAGGATCATAATTTTAATGTGAAATCATAATCCACATGTCAATAATATTATATGGTTACATTGCAATGGTATTTTAAGTTGATCCTAATGGAATTACTTGTTAAATCTTTGAAATTAAGTGACTCTTGTTATTAAGGTGTCATGTTATTTAGCCCTACCGATACCCACGATGCCATCTATTTTTCCATTTGTATGGAAAGGGGTCACAAACGCAATAGAATATGTAAATACTCAACATTTCAAATTTTCTAGCAAGAAATCTAATTTTGCAAAAATGAAGGAGAAGAATAAATGTCAAAGAAATCAGTTAATGTTAAGACACAAGTTTGAAATATGAAAACTTCGGAATTCTAAAATCTATGATCATTAATAAGTACTATATATATGACATGTTATATACCACTCCATATTTTATAAGAATTGTAAAAATGTTTCAATCTGGTTTCAATTTAGTAATAGAGTTTATTGAAAAAGTATTACTATATGAATGGCTAGCTATACATATTGTAAGTATTAGTAGTGGCTTAACGCTAGCAATCAAATCCTATTACTAGCCATTGACAAATATTATTACAAATCTCTAAAATGAATATTTATTCTTACATAACCACTCTACTATACCTTGCATTTGGTGTTCATGAGCAACCCATTTGGCTTTTTAGTAATGGTTATGTTATTTGTTTTTATTTGTCTGTTAATGGTTTATCGGATCAACGTTAGATGTTAATAAGGTACTTTCAAAAACATACTAAACAAAGTCAATTCACATTTCCCGGGACACATTTCTAGTGGTGAGGTAGATTGAGTGAAATATGTACACTATGGCTTAGTAGTCTATATAGGTATACACCTGTTTAGTTTGAAAACTTACCCTTTATTATTTTGTATCAGCACTATTGATCCTATAAGCCGATGTCACTCTCTGCGTAACATGTATATTCTGTGATAAGGCAGTTCAAAATTTACCACACCCGAACCATGCCTCTTTTCTATATTCATTTAATCCAAACATCTAGTTCGTAGTTACAGACTTATCTCACTATTATACTGCCATCGTTTTGGTTCTCTTGATATCAAAAGCTCTGATCCAATTTGTCCTTAGATCAAAGAACGAATCAGTTGACGATCGAAGAAAATCATTTTGTAGTATTTTAGTACATTGCAGTTTTCTAGTTCCAAAGTCCGCTTAACACACTCATTCACTCCGAATAAATACAGACACTATTATTGTAATCAACGTGTATACTCGTATATTGATTTGATTAACAATGCTTCAAGTATGTTCCTGCCAAAGGGGCCTATACACAGTGTTATAAGGGGATTGCTATAAAGTTCAATAAAGCTTAATAAATACGAGGGGTGATCGATAAGTAATAGACGCCTTTTCACACGGATGCTTTCTATTGACAAAACCAGTGATGAATCATTCAATTATATCTAATCAATTATCAATTAGTATCAGGCCCTTACTGACCCTGATTGTGTATAAGAAAATGAGGGAAAGAGTTGCATTTAGGTCACCATATAAATCAATGGAGAGTAGGACCATAAATTGATAGGACCTCCTACCCTTTTACACCGGGACTGACCATTACGCAACATATTCTGAAACCTTTTAGCTACATTTTCTATATTTCAGTTGAATTTGAACTTTTAAATATGTCACTTGTTTTGTGTTGTTTGACATAGTATAAAGGGCCAATTTACGCTAATTGATATTTCAAAAAATAGAAAATTGAAAATTAAAATATTCATACGACGGTGGTTTTTTCCTGAATTGTAGAATGAGGAAACACATTATATTTTATAGATTCGTAAGCGGCATCATTGGAACTATATTGGCATTTCGTAACCTGAGCAATTTTTAAAGGAATAGAAAATTAACATATTTTCGTCAATGGTTGAATAGGACTGGTTTAATTAGGAAATCATTTATACACATGTTTCCTTGGATATTAGAGAATTGTGGTAATAGAAATGCTGTAGAGTCAACGTTATCGTTTTAAGTTTTTGAATTTTAAATGTAAAGCCCGGTATACACCAATGGGGCAAAATCCTACTTCCCCCATTGAGTCCCATCTTGCCCAATCGAATCCCAATTTGCCCCATCGAATCACACGAAGCCCCATGGGACCTTGATGACTTTGCCCCATCATGCCCCATGGAGTCCCATCAAGCCTCATGGAGTCCCATCAAATCCCACCGTGCCCCATTGGTGTATTTTGGGCTTCACACAACACGTCATATGATCGAAAATCCCACGATGCCCCATGGAAAGAATGAACATGTTCATTCTCGATGGGACCCCTTGGGACTCCATGGGATTTTGCCCCATCTTGCCATATCGAGTCCCACATTGGACTTCATGGGACATCATGGGACCTCGTGCGACTCGATGGGGCACGAAGGGGCAAAATCCCACGGAGTCCCATGGACTTCATGGGGCAAAATCCCAAAAGGTCCCACGAGGTCCCACGTACGCAATGTTAAGTCTATGGAGGTCTCAACTTGCCCCATTGGTGTATACCGGGCTTTAGTGAAGTAATTCTTCCAGTTAAAAAAATTAACATATTCACAATGATAAAGAAACGTTCAAGAATAATTTAGCCATTCGATACGTTTCTAAAAGCACTGCTACCAAATCATTAAATTAACCCCCCCCCCACACACACACACACACACTCACACACATACCAGATATCCCGTAAAATTTTTGTTTTTCCGTTGAAATAACAAAACTCCCGTACCGTTTTCTCCCGTAAACACTCCCGTACCGTATTTCTACTAAAATATTTTTTCGTAAAATCTCCTGTATTTTTGCTGAAATCATCCGCATTTTACTGATATCTCCCGTAAAATCTCCCGTATTTTTGCTTAAAATGTACCGTATTTTTCAAAGAAATCTGACAAGTCTGTGACCTTTATTATCAGAGTCGCACTTCTATCTTTTACTTTCAGTTTTGCCGCCAGGAAAATGTATAATTCTTTTGTAATGTAAAAATTGAGCAAACAAACCATCATAATAATTGTTCTGGGCCAAGTTTCATGTAAATAAGCATTATAATCATCAGCCTTATTACTCAATAGTTTTTGTCATATTGTTTAATTTCCGATTCTCAATGATTCTAAATGTTACAGATTCACCTATAAATCGGCGACATTGTTCAAAACGGAATGGAAATGATAATTTACTTTTTAGAGTCTATAGTTGACATGATTTGGTTTGGTATGATCGGTGGTAGGAAGCCCCATATACAATTTATATTGTAAGAATCAAAATACACCCCACGCAGAAAGATCGCCTAAAATTTGTTAATGCTTAATAAATGGTCAAGGACAGTTACATTGAGTTCAATAAGTACGAGAATAGCATGACGTCTTGATATTTCAAGGTAACTCGTTCGAAAAGTTATGGCGGCGATCGAAATTACGATGTAAAGATAAGACCGTAAAGAAATATTTGTAGATTTCTTTTAAAAATAAGAAATATACATCGCATATCGAACTGAACCACTGAAATAATCTACCGCAAAAACTCCCTTTTTCAAAGTCTACCACAAAAACTCCAGTTTTTTTCAAAAATATCCCGCAAAACTCCCGTTTTTCAGAAGTTTACCGCAAAAACTCCTGTTTTTCAAAAATTGCCCGCAAAACTTGAACTTCATTTTTTTTTAAAATCTCCTTCAAAACAAAACTTCCGTTTTTCAAAAATCTCTTGCAACAACTACAGTTTTTCAAAAATCTACGGCAAAACTACCATTTTAATTATATTTACCTGTACCGCAAAAACTTCTCCTTTTTTAGATTTTTAAAAAAATATTCCGTAAAACTCCCGTTTTATTCAAATGTACCCTAAAAACTCCCGTTTTTCAAAATCTCCCTTAAAAACTTCCGTTATTTTCAAAAATCTCCCGCAAAAACTACCGCATTTTAAAAAATTCCCACAAAAACTACCGGATTTTGGAAAAACCTACCATAAAAGTACTGCAATTTCTTATAATCTCCCGCAAATTTTTCATTTTAGGTTGGCGATTCTGCATACTGAGCGAGGAATGCATTTTTATACTTTGCCTTCATAGATGTTTCACAAAGGGCAATATTTTATTGTTTCCCGGCAGAGTCATGATATGAATACTTGACATTGTTTTGATTTTAATTCAGGTTACTGTTTTTATTTTCCATCGCGGGATGACTTCCATGTTCTTTTTTTCGTCTTGTGATCCTAGTCTCTTGGTGTCCCGTTGGTTGTAGCATTCAAATGTCCAATACTACAAATTTTGAATGCTTTATTTGTTCTTTTTGTTTTGTGGAAACATGATTTTCTCAAGGTGTAACACTGGAATCTCAAATGTCAGTGTAACCAGGATACTTGCAGCTATTGTTGCACATAGTATTGCGCAAAACAAAAACACCTGAAAGTGTAAATAATTTTCAAATAGAGATATACATTACCCAAAAACATATGACACATTCACTCATGCACTTATCTGCTATATGGTATAAACAGTGATCATACATCGGTCAATTTCAATAATCAATTAGATAAATATAAATACCATTTCTGGAAATATCCTCATGTACTGTAGCTGTCTCCTGTTGTAGTGATAATAGTACATGACCATTGGATGGATCAAGTATCCAGTGTACGTCAACTTAGAAAGAGGGATCCAAACTCGCCATGACATTAGTTTGTTTACCACTCCTGAAAAATGTGGTTCATGTTTTTGATTGAGAATAGCCTATGATCATTGGATGTTACAAGTAACAAGTGTATGTCAACTACAAAATATAGATCCATACTCGCCATGACATTGGCTCGTTTACCACTCCTGAAAAATGTGGTTCATGTCTTTGATTGAGAATAGCCTATGATCATTGGATGTTACAAGTAACAAGTGTATGTCAACTACAAAATATAGATCCATACTCGCCATGACATTGGCTCGTTTACCACTCCTGAAAAATGTGGTTCATGTCTTTGATTGAGAATAGCCTATGATCATTGGATGTTACAAGTAACAAGTGTATGTCAACTACAAAATATAGATCCATACTCGCCATGACATTGGCTCGTTTACCACTCCTGAAAAATGTGGTTCATGTCTTTGATTGAGAATAGCCTATGATCATTGGATGTTACAAGTAACAAGTGTATGTCAACTACAAAATATAGATCCATACTCGCCATGACATTGGCTCGTTTACCACTCCTGAAAAATGTGGTTCATGTCTTTGATTGAGAATAGCCTATGATCATTGGATGTTACAAGTAACAAGTGTATGTCAACTACAAAATATAGATCCATACTCGCCATGACATTGGCTCGTTTACCACTCCTGAAAAATGTGGTTCATGTCTTTGATTGAGAATAGCCTATGATCATTGGATGTTTCAAGTAAAGAGTTAACGTCAATTTAGAAAAGAGGATCTGGAATCCAAACTCGCCACTCCTAAAATACATGGTAAATAAAGAGCAAGTTTGTTGGTGAACAGAAATCAGACGTTTTAATAGAAGATGAATAAATGAATACACAAATTATATAAAATGAAATATTTCACAAAAAAATGAATTCGATTAGTTTCATAATGAAAGTATACGCTTTTCTAGTTTTAATGTAACGTATGTCAAATTCCCAAATTATGTTGTAGAGTTAAAGTTCTTTAATTGAGTGATATTATAATATATACAATAGATATTGCATAAAATTTCGAGTATAATGCATTTAAAAAGAGGTAACATTATAGCATATAATATTATGAATCTCCAGGACCCAAACTTGATGTGTTGGAGAAAAGGTAGGCTGGTTGAGAAAGATATACACTCTACTACACCTTGCATTTGGTGTTCTTATTAGTAGTGATTATGTTATTTGTTTTTATGTGTCTGTTCCTTATGAATGGTTTATCGGACGTTATTAGATGGTAAAGGTACTTTCAAAAATATACGAAACAATACAATTGGCCAAAAAGAGTATCTTATGCATTTCTAGGGGTTATTGGTTAAGTATAGTAGAGTGAAAAACGGATGCGGACAATTACAAACCTGCCTCGGTTAAGCATGTGTCCAAGAAAGATGTGAAGTGAGGGGGGGGAGATTTCTCCTTGGGAAATTTAAACAGGGGGATGGTGTCCGGGCTATAAATGTTGCTGCTGGCGCATATGTCGCTGATACTGGACAAAAGGGAGTGGCCTTTGGTCTCAGTAACTGAGACTTACATGATTACATTTCCGAAATAAATGCATTTGACCTTGAGTAAGGCCCCAATGAAACAAATTACATCTTCCCTGCACAAATTCCTGGTAAGTTTAAGCTCGGAATGCAATACATTAGATTTATTTTTAAAAGGTTCACCTCCATATCCAGTAATACATGCCAAGCAAATCCAAGCAACAGCCAGCCCAAAGATATGTCTCTTGAACATAATATAGAAAGCAGCCGGGACTCCCTCAAATGGCGTGCCAAGTGGCCTAAAGTTTCCGTAAATTGCAGCATGTATAAATCCTATAGCAAATATCCATCCTATCGCTTGCATCCACTAAAAATTGAACATATATTTATGCAGAACAGTGATAACATATGTTTTTGCTTGCAACCACTAACAAAAGTTCGAATATTAAACTATATGTATATACACGTATGTAATGCCTAGTTCACATAAGAAAGGGGCTCCTACCGATTAGGTGCTGTGAAATAAGCCGATCGATGGAGACTTTTCCCTGATATCATGCAATAATCGTGAGTATGCTCACGCATCGCGTGGCGCCCGCAAATAATTTGAATTATTGAAATCGTACGGTGATCGCACAGTGATCGTACGATTGTCGCACGGCATCCGTCTGGACCTCGGAAAATCTACTCCCTCAACCGGCTAATACTCAATGTACCACCCACCTACCTATCCTTCCAACCACACACCAATGTTTCATTTGATTTATACTTTATACTACTGGCATTTGTATTACACATTTTTGTGAAAACCTTTATATACAGTAACTATTTTTACTAATTAGAATCAAGTTTTAATCAAGTACGTACCATTTGAAGAAATTACAGGATGCCGTACGCTGTTACCGAGAGCCGTTTCAAACCGCTCGGTGACCTGACCATACGGGCAAGAGAAAAATCAGCGAGACATTGGCAACTGTTATGTCCCAGATAAAGTTCTAAAGGCGCTCGTGCAATGTCTAAGAATCTGACGAATGTTGCCAGTGATGAATCGGAACTTATGTGAGCGAGGTATAACACAGCATTTCAAACCTACCCATTTCATTTTGATTTTTCCTTTTGTTCTCCATATGAAGTATCCTAGCCATATACCAATGATATATGGCCCAATTCTTGTATATGGCTTTATGTAGTACTGGACATAGTCAGCGTTGCCCTGGAAGTGCAGGACGCTGATTGCAATGATACTTCCAAGGAAGGTTAGTCCAGTGAGAATATAGCCAACAACGGGTTTCCTAAGGGTTGATAAAGAAATAATAAATAAGTACATGTTTAATACAAATTGCATTTGAATAGGACGTGTTCGTCAGATCTTACCAGATGAGTGTTCCTTTTTCATTTTGGTGGATATATTGACACAATTTAATCATAAGTTGGAATATACACAAATTGGATTAATATTGTCATGAATGAAATATAATGTAAGACTAGTATATGTGATTTTTTGATTCTCTCTTAAAAATGCTTTATCATGGACTTTAGGTCGATCATCTATGTTTATAGTGTAGTTGATATGATAATTATATCTGGAAAATATGGTATCTGAATAACTTGGGAGTTGTTATGAATCTATACTCACTTGAACAAGGCAAACAGGAATACAGGAGCGACAATATAGAACTGCATGTCGTTAGCAAGGTACCACGTATATCCCAAGCACTGAAAATAGAATAAGTGATTGGGGAATGTCTTCATACTTTCCTCTCAACGATGTTTCAGATCATGGTTTCATTTATACATGTTATGTGCCAAAAAGGGAACGAGACACTGTCACAAAAATAATGTCGAACAAATACAATGACATAAATTTCTAAGATAACGTTCTCTTGTATTAGTGGTATTGTCAACATCAACGTACTTCATCCTAGTGCGCAACTCTTAACCATTTTAGAATTTTGAAACGTTTAGTTCGAAAACTGCATATTTACAAAATATTGTTTGTTTGAAATTCTACTCAATCAGTATACCTAGTGTAGAACTTAAGATGAAATGTTTATTAGCAGTTGAGGCAATATTCTATCATTCATAAAACGAATTTTATTGAGTATAATCTATAACTATAAGTGATACAACATTTCAAAGATTTGTATCGAACCCTCCGATGATGTTCTTCCAAAACTGCAAATACCAGTATGCGGCTCCTAATATTTCCTCATCGGGGTCATTGCTAATCACCATATATATATGTTATATTGCTTTTAATAAGAAAATAAAATTTAAAAAACTTACCAGTGGGCCTGGTAAATAGAGATTGTTAATATATAGTAGGTTAGTCCACCAATGCATCCGACATCCCTCTATCTGATCCTGGCGCACGGGCCAAAGTGGACCATCGCCCGTATATTTAAAAAGGGTTGCAAAAAACATCAAAACTATCATATAAACTGGAGTCAGTCTACAAATCAAAATGAAAACAGTACATCGATAATAAGCAGTACAATTCACTCTGTAATAAAACAAGAATTTAAAATTCATTTGAATACACGATTGCAAAAATATCGTAAACAATAATGAGTTATGTGCAACATCCCAATCCAACCGTGTAACACGCCATTTATAATAAAAATCATTGCAATATATGTCGAAGAATAAAACAAAATGATGTAAACAATACTCTTGACATCAAAAATAGTTGTAGATACCAAGGACAACACCATATTCCATACTTTTGAAAAACACAATAATTCGGGAGAAAAGTATTCATGGTTGCGATTACTTTTTTTCAATCGTTAATGTCATAACTTACCAGGATCAAACCTTATATTACAGAAATATTGTGTCTTGATTATTTTTACCAAAAAATATTGTTTCTTCATTTTCGATTCACTTATATCTATAAAGTATAGCTATGTATACGCATAAACATAAGTTGTGCTTTCACTAATTATTCACAATTCCAAAACTCTAAGACCGAGATACTTTGTTCCTTTTTACTTTTGAATTAACTTTAATTTGGTTTTTGGAATAGCCAAAGTCTAGTTTTCCGTTTTATACCGGCTTGTTTTTCAATACCTCCAAAATCTGTGAAAGAAGTATAATCCCATCTGCTTGAGCCGTAGTTTCCCACCTTGTCTGTCCAGTGTCTTCAAGAAGGAAACTGCACCAAGGAAGCCACTGAAAAAATTAACAAACATTGAAAAAGAAAGGTTTTCGCGAATTTGTGTTATTAGACTGTAATCCATTCTGTAGAAGTGCTCTAGAAATGCAACCTTCCTTACATGAAAGGTTACACATTCCAACCTATTTCAAACCATCTGTATGATTATACTGGACACTTTCTGGGTAGTTGGACTTTCTATAGGGGTGGCAGACGGCCCTCAGACCAATTTATACCCCTACCCCCAAAAAACCATGGGGGTACTTTAATACCACCCAATAAAAAGAATACTAATGCATGTCAGATATTCATTGTTTTATATTGGGTAGAGCATGTTATGGTTAATTAGTGCCAGAAATTTCCAATCTCTAACTTATATGGTTACCATAGAAACAGTATTTATATCTCGAAATATTCTCAATTTGACCCCCTCCCAAATGTGTCCCTTTGTTCTCAAAGTGAAATATTTCAAAATCTGTATGGATTTTATGGCTGCTACTTTGTCAAAATTTGTAATATTATGTCTATATTAACACTAAAACACTTAAAAGTTGATATAATGATCCTATAAATCAATAATATTTATCAAATATAGTCACACATAGCTGCTTTCAGGGAAAAGTGGGCGTGGCACTTTTTGGTACTTGTGCGCTTGTTGCAGCATTAAATGAAAAATGCAGATTACACTAACAATAATTGACATTTAATTAGCATCTACTAATGTGGGGTAACATTGTAATATGTTCATTATCATTATTAGACACTTTAAATATTTTATATAAGTGTTATCCTGACCCTTCCCTATCATAGGTCATCAATGGTCAAATTAACTTTTAGTTTAAGTCTTATAGGGTCCTCGGTCTTTTAAGTCTGTCAAGAGTCAAGTCTTACTTATTCATTGACTTGTTCCTAGAATATGAATAGATAAGTTCAAGTCATCTAGAGCTATGAGTTACAATTAATTAATATGCTTGTTCAACGGGCTTCAATATTTAGAACCATTTTACCATGTTTACTGCAATTGAAAAGTAATGAACAGTTCAATGCTTTTGGTATGATATTTGATGCTAGTGTGAATTGCATAACATTTATGATTAAACTTAAATGAATTAATATAACTCTGGCTATTAACCCTTCCCTAGTATCCTTCACATAACCTCTAAATCATCTTCATATCCATGGCCTAAATGGGGAAGGAGGGAGGGGTTACAAATAGTGACCGAGGATAGTTTGAATCAAAGCAAGAAGACGTAATACTCAAAACTAGAAAGATTGGAGACCATTTATACCCTTCCTAATATTTGCCTAATACATAACACTAAGATCTATTTTGTCAGACACTTGCTGATTCTTTTATCAATACCTCAACATCAGGCAATGCATGATCTATCCAATGGATTAAAGATTATACTTGATTCTAATATGGCAAAATTAATTTTTCGTATGAATTGCATAGAGCATCATTTTGCAATTTTAATAAAATGCATCCATTCATTCATTGCCTCATAGTTAACAAAAAAGCTATTATCTGGAAGGTACAGTATAATTTCTATTACTTCTATTAGTATTTAGCAAAATAATTGCAAGATAAACAATTTACACATGTTTCTGATATGCTGTATTTTCAATACCAATAGAAAATATCTTCCCTCGGGACCAACAACCCTAGGCCAGATATATTATATTGGCCTCGGGATAATTCCAATACCCTGAACCTCATAGAGGATAATCTCTATTCGTCTTCATCAATTATTATTATACATATGAATCGGGATATAAATATAACCTAAAGTAAGAAATCACATTCTCTAACTAGTAATATTTAATTTTAAAATTGGTAAATGATGATTATATCACAATAGAATTACTCAGATGCGAGTAGGTAGTTACCAGTATCACCACCAGGTGGCTGATTCGGGGGAATTAACATGGCAGGGTATTACAAAATTCCCTTAAACTTGAATATGCATCAGTTTTAGTGGTTCACTATTCATATTAGCTTTATGTATCTGATAGTTACACAAATTAAAATATGTCCAGTAAAAGAAATATATATATTATCTGCCCAACACATGAAAAGATATTTCCATTTTTGTGATTTTACAACATGGGGGCTATGGGGAATCTCTCCGACCTAGAAGTCACTTTTTCAAAGAAAATTAAATTTTCAAAGTTGATAAACTCTTTTCAAAACCACATTTCTAAATGTAATTTTACATGTAGATTTCAAATATGACATCAGTTTGACTCAATTGTGAATTTTAATGACGTAAACCAAGATTATTTCTACTCGTATCTGGGATATTGACCATGATTTATTTGAGAATAAAACAGACAAAACAAAGGCTAACAAAAATCTTTAAAAATTTGGGTAAAACATAAATATTTTAAATTTGCTTGTTTTTCATCATTATTACTTCGATCTCCAAACCCCAAAAATTGAGTGTTACAAATTGTTTCAAGTTAAAGTATGCCTAATTTCATGAGCAAACTAGTAAATATATAAGCACTAGTGCCAAAGGGAAAGGACCAAAAGTTGTAATGGAACTTAATAAGAAAAAGCAAACTTTAAGTTGGATCTTGTTGGATATTTTCCCTCGACAATGCCTTATCAAATTCATCTATATACAAACTACTAGATTCCAAATGCTATTTTACAGGAAAGTAACACTAAACATCAGTTTTGTCATAAACTGAACAATACAGCTAATTGATTCTCCGATCTAAGCAACAGAGCCTCTTTTAATATATTGTAATTTCAAAATTGCCTCTAATTCAAGTTCTTCAATCAAATCTAAAATGGACACAACTGGTAATATCTTTATACCATATGAGTAGAATGTTTGTTTCTTTCAAATTCATGCTTTCGTTAGAAACATGGATATCACTTATTCATAGTTTTGATTCGTATTTAAAATCGTGTGCATTATATATGAGGTTTAATTAATGGGAAGTTTTTAATACAGGGAAATACAATATATCTGAGGGAAATACAATATACCTCCCCGAGGGGTTGAGGGTAGAATATTGTATTTCCCAAGGGTTATACCTTGTACCCAAAATTATTTATCATATACTAAAATACGAAAATATGAGAAATTGCACAGAATGAAATTCCTGCAGGGGATTACTGAGCGGGTGATATACCTGGCGATACATAGAGATTATCCTATATGAGGTTCAGGATATTGGGATTATCCCGAGGCAAATATAATATATTTGCCCGAGGGCCGCAGGTCCCGAGGGAAAATATATTATATTGGCCAAGGGATAATCCCAATATCCTGAACCGACTATAGGATAATATGTTTATCCCATACCAATCTTGGTCATCTAGTTCACATTGTTCAATCGTGGAAATATTATAGAATATTCATGTCCAGTTTTGTTTTCTTGGCCGTGGGCGGATTTTCCTGTTCTCTCAGATATTCCCACATTTATTTTCTCGAATTTTTGATTGATTAATTAAGTGGATGCTCCTTCCCTTTTTTAAACCATCAAACAGATCCCGATTGTCTGTGTTTTCTCTTGTCGTTTACAGTCATTACGCGAACGTTACAAATTATGAACAAATATGCGAGCGGTGATTATGACGTAGCGGGCAGATATACTTTATCTGCCCGGGCAGATATACTATATCTGCCCGCTCGGGGCGGGACGTAAAGCTATATCTGCCCGCTGATGAAAATATAAGTTTTTACAAACCGGCTTTATGTACCTGTAACACGTCCAAGTATGGGATAAATAGAGATTATCCTATATGAGGTTCAGGATATTGAGACTATCCCGAGGCAAATATAATATATCTGCCCGAGGGAGATTATGACGGAGTGGGCAGATATACTATATCTGCACGCTCACAACGGGACATATAGGGGTTATGCACTGGGAGGTTTTGGATACAGGGAATATCCCGAGGGATATACAATATATCTTCCCGAGGGACCGAAGGGACCGAGTGAAGATGTATTGTATATCCCAAGGGATATTCCATGTATCCAAACCGACCGTGCATAACTGGTGTATCTCATACTTGAGTGGGTTTAGGGTAGATATAACCTTTTGCACCTTTTTCAAATGACAAGATATTTATATTGAACATTTTCGTAATATTCTTTTTGTTCAATACAATGAAATTGTAACATTTAAACTTAAAAAATTTAAATTTTAAAATTAAAAAATTAAAACTTTTGATATTTAAACTTTTGAAAAATTCCCGGGAGCGGGATGGATATATTATATCTGCCCGCATTTGGCCTGGAGCGGGACATATACAATATATCCTGCCCGCTTCTCAGATACGATATATATTCCCGGGTGATATCTACCCCAAACCCACTCAAGTATGAGATACAAAGCTATATCTGCCCGCTGATGAGAATGAGAATATAAGTTTTTACAAACCTGCTTTATGTACCTGAAACACGACCAAGTATGGGATAAAGCGGGATATGCAGTACATGTATATCCCCACTCACCTAAGGTATCAATTATATTCATGCATTTTATTTACCTATAACACTAAGTATAGGATAAATAACTTTTACTGACAAATTGTATAAGTACATGATTACATTAGTCACAACTACTCACTAAAAGGTTAACTTATTGCATGAAGAAATGTAATTCTACATGAAGATTTCAAATATGATACCACTTATTTGACTGAATTTTGAATTTTTAATGATGTAAAGCAAGATTATTTCTACTTGCATCTAGGTCTATTTCATTGTATAAGTCAACAATGAATAAGGCAAATACATATCACTGGCTTCCCTGATTCATTTAGATTCCTTGCACTTTTAAAATCATCAATAATTCATATAGGGTTGAACTATCGAAGAATGAAAACGTTGCAAATGATGTGATAGAAGTTTTTATACTATTTAGCTTGGAAATATTGCTGATATAGTTTTAATGTGATTTTAGGAGATTAAATGTTCTACTGAGGAACTTTGATTATGTTCAATTTTCTATGATCTTTAACTTTCTGAAAAAGGTCGGGCTAAATTCTCATTGAGACGATGTTAAAAATCTTATTGTTGACTTCCTAAATGTTGAATTCTTTTGATTGTCATGAATTTAAGGTTCACACAAAATCTGAAGATCATCTACATGTAGTTTCAAACACAATCTGAATCTCATTGAGTTTGATGCGAAAGCAGTTTTACTTTAATCCAAAATAACAAATATGGTAAATCAATATGTGTCTATGGTAGATGCTAGCGTGTAGTCCAACCAGCACAAATGCTGCCATCTACCTATCCATTCATCAGTTTAGCACCTAATAAGGTCAGTACTCATGGTAAAGCTTTTGTACCTTGTCTATGGTAAAAATAAATCAAACAGAAATGTTAACTTGACACGATTGGTAATGCCCACCTTGAAGGGTGTAGGGATAAAGGGAAGGGTCAGGATAACACTGATATAAAATATTTAAAGTGTCTAATTATGATAATGAACATATTACAATGTTACATAACATAAGTAGATGCTAATTAAATGTCAATTGTTGTTAGTATAATATGTATTTTTCATTTAATGCTGCAACAAGTACACATGTACCAAAAAGTGCCACGCCCACTTTTCCCTAAAAGCAGCTATGTGTGACTATATTTGATAAATATTATTGATTTATAGGATCATTATCAACACTTTTCAGTGTTTAAATGTTAAAATATACATATTGATACAATTTTTGACAAAGTAGCAGCCATAAAATCCAAACAAATTTGCAAATATTTCACTTTGAGATCAAAAGGACACATTTGGGAGGGGGTCAAATTGAGAATATTTCAAGATATAAATACTGTTCCTATGGTAACCATATCAGTTAGAGATTGGAAATTTCTGGCACTTACTAACCATAACATGCCCTACCCAATATAAAACAATGAATATCTGACATGCATTAGTATTCTTTTTATTGGGTGGTATTAAAGTACCCCCATGGTTTTTTGGGGGTAGGGGTATAAATTGGTCTGAGGGCCATCTGCCACCCCTATGGAAAGTCCAACTACCCAGAAAGTGTCCAGTATAATCATACAGATGGTTTGAAATAGGTTGGTATGTGTAACCTTTCATGTAAGGAAGGAGTTACAACTATCATAGTGGGCCGTAGTCTATATGCACACATTCAAAATGTACAATTCTACCTTCAAGAAATCTACCATTACATTTATAATGAATTGTCGATGTTTACCTTGCAAATGTTTATTTCAAACCTGTTAAATAATATTAAGTAATTTGAGCTGGACTTTTTATCTATTTCTAAAGATTTCAACTCTGTTTATGTATTCTTTATATATAAAAGAAAATGTTCTTGTTCACAGTAGTGTACCTTAAAACGAAGAATGAATCCACGGCCAGCTGCGAATTTGTGAGTGCTCTGTTATTGTACTGACCTTGGTACACCGGAAGCAACCAAAAATTGTAATTTTCTGTAAATATTGATTGTCTATAGCTAATTAGTGTGTCTTTTAAAATAAGTATATCTGGACAATATATTAGCAAGCAATTTAATTTTCGAAAAACAATACCTTAAAAATCAAGAGAAAACGAAAACGAAATTAATTTCTAAAACATGAGGAAATAGAGATATAGGACTTAAAACAAAATTAAAACATCTGAGGTAAACGACTTAAAAAGTTAAAATGACTTTTGATTTACATCAAGCAGACGCCAATCTTCACCTCCGACGCTATATGTTTTGGTAACAGTGTACTGGTTTTGCAGATATATCCTTTGAAATCTTGTGCTCATCCCAATATTCTGCATTACATTTTGATTACGATAATGAATTAAATTATGAATCATATGGAACAATAAACTAAACTAAAAGAGAAGTAGAAACCAGAAGCTCGTCGTTAGCAAAAGTCGACCAGCTGGAATTATTACCGAGAGACTGGCCCGAAACTCCAATATAGATTCCTATTTGAAATGTATGCCCCAGTAGGATATACACCATGCTCAAGAATCGTATACAATTTAGTGCGAGATACGAGCCTTTGGGAGCATCAACACTCATCAGTTGCGGAAGATTGCTATACACTGAGAAGGCAAGAATGATTTGAATACCAACTCCTATAATTAAAAGAGAGGAGTATATACATGTTGACAAATCATATACAATTTAGGGCGAGATACGAGCCTTTGGGAGCATCAACACTTATCAGTTGGGGAAGATTGCTATACACAGAAAAGGCAAGAATGATTCGAATACTAACTCCTATAATATAAAGAGAATAGGATATGTTGACAAATCATATACAATTTAGGGCGAGATACGAGCCTTTGGGAGCATCAACACTCATCAGTTGGGGAAGATTGCTGTACACAGAAAAGGCAAGAATGATTCGAATACCAACTCCTATAATATAAAGAAAGTAGGATATACGATTTGTTGACAAATCATATACAATTTAGGGCGGGATACGAGCCTTTGGGAGCATCAACACTCATCAGTTGGGGAAGATTGCTGTACACTGAGAAGGCAAGAATGATTTGAATACCAACTCCTATAATATAAAGAGAGTAGGATATACGACATGTTGACAAATCATATACAATTTATGGCTAGATAAAACCTTTTGGGTCATCAACATCAAATATCTTTGCAATTGAAACAATCAGCATTTTGAAAGTTAAATGACAATGTAATATAATTTTTATTTAATTTATTTGGCTTAAATAATAATATAAGAATTGAAGGTATGCTGCGTTGCTTAGCAACACTCATCATTAGGTCGATATTTTCTCTGAAACCTGCACACGTTTTAGGCTTGAAATCTAATAAAAATGTTAATAAAACCTAGTTGATAGATGGGAAAATTGGGAAAAATGCCTTGACTATGTTGAATGTCATAGCAAACCATCGAAGATCATATCAATATCATGTAGAGTTAAAAATTGATTAACGATTTGATTATATCAGAAGAAGTACGAGGTCTTCAATGGTATCCATATAAATGTACTTGACACCAAATAGTAAGGAAATAGGGATGTAGCCTTCCTGGACCCATTAGGACCCACAAGGTCTTAATAGAGAGGTTAAGCAAGACGATTTTTTATGACGCGAACCGCAAACGTAAACCTTTACGTTCCCGTATACGTACTATGTGCAAACGTGCTTTAAGCTGAGCACTTTAGACGTAACGCAAACGCAAACCTCAAAATAATTTTTTTCTTTTTCTTAGCGGCGTTTCGTTTTATTTTCTACTTTAAAAGTATAAAAAGATTACTTTATTGACAAAGAAGATGTTTCACACCCTGGTAGTGTTCTATGACATCTTGAATCTTACAAAATACAAGTGGTCGCAATAATATCTTTTAAGCAAGTCTTCAAGGCATTCATAGTTTTATTACTATGGTGTCACAATATGGATGAGTTGACATGTGGGTAATTGCAATTGCATGTAATCTCATCAAATTTTACATATGGAATGGGTGCCTCAATATTCAAGTTATATTTGATTAGATTGGACACAAATGATCTCGATATATACACAGATTTGTGTCAAACATACTTATGTATTCGACCTATATCATATTTATCTCAATCGAACTTGATAAAGTATGAAAAATCCTTTACGGAACGACCTACCTAGACTTTGATTTTTCACGTTTGGATGTACGTAAACCGGGAAATAAGTAGAACAATATGACGTCACATCATGAGATAAACCTGCGCGCGCCTTCCCGTTCGCGGTTTACGTTGTAAAAAGTGGTGTTGCTTAACCTCTCTAATGTTAATTTTTGACGTGAACATTTATTTTACCTGGACTATATGGTTTTGGTTTGTGATTCGGAACATCAGCGGTCGCGATTTTTAAACTTCCGTTGCTGAGACCATTAGTTGCAGCATCGTCCTTTAGAGCATCAGAAGTCACGATTTTCAAACTTCCATTGTCAGCCCCATTGATAACAGAATGTTCTTTTCTATCATCGTCACCTTTCTGTGTGTAATAACTCCCGTTGATTTGATTTTCCGTAGTAAAACGTGTCGCTTGAGTGCCATGTTTATCATTTGAATCACCATATGCATGATTCACTTTGGCGCCTTTTGTGGTGGTTTCTTTGTATAGTTCAGCGTCTCTTTTGTGTCGTTTTCGTTGTAATGTGATGTAAAACATATCTATCAGTGTGGCGGCTAACACAATCGCAACAAAGATACTGATAATCCACCTGAAAATGTATATTCATAATTGATAATGGCAGCGTTCCCTGTATCATGTGTTTGATTACGAGATTCTTCGAGAAAAAGTCTGGAGATGTCGCCTTGTGTTGCTCAATCGGGAGGTTCGATGATATTTTCATAGTTAAAGTCTCGCAATATAATATTTCTTATCTTTGTTACAATAGAGAGAGCTGCACCATTCACTGTTATGACGGGGCCTTCACGATTCCACACTGTCAAATTTTACATGACTTTATGTTTTAGGTGTTATTTAGCGGTACATGAACTTTTGTTTAAAACAATAAAACAACAAGTTGTCAATATTCTAGTTTTTTTCCTAAAAATTTAAAAGGTTATAGAAATAGAAAGTCAGTTAAAATTTGCTATGGCGTCAAGGGTACTGCCGAACTTGGTTAAGGGTTCACAACCTGTGCTGTCCTTACCATGCTTTATCAATAAGAATGAAAACATATTGGCATCATTGGAACACTTCAACTTATCAACTGCCGTAAATTAAGAACAATCTTTGTGACAGTGTTACGATTTTCTTATCTAGCATTGCTAAATTAAGAACGTGAGGATCTTCTTGCAAAGCGGGCAAATTGAGTTTCTTGCCGTTACGTCATACTCATCTTTAAGACGATGTAGTGTAGCTGTGGTGCTGCATCTTAATGATCTCAAAAGCAATTGGCATGGCCTTAAGTGAGAGTTTTTAGTATTCAATAGTGTCACTTCTAATCAAAAGACATGAACAAATTTAAATCACTGAGAGGTAGCTGTCTAAAAAGACACACAATGTAAACATGGAACTCACAATGCTACAATAGCTCCAGGGTCGTCTTTGATAAATCCTCTGCCCGATGTGGGGTTTTCAACAGATGCAACATCAAATGACCTTTCTCCATCATTTAGCATTGTATGTACATCAGATGATGAGCAACTATCAGGGGCGCACACTCCGAAGGTAATAGTGAACTGAATAAAATGAAATGTTATATATACAGTATATAATATTTAGTAGGCCATAATTAATTAAAATAATTTGCAACATCTAGCTTTCACAAACCGCACAATTTAAAACATTTCAACAACTAGTACGTATAAGTATATAAAAATATTTTCAAAACTTGTTCACCAGAAAACATAGATCTCTAGCAATATGGACGCACAATTGTCAAGAGGAATGAACCAAAGACATACATCAAGAAAAGGAAACGCCAAAGAGTACACCAGTTATAAAGACAACAAACCCCAAGTATCCCAAACCATAGTCTAACGTGAAAAGAAACAATGTCGTATATTCCCACCCAATCACTCAAGTACGATAATCTCAATCTGAGACCTCAACAGTCAACACCCAGAATACTTCATTGATACTGGTTACGTATTGCAGTACATGCTAAAGAATACATTTAAAATAAAGACAATAACCATAACATGAAAACTTGTAGTCGATACTAGATATAGAATCCATGTAAGAAACCACATTCAGTCTCGAATATAATTTCAAGTTATCTTTAAAATAGACTTTTGTCGAAAATTAGGTGATTCTGTAATATTAAATATATTCACTACACAGAAGTACATTTTGGTATCCCTCAATAAATCCTATCCCATCTAAAGCATGTATGACAACTCGGTAGTACTGCGCCTTGAAGTTCGCACGTAGGCTAACATCTCGTCTGGGTATCCCGTCCTCCGTATACTCAGTATAGTTGAACACCTTGTTATCAACTTTCAGGGACATACAAAGGTCATAGTCTCCATTCCAAAACCCTTTGCCGCTTGTAATACCTGCTGGTGGAACTGCATCGGCATCAAGCACTACAAAATGGATGTCTTACAAGTAAAGTTAAACACATTGTTATCGACTTTCAGGAACATACAAAGGTCATATATAGTCTCCATTCCAAAACCCTTTGCCACTTGCAATACCCGCTGGTGGAACTGCATCGGCATCAAGCACTACAAAAAGAATGTCTTACAAGTAGTTAAACACCTTGTTATCGACTTTCAGAGACAAGGTTATAGTCTCCATTCCAAAACCCTTTGCCGCTTGCTATACCCGCTGGTGGAACTGCATCGGCATCAAGCACTACAAAAAGGATGTCTTACAAGTAGTTAAACACCTTGTTATCGACTTTCAGAGACATACATAGGTTATAGTCTCCATTCCAAAACCCTTTGCCGCTTGCTATATCCGCTTGTGGAACAGCATCGGTATCAAGCACTACGAACAATTCTTAAAAGTAAAGTTAAACATTTTGTTATCCACTTTTAAGGACATACAAAGACCATAGTCTCGATTCCAAAACCCCTTGCCGCTTGCAATACCCGCTGGTGGAACTGCATCGGGATCGAGTACTAACAAAAAGGATGTAAAACATGAAAATCCTTTAGATCGATATACAAATGATTTTCGGTGTTTTCAAATCATGTTACAGAGTGACACAAAAATACAGCCCTTTACTTTTTGAACACAATACACCACTGTTTCATTTTAACCATTTTGTCATGTCATTAAACATGATATTAATTCAATGTCATTCAGTCATCTTAATTAATAAAATTATTATTATAAAACATATACATACTGTAAATGATTTCTCGAGGTACCGATTGATTGGTGAATATTGGTGTCGGTGAATTGTTAAGCACTGCCAAATAGAACTGAAAATCCGACCAACATTTTGGTGTTATCGACGTTATGTTCGTTATATTACTCCCGAGAAATAAGGTACCCGGGACAGATTTAAAAGTATCGACGATTTCTGTAAGCCAGAGTGACTTTTGTGCCTCCGTAGAATAGAAACATATCCCAAGTAGACAGGCGAATTTGATGAATATCCGTAGCGGGTCCATCGCAGAGCAGTTGTCTGCAGTACTATAGGTGCTTGTTTATATCACATAGGTCCAGAACTTGAAGGGTAATATACTGTATAGGATAAGTATATTTACGAAGCACATATATATATCATGTCAGAGTGATTGTGTCATTCTAAAGTCAAAAATTAACTGTATTCTCAAGTAACAAAAGTTAAGTAAAAATGAAGATTGTGCTAAAAGATATACAGTTGAGAGGTTAAGCTTTGCATATATAATCGAAACTGAACCTGTACGTATCACTCGACCATATACAAATTCATGTAGCCTTCTCATATAAATAGCCGTTCAAATCCAGTGTTTGTTTAGACTACACCATAGCGTGTAATGATTCTATAGTATGTCATTGATGCGGTTTTATAGCTGGTTTTCTAATACATATTTTAAACGAGCTCATTTCGTAAGATTTTTGGCGCTAAATCATGCATGACATACATCATCGTGTTCAGCAAGAATTCAGCTGTGCATCGAAATCAAAATTGACAGCATAGTGTTCAATAGACACTAGTAAAATGGTTCCCGTTGACCCAACGTCAAATTTCAAAATCTCCCGTTCTAAACCCGAAACTATGAAGCTGAAAGAGTATCTGAAGTAGACTAAGCGCGCATAAAACTATGAGCGCTCGATACATTCCTTTGTTAATTTTTTGTACTTTGCGTTCACGGTTACGTTGTGAAAAACATCGTTAGCTTAACCTCTCCAGTTACGGATATTCACGTTGAAAGGTTAAGATCTAATCCGAATATACCCTTTGAATTTTATATATTATTTCTGATTCATAATCAGCCATATACACTTAACACGTTTAGATTAAGTTTATTTACGAAGCACATGTATATATCATGTCAGAGTGATTGTGTCAGTCTAAAGCCAAAAATTAATTGTATTCTCAAGTAACAAAACTTAAGTAAAATGAGGATTGCGCAAAATGATATGCAGTTACGGATATTCACATTGAAAGGTTAAGATCTAATCCGAATATACCCTTTGAATTTTAGATATTATTTCTGATTCATAATCAGCCATATACACTTAACACGTTTAGATTAAGTTTATTTACGAAGCACATGTATATATCATGTCAGAGTGATTGTGTCAGTCTCAAGTCAAAAATTAATTGTATTCTCATGTAACAAAACTAAAGTAAAAATGAGGATTGCGCAAAAAGATATACAGTTACGGATATTCACGTTGAAAGGTTAAGATCTAATCCGAATATACCCTTTGAATTTTAGATATTATTTCTGATTCATAATCAGCCATATACACTTAATACGTTTAGATTAAGTTTATTTACGAAGCACATGTATATATCATGTCAGAGTGATCGTGTCATAGTGCAGTCAGTAAGCACTTTAATTGCACTTGCTATATGTACGTCACCATTTTTTGACCAAAGTATTATTAATACATATATTTTTGATATCTATCGAAGTGGTGTTAAAAAGTAGCCTCAGTGGATAATAACAGGGCTCGAAAATTGTGCATGTTTCCATTGAGTTCAATGTTAATTTATCAATCTTCAAAAGATCCCCTGCAGAGGAGTTCAAGAACAATATAGTCAATCATCCTAGTATGTAACCGTGACTTAAATGTCCTCAAAATAAGAAGGGTTACAAGCTGGATTTTGTCTAGTTCCAAAGATATTGGTGTTTGAATTTTGGAAAATTCCCATTGACAGCCATTATAAACTACTCTCAATACGGCCTTATAATTTTTCCAAAATTCCACGATGGAATTTTTTGATATTGCAGATATCTACATTGGCTGCCATTATACACTGCTATATACATGGATTTACGAATAAAGTGTATTTTTTCCAAAAGTCCACTATGAAATTTTCTGATTCATAGAAATAGGAAAGCTGCAATATCAGAGAAATTCATATTGGGGAAAGGACACTTTAGTAAAAGCATATTGATATCAGTCTATAATGGCAGTCAATGAAGACATTTTTAGGAATGTGCCTGTTTGGTTTTTAAAAAGTAAATATATCAACTATAGAAATCTGCAATATCAGAAAATTCCAGAGTTGACTTTTAGAAAAAATGGCACTTTATCAGTAAAGCTATGTTGACAGCAGTTTATAATGGCAGCCAATGGGAGTTTTCATGTGCAACTTAATGGCTAGATATATTAAAAATCAAAAATGTAAGAAATGTGCCTGTTTGATTTTTTAAAAGACAATATATCGGCTACAGAAATCTGCAATATCAGAAAATTCCAAAGTGAACTTTTGGAAAAAATGACCCTTTAGTAAAGCCATATTGATAGTAGTTTATAATGGCTGTCAATGGGGATTTCCCAAAATTCAATCGTCAATATCTTTTGAACTAGATAAAATCCAACTTGTAACCCTTCTTATTTTGAAGACATTCAAGTTATAATTACATACTAGTAAGATTACCTTTATTGCTCTTGAACTGTTCTGCAGGGGGTCTTTTGAAGATTGATAAATTAACATGGGACTCAATGGAGTTTTCGTGAGCAACTTAATAACTAAATATATAAAAAATGATTTTTTTAGAAATGTGCCTGTTTGGTTTTTTGAAAGTCAATATATTGGCTGTAGAATCTGCAACATCAGAAAATTCCATAGTGGACTTTTGGAGAAAATGACCCTTTAGTAAAGCCATATTGAGAGTAGTCAATGGGAATTTTCCAAATTCAAACACCAATATATTTTGAACTAGACAAAATCTAGCTTGTAACCCTTCTTATTTTGAAGGCATTTGAGTCATGGTTACATCCTAGGAAGATTGACTTTATTGCTCTTGAACTGTTTTGCAGGGGGTCTTTTGAAGATTGATAAATTAACATGGGGCTCAATGGAAACATGCAAAATTCTCGAAGCCTGTTACTATCCACTGGGGCCACTTTTTGACACCACTTCGGTGGATTTCATAAATATATGTAATAATAATACTTGGTGCCGTATATATAGCAAGTGCAATTCAAGGGTTTTATTGTCATAACTGACTGCACTATCAGTCTCAAGTCAAAAATTAATTGTATTCTCAAGTAACAAAACTTAAGTAAAAATGAGGATTGCGCAAAAAGATATACAGTAAAGGTAAAGATCTAATCCGAATATAGTAGCCCACGAGATAAAAGAAAATAATTATAACCATTAAACGTCACCCTTAAAGGTCGAGGAGAATGTCATTGCGATCCTAAATCAAAATTTGCTTTTAATTTCTGTAGCCTTATAAATATTGCTCCAGTTTAAAAAGTTGAAGGTATGATAATACGATAATGATTAAAACATTATCACGGTACAATTGTGATTTTAGCAAAATATTTAACCAAAGAGTTAATTTAACCCATTGAATTTAAGATATTATTTCTGATTCATATACCTGTGTTTTGCCATAATATTGACTTTGATAGACAAACATGCTATGTTAATTAAGTGTATAGGGCTGTATGAATCAGAAATGATATCTAAAATCTTAATGTAATAGTTACAATTATTGTCCCATAAGGTTTTAGAAATATTCTCTCTCACGTTTAATGCACAGTCACTTGCATTCAACCCATTGACGATACAGTACTCTGAAGCCATCTGGAAAACTTGTTAGAAGGGCAATCTTGACTGCAAAAAGCTGTTTCATTGTTCCACAAAGTGCATCTCTTAGCTGATCCTTCATCCTAGTGAAAACAGCAAAATCAAAGGATTGTCTCATCTGGAGAGTATGTAACTTGGGACAGCTTTGCCATCTATTTTACCAGCTATTTGTGATGGTTTCTTGCACAATATGGCAGTGCGATCGGCTGCATCATCCTGGTGGAAAATTTTAGAATTGAATGGTTAAGTTTTAATCAACTTACCATATAGCATTACTCTTTGTTGATTTTCTGGCCTTCTGGTTAAGCATTGATTAGCAGGATTTCAGTGATGTTCATGAAAACAATGAACACCAATTTTCCCTCAGAATATTTGTAATTTAAATAAGAACAAATAAGGATAGGAATCCTTCATTTGCACATATTGATAGATTTCTGTAATGGTAAATTGTGTGACGTAAAAAGTGATCTTTAATTTCAAGTTTTTTTCTTGGATGATTCTTAGTTAAAAATAAGATGAATGAAAATATGAACATTTTAATTTTGGAGCAGGTGATGATCATGGGTGTAGTTGGGACACTCGTAGAAATATTGCAACTTTTCTCTAAGGAAAATACAGCTAAGTTTTAATTGGTTGATCCAAATAGTGTGACTTGTCTCATTGATTAACCCAGATAGGTCGTTGTTATCTGTTTGACCCAAAGAGGGAGTCCTCATCTTGTTGACCAACTTGCAGAGTTTTACAATTTCCTGGTTATCCACTGCCCTAGGAAACCCACTTAAACTTTTACATTTGATTGACCAAATTGGCCATTTTTGTGGCCACAGACCCAGTTACAAGTAGCTACTTTTGGTCAGTGACCGAATTGAAAAGTTTCTAACTCTTATTGCAGACTTTCCAACTTTCACCTGGGGAGCACATCTTATAGACAAAGCAAACGTATAGACTCCTCTATATTTACGTCTTATGTTTAGATCAAGATATCAGTTATAGTTAAATAAACCCCAGGGTTTTCATCATTTTTAAAGACAAGCGATTGTTTATAACGAGAATGTAAGGAATCCTAGTTTTGAATATCATGTTGTAAACGAGGATTGTTTCTTTAATACGGTTTATTTCAAGAACTTTAAAATCACAAAATAAATCTAGTATGATCATATAATGATGTGCATAAGTTTTGTGCATGCTTAAAATATAAAACAAGATCGACCAAACTTGCAAGCTGTGTATTTCTTTCTTCTCGATTAACAATACAGCATATATGTTCAGATGGTGAACTGTAAAGTTTTTTGCTTTCTTCATATCAGTTATTTCTTCAGCAATTGTTTTTATTTTCCATGAGTTCAGAAAAGTATCATTGTTGTAATATCACTATCAAAGCAGGTTATGTTCAGTTCATCAGTAAAAATTCGATTCCTCTTCTTTCTCCTTCAAACAAGTTTTCCTCCTTCTCTACCCTTTGAGATGAAAAAGCAGCCACCTACGAGAAGCAATGCAATCAAAAGAACCCCAGAGATGACCCCAAGCGCAATAGTAGCGTTCCTGAAACGAATTTTCTCAGGATCTTCACCTGGTCTCTGGGTTGTTGCTGTAGCTCTTGTTGTGCTTGGTCCAACAGTTGTGCTCGTATCTGGAGTAAAGTGAATGTGTGTTAGGATAAATGGATTACTTTATTGTATGGATTGAGTTAAGGAGTCATTACCTTTGAAGCAAAATTCGAACATGACTGTATTCACGCTTTCTATAAACTGTAAACAAAGTCAACATTTCAACCGGGATATATTCGCGAAGAATACTCCTGGTAATAACCCTGCTCTTCGGTCTATATTTCTTAATTAACAAGTGTTTGATACAAAATATCTCACTTCTCTGAAATATGTTAAATGCAGATATACAGATACATAAGGGTGATATAAAAATTGAAACACTACAACAGATGAATGTGCATGTGTTTTGCATGCGATGTACATGCGGTGTGCACGTGCTGTCTATGCAATGTGCATGTGTTTTGCATGCGATGTACATGAGGTGTACATGTACTGTCTATGCAATGTACATGTGTTTTGCATGCGATGTACATGAGGTGTGCATATGCTGCCTATGCAATGTGCATGTGTTTTTCATGCGATGTACATGAGGTGTGCATATGCTGTCTATGCAATGTGCATGTGTTTTGCATGGGATGTACATGAGGTGTGCATGTGCTGTCTATGCAATGTGCATGTGTTTTGCATGCGATGTACATGCGGTGTGCATATGCTGTCTATGCAATGTGCCCATGTATACCTACCATTTGTGACAGTCCTGTTGATCAGATAAGGAAGGTAATCTAGATAAAATGCATACTCGTGAGATCTATAATTCTCTTTGTTACCATAGTCTCTATCAAACCACATATAGTTCCTCTTGTCAAGTCTGTACGCCTCCCAAGTTACATCATGCGTTGGCCCAGAAACTGGACTTGGACTAGGGTTGCTGGAAATATTAGATAGTTAATGATAAGAACCTGAATATATTATCTAATTTTTATAAAGTCCATTTAGATATATTGCTTGGTCTGCGGTAGTTGACCAAATTGTCGTTAAAAACGGGAATTTAAATGGCATAAATTCGTGTGAATGTTAAAATATCATGTTCTTTGAAGGGCTCATGTCACATATAACATGGATTATTGAGTACCATGTGCACGTGGAAGTAAGAAACCGACTCACATGTCATGGAATATCTGGCGGTATCCAATGTTAATCTTAACAACCGTTGAATACTAATATCTAGCGATTCAAAGAATTCATTTTCGTTCAGTGTAATTCAAAATGGCAGACGAGAAAAATTTAAATGCATAGCTTCAATCATACCTGTATTTTGCAAAGTTTGTGAACATTGTTATTACCATGTCAGCATAACCTCTGTCTTCAGCAGTCCAGTTGATGAAAGTGTTGACCAGGGAATGATTCAAAACCGGGACGGGTTCCTCTTTAAGTAATGGATGTCCCCACACATATGGTAGCTCGCATATGTGAATACACCCTTAAAATTATAATGACAGCATAGTATTACATTTCTCTGTATAAGCTTGGCTACCCTTAGTTCTCATTGGAGCCTATACGTAGTTCGGACATTCATGATTTCGATGATTTTTCATATTGCTAAACATATATGTACAGGCTTAAATAAGTGAATCAGAAGGGGACTTCCGATAGGGAATGTATACGAATAAACCGTTAACCATTACATATATGTGGGAGGCTATAGTGAGAATGACAAAAAGTTTTTTGCGGGTGACAAGTTTTTTGGTTGAAAGAACAAATGCGACAACTTGACCATGGCATCATCCTAAATGGAACAAGATATGGACATCAGATATAATGTAATCAATACAATTGGTTAGAAAAGTATGTTACACACTTTACCGACGCCGACATAGAACGTTGATCACAAAAACGGTTGCTCTAAGAAAACGTCACCATTTCATGATGGTTACAAAAATACACATTACAAGGACCAGTCTTTTAATCTGACGTGAGTATTATCATTTTAAGGTATGATTTCTAGTGTTTCGTCCAGTGATTATTTCCCATTCATGCAAAAGGCAATCTCTAACAGCCTTGTCATTCTTATGGATCTTACATTATATTGGAAAATGTTGACATAAATGGTGGTGCAATTCCAAATCTCTTAAAATTGTTAGAAACAAGACTCTTAGAGATTTTGAGAAACTTACCTAGCCAAGATAAAAATCCTAGTCTTATAGAACTGCTGATGAATCTAAAGTTGTATTGATAGACACTCTCGTTGTTAACCTGCCCATGGCTACGCAGATGCATGATCTGCCCAAGTCCAAACGATGCATCAGTTGCAATCTTGAAAACAACAAGGGAAATATCAATACCTGGGTAGTCGTTTTCGTTCAGTGTATAAGCAGTATATAATCATGTTCCTAGATATTTCCAAATCAATGAAAATGTCAACATGTCAGCATTAATTGTTGAGAAATAGGAATTGAAACCAGTGATAGTTTTTTCCTGAAAACCATTGTGAATAAGTGTATTTTATGGAGTATGGCAACGGCTTTGCGAATGGTTGTTGACCCTTAAAACCTTAGACCCTTTGGACTTTGAGGCTGGGTTTTGTCTATCCATATAACTTGAGACTGGATGCTCTATCTTGTATGAGTAATTGTCTCTACATTACTACTATCATTTTCTAATTTCTTCTTCAACATCAACATGTATTGTAATGACTTCAGTATGAATGAAATCCCTTGCTTTTCTGGTCTTGGATTGTGATATTGATTCTTGAATGTTGGGGGAAAGGGGGTATTAAACATTGTTTCTTTTTACGTAAGATCATGATTTTTGGGAAATATGGGGTTTGTTTTTCTTATGACAGATTTTCATTTATTTGGAAATGAATTTTGAGAATGGGAAATGTCTTGCAACATGATTATATACACTGAACGAAAACGACTACCCAGGTATTGACATTTTGCACTTAGAGTTTGCCATTTCTTGCAAGGTTCCATAACAACTTTTGGTACTCTCCCTTTAGCACTTAGATATCAAAATATTGAAATCCGTGATACCTGTACTATCTTGTCTCTATTTCCATTGCGGTTATTGGGATGTGGCCAATTTGAAAATTCAAAACGCACAGCTTGAAATATGGCTTCTTTATCACTATTTTGTGGAGCAAGTACGTCTATTCTTTCTCGCATTATATCTTCATATTCCTCTTGGTTCGGGCCGTCAAACCACATTTCAGGGATACCTAAAAATGTTAATGGAGGCTCCAGTTTATAAAACATTTTTCAGGATTGGAGATGAAGACATTGATTTAAAACGAACAATTTGCAATCGTCTCAACTATTCTTTAAATGGAAAAGTTGTTATTGTGATAAATGAGGCTAGAAAAAATGTTGTAATTACGACACCAAGCAACAACGTATAGAGAGGTGTCAGATCATTTTGGTCTTCTCATTGACCACGATGTGTGTTTGTTTAATCTATATTTCCTCCAAACTATGGAGAGTTAAACATTATACATGACATATAAATACAAAACAATATAATATACAATAACGAAAATAACAGCACTACATTATATTTTATGATACATTTGCATGAGTAAATATAAAAACCTCACTATTACAAATTATATCAATTTATGGATATGTTCTAATTTAAAAATGTATTTTACATATGCTTAATATGCTTGGCACAAAGAGTGATAAATTTTCCCATTGAATTTGATCAATATTATAGTGGGACGATCTGTATTCTTTGTCGGGAGAACTATGTCCTTGCTGGGGAAAACTATTTTATTGGTAGAGAGAACGATGTACTTTGTCGAGGTACTTGTCTTTGGTCGTAAGAACTATTGTTCTGGTCGGAAGAATTGTGCACTTGGTCGGTAAAAACTTCTTTATGTCCTTTCCCAAATATGGTTTCTCATTATCTGCCTATATTGTCAGAACTCAGACATATTTTACAAACATAGTTACGTAGCCTTTAAATTTATGTTATAGTACATTATGGAAGCAACATTTATTTGATTATTTGTATATTTTATGAATAAATATAATAAATATCTCACCGAGTGCCCACAATGAACCATCTTCTGTTGTGATTCCACCAATGATTGGAACATTTGCAAAATCATTTTTAGCCCTTAGATTCACCGGATGGTCTTTCAGTATTGAAGATGGTGTATGTCGGCCATCAACATGCAATCCAAAGTATGCAGGGGGCTAAAATGCATTGTTTGGTGTTAAAATGCATTGTTTGGTGCTAAAATGCAATGTTTGGTTGGTGATCATTATGAAGTGTTATTTTGCAAAGTATCATAACTTGTTTACATCTAGCTACTTTATTATCATACTAGCAAATAGTCTTCGCTTCAAGAGTTTTGTTTTGTTTAATGTTGACGCAGCATTTGAACTTCATTTTGAAAAAATATTCTTCTAAAAAAGAAGAATGAAAAAAGTAACGAAAATATCTTAAATAGCAGGTGACAGAATTTGGTTTCAGAGAATATGAAAAATATATAGGTTCCCGTAATTACCATTCCTTCATCTGGATCCTGATAGGCCTCGAACATCATCAAGGTTGTGTTGAGATCTGTGGAATTGCGAAGGAAATCAACCATACCCCTGGTGTCATTTGGGACATCCCAGCCATATCTGTAATCATCTGTATTGTATATAGGTCGGTATCCACAAACCAACACAATTATAATTAGTTCATTTAGAAAATTCTTTCATCTTTTCAGAGGTCCAAGTCTTAGAAAAGGTTTTTATTACCAATATTCGGCAGTCTCGTAGTAGCCCCATGGCCAAAAATTTATTCAAAATCATGCAGTAAACCACTTTGAACATTTTCAATTGGTACTGGGCCAAAATTGTCAAATGTGAACCCCAACTTTGATTCTTTTAAACTGAACCCTTTTGACAAGAACTGACGGGCCTGTTTGTCATGATGCGATTGAACCTTAAGGTTAATATTATGGCCATCTTACTGATGTCTAAGAGTGGCGGCATAGTTCATTGCTGAGCGCCTGATTTCCCCTGTTGTAGAGCTCACCCAATATGCACTCCCACTTTGCAGAATTGCCCTATGGAACAGACCTAAAAGCACACAATACTGAAATAACCATCAATGTTTTTTCACCTCACAGTCCTTGGACAAAGCAACAAACTAAACAAAGGTGTCGAATGTTAATCATTTCATTTTGGGAGTAAATATTTATAAAAAAATCACAATCTTTGTAAGCATATCTACGACTGATACATAGTTTTGTGGACGTTTTTGGGGATGGAATACACTAGGTAGAATGTCCTATTTCGTACCTCTTGCCTGTTCTGATAGAATCAGCATATCAACATTTGCTGCACCCGCACTTTGACCTATGAGAGTGACATTGTTTGGGTCGCCTCCAAAGTTATGTATGTTATCTCTCACCCACTCCAAGCCAAGAACCTTGACATTAAGAATTTTAATGGGTTCAGTGTTGTTTATAAACAAGTGATGTCACAACTTCACAAGTAATTAATTAAAATGCTTACGCATGTCACAAGTAATTTCGACTACACATGCTACATGTCACAAGCACTTTAATTCAGCTTACGCATATTACATGTAATTTCAGCTTAGGCATGCGATGTTTGAGAATGGAAGGTGGCGACCTGTATCTTCATGGTGTAAAATTGATGAATATTGGCCCAGTGGTATGTGAAAGTGAAAGATTACAGAATATTGACTCCATATTCGTATCCGTCTGTATGTATATCATAACGTCTCTTAATATTGGTATCTTTTGGCCAAAGTTGAATCACATTAATGTTAAGTTTTATTTTAACTTTAATTCAATGTCAACGATAAACAGTAATTTAACCTTAAACCATGACTTCTTGATAAGTTGATATGTAGACGATTATTTTGATGAAAACAAGCGCACATAACTAGCTCTATCAATATATGTTCAATTAAATTACACTCCCTCATTATTATGGCAACCAGAAGTTGTATTTATGATCATTTATCAAACTCTCTTTTGCGCTTTAATAGTTAATGAAAACACAGAATGAAATCCTGTGCTAAGGGCTGATGTGAAAAAATTAGTCCACCCCAGTGGGAATCGAACCCACGACCCCTCGCTTTCCGGATCATATTTTTCATTCATTTCCGAATTAGAGTAACAGGCTTTGATGAGTTATCCAATGAAAACCTCCGATTACCAAACTTATAGAGGGAGGTGTATGACAAAACTTATGGAGGGGAGTGTATTGCCAAACTTATGCAGGGGGGAGGTACTTACGCAATCCCATATTCCCCAATTGCCAGGAGCTGCAGAATCTTCCGTAGAAAAGTAACCTAAATTTGAGAAACGAAATGAATATTTGACATATGATAAAAGTATCAAACCGCACTATTATACCAGTTTATTTCATTTTATATGAAATATGTTAATGGATATTAAAGATCAACCACCAAGAGTTGCAATCGCATCTATCAGTATATATGTAATATGCTGTGGTGGGAAACGTGTGTTTGTTGACTATTTTATGCAGTTTTATAGTACTTTGCTATTATTAACCCTGGGATATATTTCGTTAAAACTATTTGAACTGATGAGAGGGAATCCTCGCTTTTGTGTGACGTTATCAAAAGTCATGTAGGAGAGCACAATGTTAAAATATCACAAGTTCTTATTCTATACTTACCAAACAGTCCTAATCTATAGTTGATTGAGACTACCACCGTGCCTTTTAATGCCAGGAAATACCCTGGATATTGAACATTTGCCCCTGCTGTGTTCCCTCCACCATGTATGTGGTACATTACGGGATAAGGACCCTCACTCATGTCCTAAAATTCATGGATATGCCACATGTCTTATCTGCATGTAAATGTCATCATTTTGTCATTTCATATATGTTTGGCTATGGGTAAGGAACTCAACTAATATTCTAAAACTGATTGTTATGACATCGCAACCAGTTTTGTCTGTATGTATGTTAATATCATTATATACGTTCATCAAAAATGATTGAGATTTACGAATTTTCGATTTATTTCTGAATCTTCTTCAGGTACCCTGAGTTTACCTTGAGATTACATGAAGAATATTTAAAAATAAATCGAAAGGACTAGGTTTAGTATGGCAAATGATTTTGACAGTCATATTTTTTCTCAATGAGCACTTTCTGAACATAAATACGGTGATTTTTCTTATTAAAACAATATATTTTCTTTCAATTGAAGTCCCCATGATAATAAAAATATCAATCCATGCTAACTAAGTAAACAACTTCTGAAAAGGGGGTCGGGATCGAAACGCGATAAAGTTAAAAAATACAAATTCCATGTTATTTTCCAATGGGGAAAGCTCATGCTATCCATTGTTTAGCATAATTTTGGACATCGAAAGTTGATAACTCCAAAGTCAGACTTTTAATCCATTGTACTTCTGAAGAAGTTTTAGAGTATACCCCTTGTTCAATAATCTTTTCATGATTGATATTTGGACCTGGTCCTTTGTAAATTTCAACCATTTTTGATGTTTTTAACACTTATTAACCTAGTTTTAATGTGCTAAAGAACAATCCAGATATCTTGCAGACAAAAAAGTGGGGAGCATATTTATTTGACACCCTGTATATTAAACTTGACATTTTAGTTAATACTACTTCGTGGTATTTTAACAGAGTGTCTGTTAATTGATGATTAACTATATTTCAACCAATAGAAAACAAGACACATTAAGATTTTTATCTAAAGTTCCCATTAATTTCACTGCAACGTGAAAAGGGTTATTCTCGGTTTGGAGAAAGAACTTCATCACTCTAATTGAGCGTTATCCCTGCTTCGGAAAAATTTGATAATATAGCTTTAAATGCCTTCTTTTGAAAAGTTATAATTTAATTTGGGTGATATTTCTAGATTTTTCATAAAAGTTATTAGCGCAGTACGCTGATGGACTTTTTTCTCCAAATCGAGACTAGTAGTCTATTGAATTGATGATTTGCGATCACCGAATGGATTCTGTCTTTTAGTGACGTCACAATTAGGTCACCCAGCTTTAGATGCTTGATTTTGAGAGATTATCTTCTATATTTCGTGCTTTATTGATTTATTTTTCACGAAAGCGTTCTATTTGACTAGATCAACATTCATGTTAAGCACATACCAAGTCTAAGGTCTTACTGACATGATTTAGATAGCGGTTTAGCGCCCCCCGATTTTGACAAAATCGGGGGGCGCTTATAGGCATCGATGTTTAGTATGAATTTCACCCAAACTTCGCATATATATAGACATACTCATGATCTAGTCAAATAGGCATACCTGGTAAATATCCGACCCATGGTTTTTATATAAGAAACGACAATATTTTTAGCTCAAAACTGCAACGTGTCCGCCATTTCGTGATTCCATCATGTCTAATATCATTTCTATATGACGTCATACCAATAAGACGAAATACGTGACAACAGTATCCATAAACAAAATTCCTGAATTCTGATCGCAAAAGGTCAATTGGTCTACTGCACCGTTATCCCTGCTTCGGACAATTGTGATATTTTTACATCTCTTTTTACTATTCATAATTTAATTTGGGTGATATTTCTATATTTTTCTTAAAAATAATTATTAGCCCAGGAGACTGTTCTCCAAACTGAGACTTGTCCTTTTATATATCAAAATTAATGTTTATAATTTATCATCGTAAGAAAGTTCAATGGTAGGCATTTTAAAGGGCACAAAAACAGACCAATGGTGACAAATTAGTTCAACTTTGCTCTCTATTTAAAAAAGTAGTTTTATAGGCTAACTTGAAGAGGTGTGGCTGTTTTCTAAGTTTTATAAATCGTAATTAAAACATCAGAGCATTGCCTTACATCGTAATGTGCAAATTTTTGAATGCCAAATTTAGAATAGATTTTTTTGAAAAATACGTCAAAATCTAAACCTTGATAAGTGTAACGCGATTTTAAAATAAGCTTACTAAGTCACTAGAGTTCTGTGAAAAATACGTCAAAATCTAAAACCTCGAAAAACGTTACACGAAAACAAGCTTACTAAGTCACAAAATGTAGAGAGAAATAATCAAAACACTCCAGGAGAGCAAGTCACGACAATCCAAGATAATGTTAAAAACGTCGTACTCACAGCAGGGCTATATATGTTCATATTGAGGCAATCTTCGTCATAATCGTCCCAATCCGGATGAGTAATAGCCATGAGAAACCCGGACTGTAAACACGCACTTCGGAACCGTGTAGCATCGAATGTCCCATTCCAAATATCGGGCTCTTCTGGTTTCTTATTATGGGAAATACATCAATTAAAAAAGAGATTAATTGAGTACGTTATTTAATTCAAACAGAAACTGTTCTCACTTATACTACCCGAAATAACTTACTTTTAATTAGACCTAACCATCTTCAGAAAATTTTGCCAACTTTCCGTTGTCAATAAAGGTGACCGAAACATTAAAATAGACAGATAACCATAGATAAAGAGAGAATAGTCTCAAACATCCAACATGTCATTTTTCGAACTATTACAAGAAAGGAACAAAATGTTGATCCAAACATCATCAGGTTTGATATACACTGCCCAATGAAGACATCCAGGTGCCAAACTTATGGAGGGGAGTGTATCTCCCTTTTACTCACCGCGAATCTCAAGCGCCCAATTGGTGGTTTTGCATAAGGAATACCAAGCCAAGTATGGACTTGCCTACCATCAGTTAAGTTCAATGTCTCCCCAAGAATCTTCCCATACTTTGTGTCCACCTCTATGCTCAAACATGGCGTCAAATATCCAAGAAACACTAGAGCGGATATCACTGTGACAATATGTGTGTGATACATTTTTAGCACTTGCGATTAACTTATCATTTATGACTTGGTCGTTCACCTACTTGGGCTAATTATGATTTGTATCAATTAAATTGATATAAATGAATGTTTTATCGAATGCTACTAACGAATTACATGAACGTAAACTCCCGTACCGTATTTCTCTAAAAATCTCACGAAGTTTTTTTTTCGTAAAATCTTCCGTATTTCTGCTGAAATCTCCAGTGTTTTTACTGATATCTCCCGTATTTTTGCTGAAATCTACCGCATTTTATTTCATTCTTAAGAAATGGTAAAAAGGAACAAAAAACAATTGCACTAAAAACAAAAAATGTTAACAAAAACAGTTATATAAAATATATATAAATTTTTTTCGCATTAAATTGTTGTCAATCAGTCAACAATACATAAAGGACCGAGTTTTTACAGAATGTTTTCAATGATTGGTTTAAGCACGCCTATGTGTTAAAAAGTAGTATATATGGAGTACGCATAATCAGTGCATGTCATACATATATAAATGAAAGGGGCAATACAGGGAGACATGCCGAGTACTAAAACAGCATTTATAGCGCAAATCGAGTCCTCATTTCAGTAAATACTTTAGTTCTAAATACTAATTTAGTACTAGTTTTGTACTATGAGTAATCGGCATATCTCCCTGTGTAGGAGATCCAATCTTCTTATCGATAGAATCACGTGATATAAACAAAGACAGAATCACATGTGGTAAAAAGGGAAAATATGTTGGAAAAGTAAATTTTGAACGTTAATACAATGCTCCAGGTAGCAACGCATCGTCTGTAATATTTCCAGGTAATTGTGTCTTCCGTTATCATGTAATCGCCTGTTTGTTAATTGTTTCTTAATAAAAAAAGAAATTGGATGGAGTCCGAAAAGATAAGTCGATCGCAAGTTTTTGTTTATTGTTAGAACTGAGACACGGAGTCATCTTTTTGGACATTTTTGATGAAGAAACTTCAACTTTATATTTAGACACAAACTTCAAAACGTAATTTACTATCAAAAATCTAAAATATAAAAACGAACAATTAATAAACATGGAACATTATTTTACATTGAATTACATTTAGTTGAATTCTTATATATTGAAATCCGCATCTCGTAACATGGTTCCTGCATAATACCTATCACACTAATTCTAAATACGTATCTTGATGGAGCTGCTATAATAAAAAAAAGTCAAGTTGGCATTTCGCTCTTGTCGCTAAGTTTGTCCATGAGCTGAAAAATTTACACGAATAAAATATCGATAATAAAAAGCAAACCGCCACGACCTAAATTGTAATATGTAATTTATTTCCTTCTGACACTAATCTTATATTTCATTTCAATTTAAAAAAAACAATTCATCATTTGATATTGATTTTGTAAAGATATACCATTGCGTCATTATGAATTCGTAAAAGAATTTAATAGACACTTTCATTTTGACACAAATAAAAATGTAAACCGTTACGACCTACATTTCTTATTTTTCAAATTGGATTTATATTGGGCCAGTGATACATGTCCAAAATACAGGCCTTTCTCATTTTCTAACCGTCCATAAATGTAAAACACCAAACATATGGTGGATCTTAGCTCAAGAGTTTCCAATAGGTTAAAAAAAGGATGTAGTCAAATTCCACTTAAATTGTAATCTACAGTGTATGTGGTAAAAGAACCTGAAACAATGGAACATTTCCTGGCTATGGAAATCAAGAGAAATCCGTTGGTATGGCAACTACAGTGTAAATGTGTCCTCAGCAATATCAACCTTTGGGAAGATGTGATTCTATTACTATAGAGGTTTTATTTTAATTGGGGATATAGCATTGTTCACTATTTTTTTATGTGTATTTTTATTCATGATTTCAATTTGTAACTTTATTATTGTAACTCTGGTGATTGGATGCATATAAATATACAATACAATACACGATGAAAACTGATTATAAAGTGGCTTTGAATTACAATATTAACTCAACGGTTGTGGTGTTAGATCTTTGCTTAAGAAATCAGGGTTTGTATCTTTATCATTAGTTGGGTTCTCAGGTGTTTTTTGCCATTGGCGTTTTTAAAACACACCGTGGTCTTTTCTTTTCTGAGACTTGGGTCTATTTACGAGGGGCGATTCAAAAGTAAGTTGACCGTTTCAAAATGTTAAATCCGTAAATTCTCAGAGAATGTGTGTTATCTATTTATACATTACAGTCGCCTTACTTTTAGATAACCCCTTGTATTTATCTAAAAAAATCATTTAGTTAAAACATAACTCTCAATTATCCGAAATCGTTTTAATTTATTCAAATCAATATACATTGGTACATTGTATGTTTTTTTTTGTTATATGTGTTAAAATGTACAAAGAGTACATTATTCACATAGCAGTTAAACCTAAAACTTGTTTATGTACATAATACATAGTATTCTTCATTTTGATTTCTCAAATAGTCATTTGCCATTAATGTACAGTCTAAATGAATATCATGTACATGTTAAAAATAATTGTCTTATTTTTATAATTATATTATATTAAAATGAGATCTTTGCTCTGTCAGATAAGTTTAACATGGAGCTATTAACATGTAGCCATTAACATGGATCCATTATTTACAGTTCTAGTTTTATTTCTTATGGTTAAATGGTAGCAAGTATTGTAAGGGAGTGTGTTTTGTTGACAAATCCATCAAATATATTGCTTTCACCAAATTAATGAAACATTCTCATTAAAATAGGATAATAATAAATATGATACGAATGTTTTGGATTATGAATATACCAGTACACCAAAGTTTTAGCCATTTAAAAATAAAATACATCCAAAGTTCCTAACCTTAATTGCACATTTTACATATTTATAGTGCAGTGATAATTTAGAATTGCACATTGTCTTTTTACAACTTTACAATTTCATCAAAAAGTATACATAGTACTTCAAAAATCCAGGAGAAAATTTCACCAATATAGAAAAAAATGCTTCTTTTTTTACCAGCACCCATGATATCGAGACAATTAGACTTGTGCAGAGTACACATCCCAAGCTATAAATGGAGGTGAAGTTACAGTCCACAATTTTGCCAACAATGTGTTGGGAATGGTGACCAATTATTTACAGTCTTGGAAAAATGAAGTTAGTTTGTTATGGTTTGCCCCTCTCCCCCAATCCTCTCATAAAGGAAACTTTAAATGTTGATTTGACTTTCACTTGAATATATTTTTTAAAAAATCAACATTTTTCAGAAAATCATAACGAAATGTAGTTTAACCCCTCTCTGTAACTCTAACTTGGACATGCTAATTGGTTAACACTCCTCATAATTGTGACTAAAATGGTGTTTTAGCACAAGTTCACACTCTATTCTCTAAATCAACAGCTTTTGACTGTAATATATACTCCATGTTGTTAAAAATAGTGGATAAGTCAATATTTTGAACAAAAATCTGTTACAAATATGCCAAATAAATTTTTGAAATATTTTGTTAAATCTGTGGTATTTTCCTTTTATAATTTTAGTATGTAAATCGGAAATATGCTGGTTTTATTCCTGTCCCCTACACGATTTCAAAGAAGATGTGTAAAATTTTACAAATTGGAGTAAATATTACAACAGCAGCCTGTGTCGTAGCATCACACATTTGATTGATTCATACATGTATGATAGACCTTTCCAATAAATCCTGCCCCCTATTTGTGAACCAAGGAAACTAAGGTATAATGGCTAGATTTATGAGGTCATACTTTACAGGCAGCAATGTTTGCAAATAAAATTGAAAGAAGTTTTTGAAAATTAGCAATATTTTAATCCTATTTCTGCACTGAAATTGTAAGAATGACATCATAACCAATAGATGGCATGAGTTACTGGATTGGTCTATTGTACATGTATATGTTACAACTAACAAAGGTAATTTTGGAGTCTCACCAAATTCCCTTAAAAACAATACAGAGAGAACCTTGCAGTACAACATGACTTTCCGTGTTAAATACTACCTGTTGTGCTTATTCCATGATATTTCTCTATGATTTTGCATTTTTAACATGGCCATTGATGTCATGCTAAATACATATAATACTCCAACAGTTTTCTTTCACATTTCCTACAACTGAACATCATCCTGGAGTTTTTCATTTAGACCAAAAATGCCAATTCTTCCCGAGCTATGGCATCTATTTCTACAAGCAGCACCACCTGGTGGAGGAAATTGCCTGGGCAAACAGCACCACCTGGTGGAGGAAATGACCTGGTTGGGCAGACATGGAATGAAATATTTGTCTTGAAAAACTTATTATTTATAATTTTCCATCTAGAATGATGCACTGTGTAGGAAATTGTTCAGCAGTTTATATCCCATACAAAAGTTTAAGGTTTAGGACTATTAGTCCTCATCTAGTTTGTTGTCCTGCACTTTCCTTTACAACAAAACCATTTAATAAACTGCATTTCGAAATACAAAATTCATAATTCAAATAATGTCTACTTAGATTTGTTCAAAACAAAACAGCTCAAACCAAGGAAACTGGTTTAAAAAGATACATAGAAAACATTTGTTTTGCGCACAAAAATATACAACTACATAAACCCTTCATTACATAGAGACAAACATTTGAATCATTTGTAAGCCTCAAATAGATCTCATTAAAATATTGGCAGAACCAAAGTCGTGACACTTGTGTGCCGTTATAAAAATACATTAAACTACTGAATACAGTCCTGTCAAAGTCCCTGTGATTCTTATACTGGTTTATAAGACCCCCTCTTGTGTAAACCTCTGGAGAATCTCTAAGGAAGAAAGCAGAGGTTTTGGTTATCACAATATGTAATCCCAGACCTGTCGCCAGCATTTGCTAGGGGGATGGGGGTTAGATTTAACAATTTTGGCCCAAAATCACTCGAAAAGTTTACGATTTTGAAAAAAATTTTGCCAAGGGGGACTTGATTCTCTCAATTTTTTATCTTCTTTTTTTATATAGAGAATTAATTATAGGTATTATTATTAAGGGGATGGTAGGGACTTAGACAAGACTTTACTCAATTAATTCTGAGATCTCTCAGGAGGGATTTCACAATTTGCATTGTTGATTGGATTTTTGAGTCTTCTGACCACGTCAATTTTAACAAATAACAGAAATAAGGATGCAATGGCATATACACATTTGGTTATCGTATACCATACATATAAAACGCAAAAATACCAAATAAGCTACATGTAGACTATAAATGAAATACCCATAATTCTTAGCATTTTGCGAAAACCATAGATTAATGAAAGCACTTTGTAATATTTAGCGACTATAACAAAATTTACAATTTTTAGATATATATCTAGATACCATATATGGTATTTAATGGTATCGAGATCTACGTCTATCTATACACAGCATTATCCCCGAGTTGAAAGAGTCCCATAAAACCCTTAAAACAACCCATTCTGGTTTAGAATACCCATGGAAATACTATTAAGCATAAAACATATATATTTCCATGGGGCACATTGAAGAGCATCATTAAAAAGTCTGTGGAATAGACTCCAAATCCCGACAGCACCTTCGTTGATTTAATTCCCCGTCGACACTTCTTTTTCCAGACAAATAGGCAGAATGGAATATTTTAAGGTAAGTCCAATACCCAATCAGGATCCTTGGAAGTGGTCCACCTATCAGACTATTTACAGCATAATGTATGATGAGCATTTACAATGAATGATTCGTGATGTGTTGCCATGGCAATGGGACGGTTGCTAGGCATTTGTACAATCTATTTCCACAATGTTTTTAGGTACATCAGCGAACTGGTAAACGAGCCGCTGTCCGTCCACCTTGTTTAAGATGCCACGTGCATAATAGTACCTGAAACACATAATAATATATAAGGTTGAGTACTTGAATATTCAGATAACAACATATATTTTTTCTGATAATCACATTTCACTTTTCTCTTGGCTACATATACATTGAATGCCAAAATTCTAAATTATGGAATGATGTTTTCAAATTTAGCTGTGAATCCAGTTTCATCTTGAATGTAAAACTACACATATACAGTGGTTTAACAGTATGTGCAGGCATTATTCTACCATAGAACATGGAGACAATGCCTTCTCATGGGTGGCTTGAACCAGTTTTATGAACATGGATGTTATTCAACTGTATTCAAGGCCTGAGAGTCGATTTCCTCTGCTAGCCTCATTTTGGACATCGGTGTATCGAACCTAACAGTAACTGAATAAATCTATCTATTAGAATATGTGGTCAAAAATCAAAGATGGCCCATACCTTAGCGCACGTCCCATAGTTTCATAGTTCATTTCTGGTTTATTTTTGTGAAGACCCCATAGCCTAGACACCGATTTGGAGTCTACTAGTTTGAAGATTCCCTTTTCACGATTGGTCCACTTTATGTAACGCGGGCAGTAGTCTCTGTTTTGTAACAGTTGTAAGAGAAATTCCCACAGATAGGTGGTGCTGCCTATAAATACAGAAAAATAAACATCAATATTATTTTCAACACTGTACTCAAAAATATCAGTTTTTAACTCCCGCTATGCTATTCTTAAATTTAAAGGACGTAAATTCACTCCTTTAAATGTCACAGTTAACAAACAAAAAAGGGTTTACATCCGTTTATATCAAAAATATATTTTTAAATTAAAAGTGGTATTTGATTCAACTTTAAGTGAAGACACTTGACCTTGATATGGGACATAAATGTCAATTTGTGCTGATGGTCTACATTCAGGACAATAAATGCCAACTAAATGTTTTGAACACTAAGCTTGATTATTGCCCTAAAGGTCAATTTTTAGTCTTGCATCATGTATATGAAACAGCCTATCTATAACCCCTACTTATAAATGTGAGGAGTGCTAGAAGGGGGGGGGGGAAGATTGATCAGCTTTGAAGTTATAAAATGGGAAAATTGAGTCCACATGTTTGTCCTAAAATCTTTAACTGCACTCAAGTTGGTCCTACATCAAAAATATATGGACTTTGAAATTTCTAATTTCTTGTTTTGAAAAGTTGTAAAACGTGATTCAAAACAATTACTAGTCGTATAAGATATTGAACTGAAGTGCAAATCTTATCTTGTAAAATGAGTTATGTGCACTTTTATAGAGTGGACGATAATCATGGAGCACTGAAGTACATTATGGGCATTTTCCAATTAAGTTGGTCCAAATGCCCATTTTTTCAAAAAAATTAAACTTCATTTGACCTTGAAAATGGTTTGTTACTTACTTTCCCTTTTCCTCTTCGGAGCGCTGGAAAATCCGACATCGGGATTTTTAGGTTTCCTTCCTGCAAATATACCAAAATAACATTTCTAAGCTTTTTTCTACGATATATCAATTGTATACATTAAGTATTACGAGATCTATTTTAGTTTTTTATTCCCTTCATTGTTTTTATGACACTGAAGAACAACACAAAGACGACTTAAGGAAACAGTAAATTCTCATCAGGAGCTCTAAATAAACTACAGAAAAAACTACTTTAGTTTTTATGTCTTGTATTTTAAACATTCAGGTTTGTATCTAGATAAAGAGAATTTGTTTTATACTGATTGTCATAAAACCGAAGCCCTCAACCAATAAAAGCCATATTCAGGGGTTTCACTAGAATTTCTCACAACAGGTTAAATCAATGAAAACAATAGGCAAAATTAATGGAAATCATAAATTTAACATGGAAAAGTCCCTACACTAAAAACAACGGGCGATTTTGTGAAAACAACAGGTGAAAATCGCCTTTGCCTGCTGCTAATGAAACCCCTGCATATTGTAAACAGGGAAGTGATCTCAAGTCAAGCCTCGTAAATGCAGGCACTTTTGCCATTTTCCTCATATCGCATTTAATTAATATACAACATAGATGTTCGATTTGATGAAATCAGTTATCATAAACCTTTCTATGCATTTTTAAACATAATTTGCATTCATTAGATAAATAAAAAATGTCAAAGTTAGAGCAGTCATTCAGGTGTTTAAGAGAGTAAAAGTCAGAAGTCTCAGATGAATTACAAACAACAGTATTATCATAATTATGAAGCAAAAATTTCCTTAACATTTTAGATTCATATTTAGAAGATGAACTTATACAACGCTTCATTTAGAGGAATATAACAGGGTTACAGATTGGCTCCATGGGTTTATATTGTTTTTTGGGCATTGTTTCTAGTTTTCCACCCTTGCAGTAACTAAACATACTAGTATTGTATACCATGTATATCATTAGACGAAAATCATTACTGATCATATTAAAACACAAAATACAATAGAAATTAGATTTTGAATTTCAGGTATTGATTTTTCTGTCTGCAAAGTCAAAACACTAGATTACACAATCAACTATTTCTGATAACGATTGATTAAAATTAATCTGCCTTAAAATGAGTTTAAACAATTTCTTTATGAGGAAAACTTTACAAAATAATTCATTGAAATTGAATTTAATTCTGTCTATTCCTGTATTATGCAAGCTACAATAAGGATGTAATAGATTCTCATTTTATGACGGCATTATTTCTCTGCCGGAGTCATGGCAAAGTAAATCACGGTAACTGGATCGTAAAATCGTCATAAATGATAAACACTGGTTCGATCAGAAACTTCCGCGTCTCGTCGACCCCTAGACAAAGGCAATGTGTAAACTTACAAACGATACAAAAATATCGATAAATAACTGTTATTGTTGACATGTTTAAAAATATCCCGTTTTTCATATATTTTTGTCATAAACTAATTTGCAACATTTTTTTCAAATAAGATAAAATTGCAATTTGAAAATGAGTCGGATGTTATTATCTTTATGTGGCTTTGTCAAGACAGATTTTATGAGTTCATCGTCTAGAAAAATATTCAGTATGTAATAAAACCCGTTCTTGTTTGAATATAAACCATAACATCTTCTCTAAAAATACTTCTTAAAAGGCAATAAAAGGGAAGATGAACTCAAAGTTCAAGATACAGCAATCTGTAGAAATATTTTTGAATGTGGATGGAAGTGACGTTCTCCTTGAGTAGTTTGTTTGTTATTTTGATGACAATTCCCTTGGTTATTTGATGTACGGCTAATTCAATATAAGTTCATACCAGGTATGATGGCGAATGACACGTAAAATCACATGAATTGTTCAATAAGTTACACAGGGTTAATCTTCTTTTGAGATCAGTTTAACTTTTAGTATTTTCATAATTGTTAGTGTTAATGGTGCAAAAGTACTTTATTTTTTTCATGATACAGTAAAACCTGTGTATAGTGAACATTTTTTTGCCGAAGAAAAATGTTCACTGTTAGTAGGTGTTCACTACAGCAAGGATTTGATTTCGCGGCATTTTGCCATATTATATAAAGAGACCAGATATTAAACAAGCCTAAATAGAGGAGAGAATAACTGATTTAATTTGTATTTTATACCTATGATAACCCATGAAACTTGCAACAAATTTTTGTTTTTTTTGTTGTGTTATACAAACTTACTTATTTTAGACTGCCTGAATGGTTCATCCTTTTATTGTCAAATTTTAATCTCTTTATAATTCTTTAAATAGTGGAATTCTTAACACATTTGAGTCAGTTAAAGGACTTCATTGAAATAATTAAACTACATGATGGAGTCAGTTAAGAGTGATCTTATAATTTTAACCTTATCTGGTTTTTAAAATGATGGAGATGAGAAAAAGACTTAGTTGGGACTTGGCAGATAGAGATAGAGGTAATAATAATTAACCAGATTATCTCCAATTAAGCAATCAATGCTTCTAGACACTGCTAAACACATATCCTGCCTAATAAAAACAAAGCTTGCTAAGAATTATAATTAGTCACACCTGTTTTAATACAAGAGATCAAAATCTCAAAATTGACCTTTTAATAATTATTTTTGACAGGTAATAAAAGCATAAACTGCTTAACTCTGATAAGGCAGTTGCAGAAAATCCGCAAGAAATCTTATGTATTAGATTCAATGTTCACTAGAGACAGGATAATTCAATTAAATTTGCCAAGATTTAATGTTCACTGTTCATAGTAGGTAGGTGTTCACTATAGGATTGTACTTTAACATGGGAGTCAATGGGAGAAAAATGTTTTGCCGAATAAAAACGTTCACAGTTGATAGGTGTTCACTAGAGAGATGTGTTCACTAACTCAGGTTTTACTGTATATCTTACTTTTGTGACCAATATACATTCGAAACGTTGTTTGAAATCAATTCCGCAGATACATTTCAAAAACGGACCCCTAAACAATTCAATGGGCTTAGATGAACTACGGCATGTGTTATTTTCAGGATTCAAAACTTACAGCTGCCGGACTGTCGATGGCAACCACTTTTCACTCTTGCAATAGAAAAATCTGTTGCCTATTCGGCAATGGACTGAATGTCCATATGTTCAATCATGGCAATCCTGGTTTCAACCCTTGTCATGAAATCTGTTTCTGTTTTACTGAAACATCAACTTACCTTTTTTGGACTTTACTCTGTTTGGAGAGGAGGGGGGAGAGATGCCCTGTGTATTATAGTGCTCCTCGCTACTTGGACTCAGGGGTACTCCAAGCATTTGACCACTGTTAGGCATGTACATGTGCTCTGGAAATACAAAAGTAAAAAATGTCAAATCATGAAATAGACACATTATGAAACATGACACATCATGATACAAGACATGTCATGATACAAGACACGTCATAACAAGACACATCATGAAACAAGACACATCATGAAACAAGACATGTCATGAAAGAGATGGCAAATTTTATTTCATATTTTGTCAATTAACTACTGAGTTCAGTAACATGGAGGACATGTTCCATCGAGACAATTATAGAATATGGTCACTGTGACTTGGGTGAATGAACTGTAATTTTTAAACAAAGGCACATTCACATCATACTAATAAAAATAGGTGTTTTAATATTTGTGAAAAAAATAGAAGGCTGAAGGTCAATTTAACCGCTTCTTTCAAATGAAACGGCTGAAAACTTTGGATAGACAATAATATGAACAAGAGTCTAGAAACAAAGTTGGGCTATAATTGGTAATTTTTTTTCTTGCAAATCTATTGATTTCATACATATAGCTTTTTACCCTTTTATGGCTTTTATCAGGATACAGTTTCTATTTTCTGTGTACATCTGCATTTTACATATTAAAAACATAACTTAGCTCATCGGTAAATGTCACACATAAAAACAACATAAAAATCGTCTACGATCTCAAATGTTAATAGAGTTGTCCGAATTCCAGTTCAATAAAGGAATTGTTTGTAAAATAATGGCCCCCAAGAGAGGAGTATGTCCTGGTTTAAATGAATAAATCTCTCCAAAACTCATGAGAATGAATAGTAATAGTTTTGACACATAATTGAACTGAGTGCAAGAAAGAATGATGCAGGTGATAATGAAAACGAGCTAAATGTAGCATTCAAGAAATGCAAAGTTTGATAATAAGCTTAGTTGACTGGAATATTCTATATGGCGTGTAGTTCATTATAAAGTAGGAGAGAATTATTTCAGTCTCATGGACACCCTCAAGAAATGCATCAAGTGCAACTTCTCCATTAATTATTAATTTAATGGGTATTGTTTTATTGAGTCTGTGCACTGCACTGCACAAGTGTGTGAAATATGATTTGGACATTGGACAAATGTTGGCCTTAAAAATAAGAATTTGTGCAGACAGTTTCAAAATATGTTGACAGATTTCATTGTCAATAATGTTTTGTCAATAAATTTTCAAGAGATCAACATCCTCCATCAAATCTACCAGGTACAAAATGCTTATTTCCAGATACTGTGCACTATTCTGTATTGTCTTTCAACATACTGCGTTACTATATTTTGATTCACTGTGCATGATACTGTATCTCCATCCCTCGTGACATTTCAAGAAAGCTTGTAGAATATTGAAGTCCGGGTCTAAATACATAAATCTATCTACGCCAAGGCTAAATCTGCAGTACATTCTAATTATTCCACCCCTGAGTGGACTACTTATTAAAACCTAAGTGCAAGTAGATAAATCAATGGAGCATTTAAACACTTATTTGTGAGAATGAACTCTTTATGAGTAAGCAATTGAAAAGCTCAGAATTAAGACCTGAAAAATGGGATTTGGTCATTTTAACGAAGCACATTATACACATTTAGACATTATAGGGCCAGTTTTGGGAATTTATTTGAGGCTATGAATGTCTTTGATATAATCAGATTCACCTGGTTATTTTGAAGCAGCTAGCTTAGATCAGTTTAAGAAATAACAACTTCATCTGTTTCATTTGAACTGCCGTGGCTTAACCAAAATGTGACTGGTCTTCATTCCTTGTAAATTTTGTGGAGGGATTTCTACTTAACTAAGTATACTTTTGTATGATTAACAATATATTTCTAAAAAATAAATCAATAATGTTTTCTTAGATATTTATTACCAAAAGTTGTGAGGCGGTCCTTTGGGGTAAACCCACTAAATACAAATACTTTGAACCATATGTATTCTTTCATGTTCAAATATATTCAATATTGACTTTTCATAATTCTTTAAAAAATGTGCCGATACATGAAATTACAAAGCAGGATGAAGAGATTATAAAAGATTATATAAGCTATGCATGTAAATGAGATGACAGATATATCAATAAAAAAGTTTAAAAAAAGAATTTTATGTGATTGTACCCATCCTCCAAAGCAGGTATCCAGAATCCGTACCTCTTTCTTCCCCCTGCTATAACCAATTTGGAAGTGCCCGATTAAACGGAATCACGTGATCTTATTATGCGCAATGACTTATACATGATTTCTGTCGCAGTGTTGCGACAGCCAATCATATTGCGAGTTCTTAATCGGGTAAATGCTAACTGCTTATCGCAGGGGGTAAAAAGAAAGAATATATTCTGGATTTTGAAGCCCTGTGATCGGAGGATGGATTGTACCAGACATTATATGAAATGAACTAAATGAGGAGAAGGTCATTTTCCCCATAAGACGCAATGCACCAGGATACTACTAGCGCTTAATTACAGCTTGGCATTCGATGTTGAATATATTGAATAACACTGAGATATTATAGAAGATTTATTCTTAAATCCTTGTCTGCAGTCATAAAAGCAAATGTCAGCATGCCATGTTAAATAAAATACAAAATAATTTTATGATCTCTAGAGATGAAGAATGTTTACTGCACCCATTGGAGATTTTTGGAAATAACTTTCATTCACCTCATTGGCATCCACTTAAAAATGAGAAAAATCATGGAATTTTGCTGAATTTGGCCGTCTTTGGCCAGATTTGTTGAAATTAGTATTTTGCACTCGTTTCATGAGAAGATCCGAGGTGAATACTAGTGCATATTTTTTAACTCAATATTTTGATTTAGCTTAAAACAGATTATTTTTAAATCTAAGAATATCTAGAAAGTATGTTTTTAAATAATATAGAGGAATTTTCCACTGATAACAATATCAGCAGTTTTAAAATAACTTAATCCGTAGATCTATCTGAAACATCTGATGTCATACATGTCAACAGAACTTTTAAGTATGAAAATGTGCCAACATTTTCCATGACAAGAAACTGTTACCCAAAGCATTCATGACAAAAAATTGCTGCTAATGATTGTTTATCAAAGAAAGGTCTTTAAAACAAACAACTTCTCATCTTCCAGATTTTCCTGTTTTAACTTCCTTGTCTGGGGAAACTTCCTGGTTTAAAGCACATAAAGTACAAATGTTAAATGTTTATATACAAACCAGTGAAGTTAAGAATCCGGAAGAAATGTACTTAATAAATAAAAACAAGTTGTTAGTTCCTTGTCTATTTAAAGGTTGCCTTAAGTTGAAAAATATGCAATGAAATATTTGTTAGTCTAGGGGGTCTCTGCTTTGTAAAGTCCTAACTCATGATCTGAATCTTCATAAGTAATTTTAAAAAATCAATGATGTTCTAGGAATCATCCATAAATAACAATAAAGAATAAGAGCACCACCTTTCTGTCCTGTATTAAGTCCTAATGTTGTCCCTAACATTCTCTCATAACACAAGTCCCATTGATCAAAGATGGCTATATGCAGCCCTGTCAATGGTAAACGCAACAGGTGGCAAAAATCCCCACAGCAGGAGGTAAGAAAACAGTCATGCTGTTTTATAGAAAACACATAAACCAGTTAAAATTGCACATTTGTGAAAAAAAGTAGATGGATTTTACTCCACATGTGGTGAAATTCACCGCCTGGTGCAGCGGTGCCTTCAACTGAAAGGGCCGTCTATATACTGTGTTACAGGAGATCAGTGTCCATGAGTGTCATTGCTTTTTTAATGATTTCAAGAGACAAATTAGGTTTGGTCAGTTCCTAATCCTTAGGGGTGTCTAACTGAATCTTAGGTGTGTCTAACTGAATCTTAGGTGTGTCTAACTGAATCTTAGGTGTGTCTAACTTAATTGTATGTATCTATCATGTATTAATACAGTTCCTTTGGTTTAAGAAAATGGGGAGGGGGGGGGGAATATATTTACCTGGCCTCATTGCAATGTGGGTGACTCCATTCTGGTAGTGGTGGGGGTAAGGCAGAGCTGGGGAGGTGGGGGAGGTTCCCTCAGGCTGGTGTTCCCCTCGTACAAACGGAGAAATGAAGGCTTGTGGACCACCTGAAATAACATTTCATAATATTCATTTCAAAACTGTTTCACTGCTAATATAAATAAGACGATACATATAAGATATATAACTGTACACGAGAAAACTGTTTTCATTCTCATCAATTCAAAAATTGTTCTCCAAAGTGTTAGCTTTTATTTCATTATTTGCTTGTTCCACTTACAGACAAGCTTTTATAAACGTATATCCACCATTCAAGCTACACTGAACTTGTAATGTCTTGTATGTTAAAAACATATGAATAATATATATCAATAATAAAAATATACAATAAACTAAATAGTATACTTCTTCAATATATATTTCACATAAGCCCAATAGCGCAGAATTTCAATCTGTGTGTCATTAACCAATAGAATATATGCACCTAGAAAACGTGATTAACGAGATTACAGTTCTACAAACATAGGATTGTTTTCATCCATTTAAAAGCTGATTAACCGACACCACATTTGCAGTAATAACTCAACGCCTACTTTCCGACCAATCATAATCAATTTCATATAGTGCTATAGCTGAACTACGTATTTGAAATTATGATTTAGCTAACGAAAAGTAATAATGAGTAGTCTTCCCATTAATTAAAGAATCCTGAGTAAGCCACAATTTATCAAATGAAAGATTCAAGATTTTTTACATTTTTATTGACGTGGGATAAGATTGCTAGATGATTCAATGGTAAAGTTGTCTATTTGAAGTCTATTTGTCACCATGTGCCATGTGTTTAATATTTACATAATCTGTCCAATCTGATATTAAGCTAGGCAGAGTATACTACTTTTTGTCACATTACATATGTATTTATGACGTTTTGCTTATATTCAGTTTAACTAATGTAAATTGATTTAATTTTGCATTAATTTGGCGTATTGGGCAAATTCTGATATTAGTGATGTAAGAGTGAAACATATAATATGACACAAAAACTAATTTACGGTAGCAAAAAATGTTCTTCAGTCTAATTATCTGAACTACCTTAATTCAACATTTTGATCTTAAAACAAGTGTAAATATTAGCCAAAGTTTCATTAAAAACTAAATGAAGAAGAAAACCCTATATAGAATCCAGAGTCATCAAGATAAAATATGTCTGAATGTAGCTTTTACATCCCATATAGAGAAACAATCTAAATATTCTACAGTAAAGCTGTATATCAGAACACCTCTGTAATCTGTACACCCCTTAATATGAACACTTTCTGTCCAAAATCTCCCACTGACTCCTTTGTTAAAGAAACATTGAAATGTGAACACCTGTTTTTCCCCAAAAATTTGGCTGTCTTGGTGGTGTTCAGATTAGAAAGGTTTTACAGTATATTCATGATCATCCCATATCAGCCTACATATTTTTGAGATAACATACCAACATACTGCCACTATTCATAGTTTTTTATAGGATATCTAAAGTCAAGTATTTCAACTAAATTTGATGAATGACTTTTTTAACTAGGCATATCCTGGTTTATATGGCAAGCAGCCAGTCTCCTTTTGAGACTTCATTTGGAGATGAAGTGAGGTGATGTCAACTGACATCAACTAACATGATGTCAGTTGAATATCTTGACGTGTTAAGTCTTCATAAAAATTAAATCAACTGCTTAATATTCTTGAATTAAGTCAAAGCAAACATATAAAATAAATAGTAAAATTAATAAAAACATAATCATTCATTTTCCAAAGTAATAAAATAGTCAGTGTCAGTGTTAATATTAACGAAAGTTCATTCTGATAAGGACACTTAAAAATATTTAATGTACTTGTAAAAATGTACAAAGTACTGAACATAGTTTTTACATCTAAAGTACATAATACTACTCCAGAGCATGATTCTCTTTTCAAAGTTCACTTCATGACCGTACAAGGATGAAAATCAGCCATAAAAACAAGATAAACAATGTCACGACATGTGACCTGTATGAATTGTATTGAAATAAAAATCATATCCTGAAGTAATCATGTGCTATATACATGTAGTATCTGATCGGCATAGTAATGAATGAATACAAAATGAATGAATATGAATGCATTTGAAATACAGTATGAGTACTTTCACATGTATTCATGTTTTTTATGCTTTATACTGAATTGAATAGAAGGAGCATTAAAATTGTATAAATATTGACATATACATGTATAAAAGTACAATAGATTTTTATTAATTGAAATTCAGGATTGTAGGTTCATGATCAATTACAATCAACTCTTAAACAAATGCTATGATCAGTCGAGTAGAACATCAACCTGTTATCCTACTTCCCTCGGGGAATAATCGCTGCCCAGGTCTTTTCATAAAATAATAATCAAGCTGACGACAATATTGTACCTTTTTTTAGGTATGATAAAAAGTTACAACAGGTAATGTTTTAAAAAACAATTACTGAATTGACAAATCAACAGTATTACTCTTTGCGTTAAGCCTTATACAAAACAAACCATTATGTTTATATCGTAGCAAAGATGAATTTAAATTAGCGATGGTCTAGAAATGTTGGTATTTAGTATTTAGCCCATGGGGCATTAAGACATATGACGGATTCACAATTAGTTCAATTAAGATAATTAACATTGAATTGAATTCAATTAAAGGTTGAGGAAGTGTTATGAGAGACCTTGCAGCTATGTAAGTGTGTTTGAAATACCTATCTAATTCAATGTTTTGATTGTGCACTTGTTCAAATCTTAAATAAGTCATGCCCCTGCCTACCCGCCCGCCCCATCCCCACCAAAGTGTGCAGCTATGTAAGTGTGTTTGAAATGCCAATCTAATTCAATGTTTTGATTATGGATCTCTTGTTGAAATCTGATCTGCTTCCCTAAAACTGCACCCACTTGAGAATTGCCTGCACCCACTCGAAAATACCCGCCCACCCACTTGCAACCTGGCAAGGCGATCACAATATAGCACAGTGCGATAACTTCACTTTATAGAATTTGAGAATATGCCACCCGAATAAGCAACATTATGAGAGATGTGGACATAAGTTATCTATCATTTAGAATATTTCAAAAAACTGTAAGGTGAAATCAACATGCACCTAGATGAGGAACGGAAAAATATGTGGGACCGATGTACAGAGAGAAATGTTATAGCTACCTTGAAGTCGCAGTAATTTAGCTGCTGTTTCATCGCTGCTGCCGCTACTGCTGGATTCTATATCTGATATTCCGCTATCTGCTGGACTTGGAGGTAACAGACCTGAAAGTAAAATAAAGTGAAGTTAGACACTATAACCATTATCAGAACATGATGTGTGATGTCACTATGATCTCCCCAGCATTAAAGCATGTGGGCACAGCATCCAAATGAGATTTTAAAAATGCACCCACTTGTAAATCCATATGCACCCACACGAAATCCATATGCACCCACTTGAAAATGAGAAAAATCATGAAAAATGGGCATATTTTACCGATTTTGATCTAAATTGTGAAAATGAAAATTTTGCATCCACTTGAGGAAAAAACTTTTGTAGAACAATGTGTCATAATAACTAGAACAGTTGATTACTGGTCTATTATGGGGTATTAATACTGGTCTATTATGGGGTATTAATACTGGTCTATTATGGGGTATGAACTAGTAAATTATTACAGAGACTAGGAAATGTAATGTCAGATTTTATTCTGAATGTAATGAAATTCCTGCTAATGACCCCTGGAGCAATAGATGTACGTATTTCACTATTTTTTTGTATCTGAAACTACAGGATTTGACACAGACACTTGTTTCAACTTAATTAAAAGGGATTATATCAAAATAACAATTTTTATAAATAAGATTGAGTCTCCCCGAACTGGAGCGAACTGACCTAAATAACAATGGTAACAAACTTACAAAAAGAACATTTAAAGCTATTGTTATTCATTTTGTCCAGTTTAACAAATACAGATTCTTATCCTGCCAAGATCATATAATTACTCTACAAACATTGATATATTGAAATACACATGCAATGATTCATTTCATTCTACTTTACAATAGTCGTTATATTTCATTGTGTCATGCTGGTGTTTAAAAAGTCGAAAATAATGGAACAAAAAGTGCATTACATCAATGACTCTGAGTTTAGTTATAAAAAAACAATGATAAAACATACCCTTACACTTAAGCTCTATATACAATAGTTCACACTTATTCACATTTATACTAATTCATTTTTTATACTAATTCACACTTATTCACATTTACACTAATTCACACTTATTCACATTCATACTAATTCATACTTATTCATATTTAAACTAATTCACACTTATTTATATTTATACTAATTCACACTTATTTACATTTACACTAATTTACACTTATTCACATTCACACTAATTCACAATCATTTATATTTACACTAATTCACATTTATTTACATTCACTAATCCCCACTTAAGCCAACCCACACTTATTCTATCACTTGATTTTCTCTTTTATGTTTGCATAAACTAACTCAGAGAGTGTTTATAAACAATAGTTTAAATTGAGTCTGGACACATTGGACCAACACCTTCATCTTTAACTTTAAAACGTGGGCATTAGCTACAGTGTTTACTAAACCTAGATCTATGAATGCTCTTTCATACAATAGTTGTCATAATATGATCTTTGTGTATTGATATTCTTTCACATTTATTATTCAATGGTGCAGTAATTTAAAATAACTTATCTCATTCAAAAACTAAATGAGTCAGATTTTACTAATTGATACTAAGGGTCAGAGGTCAGATTAATAAATAAAAATATTAAAAAACAACAGTTTATAGTTTAATTCCATTGAGAGTTGTCCCCCCACCTTCCTTCCTCTAAATGACTGTTACTGTTAATTTGTAAATGTCATGACAACCTCATATCAAAACCGTATATTTAAGAAAATATTTACTAGATCTAAACCACAGGAGTACATAAGAAACCAATCCTGGTACAAAACAATATACCCGATTATTTCCCACATTCCAATATTATACAAAACTATGCCTTATGACGCAATCGTTGATTTCACCCGACCCTCTACTTTAACATTGCGGAAACAGTTTGCCACTGGTAAAAAGACATCCTTTAACTAAATACTCTTAAATCCGAACTTGTTTTCAACTTGAGTAATTGGTTAAAGGGGTTTCCTGCTATTCCTTGAAGATCTCAAAGGGCTCATTCAATGACGCAACATATTATCAAAAACAACCCCCTAGTAAAATAATATCAAATACAATTGTATATCATAGTTTCAATTAGACTTCCCTTGATTAATAAATTCCTGATAGCGTTCATTTTTGAGACGACCTTGGGCAAAGGGGAAAAGGTGACTGCGGAAGTAGACGTCGATAATAGATTTCTTATACATTCATTTTTTTCACGAAACAATACTATACCATTGCTATGCTATTTTAAACTGATTTAAGCACTGAAATTGATAAAGAAACGCTACTATTCTAGAATATAATGCAATGGACAAAATACAATATGCCGAACAGCTATCAATATTTTGTTTTTCATAACCATCTTTCAAAAGTTAATTTCTAAACAGACACCCAAAACTCCTCCTAAATTTCACTCCGATATCAAATTTGAAGTTCACATATTGCCCTTTAAACTCATCATCTAAAATTAGGCGCAGACACGAGCGACATAGTAAAATCGACTTTTTGAAATCTGTATTGACAGAGCATGTCATAAAAATGGCTTTTGTTTGTATATCAAATGTTGATCAAGGGGGTGTAGTCGGATTTTATAAAAGTTTCTATTTACAATTCACAAAACAGGGTCAGTACATATTGACTTTCACCCAGTCTTGAAACCTCACGCTGATCCGAATCACTCCGGGCTATTTGCATAAAAAATTCTTACATCTAACTTAAATTTTTACGTGTTTATTAAATAATGTATCAAATCTACACCTGTTAGTTATTCTTTGTTAATAACATTTTTCGTCGCACCTTTTTTGCATTTTGAAATATTGACGACGTGATGTTTTCTGCCGGGCTCAATGATCAGGTAGCTTATTCAACGACTTCCCACTCAGATTTGACACTTAGCAATTTATATACTCATTAAACCTACATTTTCAATGAGATCTAATTTTTGAAATCGAATAATTGTTTTTTCATGTTTTTATTTTTGTTTCGTGCTTCATCAATAAATTTTATTACACTCATACTTAACTAGCTGTTTGAAAAACAAATACGTCTACTTGGAGTACTAAAAGTACAAGCTAACACATATAGGACAGCGTTGTTATATTTAATAATTTGATAGGTTTAAATCAATATAAATCATGAGTTTAGATCAGTGAGTTCATAAAACTGCAAGTCACTTGTTCAGCATTGTCAAAATACTTCCTCAACAGGCCACTAGTCCATTTGTTGTTTGTTTTTATCAAAACAAAACAAAACATAAGACAGTAAGAAAAGGCTGTGGCTAGTCTAAAACCACTTAGCCCCTGGACTAAAGTTGATGAACTTTTACCTATGCCTTGATCCCCTCCCCTTGATTACCATGCCAACAGGTAAAGGACGTATAGGGAAGAACCAAACTTAGATGGAACACTTAAAAAAATTGGTTTTAAATGACAACTACTTGTAAAGCATTGGTATCAAAGCTTAGTATATCTTTATCAAATGCAATCATTCAATTTGTTTTTTACATATCGTTAACAATAGTTTAAATTTGCTTCTTCATAACTTGAGAATATATCTATGATTACCTTTACCTTAAAGCCAAGAGGCTGAAAGAACAATTGAACAGAAGACAAGGAAAAGTCAAACTATTACAAAAAACAGATTACCCAAGGATAATTCAAAAGAAAAAAAAACACCAAAATTGAATATTTCCTCTAATCATATTTCACTTTTTTGATCTATGACTTCCTAAATCAGGCGCATCTAACCAAAACCACATTAGAACGAGACATACAGACAAAACCACAGAGGCATCGTGACAAAGCTCGTCTTTGTGTTGGAAAATGATGGTAGTTTCAGTTACAATAAGGATGTGACCCAGACTAGGAAAATTTCAAAATAACTCTAATTTCACTGCAACCTTCAACTCAAAGATATTCGATTTTAATCATACCGAAATCATCATTCATAAAATACTTTATTGCTAATGTACAAAACACAAAGGAAATTGTTAAGCATGAGGAAATTGTCTGAGTATGTGATATATTGAGTGAGTTAAAGAGTTTTGAGTAATTAGTGTTGTGAGTTGTATGTTTTGTTGAGTAATGAGTAGGCTACTTCGAATTAGTTTAAGAGTTGAGTCTTCTCTCTTAAGGACTCAATTTGAGTAACCCTTACTTCCCATTTCCAACCGTTGGATTTCACATCTCCAAGGAGACTAATCTTCATCTACTAGCCTGTTAACCTTAAACATTCTGAGTATATATAGTCATATTGAGTATATATTGGTAAATATAGTCATTTTGAGTATACATAGTCATATTGAGTATATATAGTCACTTGAGTATATATAGTCATTTTGAGTATATATAGTCATATTGAGTATATATAGTCATATTGCGTATATATAGTCATATTGAGCATATATAGTCATATTGAGTATATATTAGTAAATATAGTCATTTTGAGTATATATAGTCATATTAAGTATATACAGTCATATTGAGTATATATAGTCACATTGAGTATAGTCATTTTGAGTTATGAGTGATGAGTACCAAGGCCGCTGACCTCTAAAATCCAAACATTTGGTATTAAGCCATTTGTGGTACCATGTAGTTGTCTAAGATCAATTCACCAAAACTTGAAACCCCTCCTACACAAGAGCCACATCAGTCAAACCACAGGGTCCCGTGGAGTCTTTAATGTGCTTCATATGAGACAACAGACCTGTTCAACCAATGACGAACATTAACAATCTATTTATGCCTTGAACCATGGAATAATCTCCTATTTCACTGACCCTTATTGAATATTTTGATTTTAAGATTATTGATGAAGATTTTATATTCTTGCTACAAATCGCAGACATCAACAAGGTCAATGCACCTCGAATGATAATGCAACAGATGTACTTGTATATACAAATAGTATATAAAGCGCAAGCTATCAATTTTTAGAAAATTAATTTTTCAAAAGAATCCATGCCAAGATATTATTTCAATAACACGCATTATTAGTTTTCTCAAGGAAATGAGCAACAGCTGGTATCTCGCCGCTTTTATTTCTGGCGAGCTATTTCCTATTTTCCTGAACTTTGTTTGACATTGAATCTTTTTACTCAATGTTTAATAAACCACAGTAGTGATTCACCAGACAGAGGAGGTCAAAGGTCATGATGAGGTATTGATGAAAATGAGGAGGGTTTATGCTAATTAGACATGTGACCATAAACCATGGCTTCCCATTGGTCAAAATGTGGTCACATGCTTAGCATCTCAGGCAAATCTATAACTTGTTTGGAATGATGAGAAAGGAGTTTTGTTTGAAAACTATGAAAATGCAGGTGTCACAGATACAGTACTTATGAAACCTGAGACAATAAAAAAATCAGATATTTTTCACTCATATCTAAGAGAAGAAATCAGATATTTCACTCATATCTGAAGAAAATAGCATTAAGGAAAACACGAACAAAGTACAACAACATTCTGACTCATAAAAAAAAGCAAACTTCCATCATGTATAAATAGAATCCTTACTTACAAAAAGGATTCGAGAGTTCTCAAAGTTCATGCTTTTAAAGTTCATAATACGTACACATGATATAGAACAAGTGCTTCTCAAATGAAGGAATTCAGTTTGAAAAAACTGATTTCAAGTTTTATAGTTTTTCTTGACAAGTGCGTATAAGGTTTCAATGTACTCCCTAGTGCTACTGGTTGACGTCATCATGTCAAATACGCTAACCTTTCCTGTATTAAAAATATACACCTCCTATATCTAAACCATGCCATTCCTTATGGAAATTTATAAAACAACTTGGTTCTTCTGTCATCTTTATGATCATTCACCGAGCCTACTTCAAACTTAATCTATTTTTTCCCGTTAATTCAAATCTTTTGTTGTTTATTCGTAATCTAAAGTGAGACCACAGGATATTTTACGCCACAGGTATTGTATTTATAACACTCACTATAGTAAACATGATCTACTAATGGTTTCAATATGGTCTGATTTTTTTACAGGAACTGCTTGTCAAAATATATCAGTAAGCCTTTGTGAATGATTAGGTAAAGGAACAGGTCATATGTGCTGTTTTATAATTAGAAAAAAAATCTCAGAAACCTATTACTCAGACCCTAGATTATACTCCTACATGGAAAAGGTCCAAAATTGCCATTGATGAATCCTCGACAAGTGGAACACCTCACAAGTGGAACACTTTTAGAGGTATCAAAGTCTAAAGGTGTTCCACTTCGAACATTTAAATAGCCTCAAAAAGATTTTTTAATTTTTAATTTATACATGTCTATAGACATTGCTTCCTGTTTCAGCGTTGCTATTTTACTTTAGAAAACACAGGGCTCTCAGTTTTTGTCAAACGTGTCAAGGAGGTTGGTAAGGATGAAATCAAAAAAATGCCAACAGGATCTGAACATATTTGATAGCCTTTCACATTCAACTCAAGGGCATGATGTGCGTCATAAAGGTCTCCGGCAGTTTTGACAAAAGCCAACCTCTATTCATACTATTAATAAAAATGTGTGTATTTTAAGGGCTGAACGAGCAGCTATGAATACACGCATATTTGTGTAAACACATTAAAAAACATTTTCTTAAGAGTGTCATTAATAGGCTTCCTCCTACTAGGCCCAGTTCCTGGTCGTAACTACAAATAACCTGTGTAAAAAACATTACAGTGGGCATGTTATAAAATGAAAAGGAGAGAAGTATTCAGTTGGAGCTGACTTTAATGCACAATACAGACTTGTTTGGCAACATTCTGAAGTTTATATGTCACGTTAGAAAATTAAAAAAAATTGTCAAGTTTGAGAAATTGTGTAAAGTAAGCATGAACTTTGTGAATCTAGATTATGGGTTGCACATAATAACCCTATGTTGAATCCACATTCTTGATTAAACTTAACAGCATTTTTGTAACAATCTGTTAGATTTTGTTGTTTTTAAACAACATCCATAGGCCAATATGCAATTTAATTCACAACTTTATTCCTTAAATTCCATGGACTTTCACTCTATTTTATTTAATTAAATATTCAAATTATAATGATGATAATTTGTATACAAAAGATTTGTATTCTTAATGGCCATTACATAAACACACGCACTTGAATGGCAGTGAATGGGATACAAAAATGGCACGATTACCTTAAAATAACCTTACTAAAAGACCTCCAACATTCCTAATGGGTGGATAATAAATGGGTGGATAAATATTGAAAATAAAAATAATTATATGGCTGGAGACATGTAAACAAACCACTGAATGTACTTTACACACCAACTACCAATCCTTGGACTTTTCAAATAAAATCAATGCTTATCTTAAAATCAAGATTTTTTGGCCGATTTTTTCACTTTTAATTTATGATACACATCATTATGTATATTAGTACTATCCTATCAGGCTTATTTGCTTTAACCAATGAAACAAATATATGTTATTAAAAATATATTAATGTCAGAAATAATCAGTGAGTGCACTAAAATTTTGAGGTCATGACTAGTTTTTTAATGATAACAAAATAATGTTTACTAATTTTTTTGCTCTCTTGAGCTAATCTTAGAGATATGAAAACATCAGTTAGCTTCACATTTGTTCTTAAACTAATAGATATAAAGAAATGTATTGTATCAGACCACCTTTAAAAATGACCTCTAAACTTGCATATACATAGGTATTTAAGACATTTATTTTACATAATTTAAAGTGATATCTATATGCTAGACTTGCATCGAGCAACTGCACCCCTCCCTCCCTCTCTGTAACTACAAAACTAAATAGAAGGGGAATAGAGGGAGAAGGGGTATAGAGGGGGAGGGGGTATAGAGACATGATATATATTTTTAACTCCAAAACAATTCAATTCATTTTCTGATGATGATCAAGTTATATGGTCATACTCGAGCGCATCAACTGTCCCTCTATAAAACCAGGACTGTAAAAATAATGTATGAAACCGAATACTATCAAAAGAAAATGAAGAAGACACCCCAAGTCTGTATAAACAATACTAAAATACATACTCTGTTGCTGCTGTTGTTTTTCCATTAAGATCCCATGTAGGAAGGTTTTGGTTTCATTCAGTGAGTTTGGGGACTCCATACTCAATAAAGTCTCTGCTGCCACATGGTCACCATGTCTTTCTGTGATGTCACTATGTTTATGTGTGATGTCATCATGTGGCTTGTGTTCCTGCTGCTGTTCGCATGCGTCAACTGAAAATACAGAACAATTCAAAAATAAGACATACAGTTTCATATAAAATTTTTAATAAAAAAGCCTAAATAATTAATATCCAGAGAAAGCTCATCAATTATTTCACTCTTCAGTTGAAAACATAACGTAAATTCAAAATAAGATAAAATAAAATTCATCAAACAAAAGATTGACCATCATAATCTTAGACTGAGGGTCATAATAAATACCTAAGTCCATCTTATCCATCTTATATAACTTGTTTATATCATGTAACTTATTCCAAAACAGGAAATCTCATTTCCAAATTCTCAGTCTTTAACTCTAACCCCATATAAGCCACATAAAAAAACAACTGCAATTTAAACAATCATTTAATTCATTTTCTACACAAGCAATTTTTAATTTCAGAGTTTTTTAAGATCACAATTAAGCGTGGAGCCCCTTTAAGTAAAGCTATTTACATATAAATTTTCAGTTCTGTTTCCTTTATACATAAATTTTCGGTTCTGTGCCCCTTTAAGTGAAGCTATCTATACATAAATTTTTAGTTCTGTGCCCCCCTTTAAGTGAAGCTATTTAAACATAAATTTTTGGTTCTGTACCCCCTTAAGTGAAGCTATTTATACATATATTTTCAGTTCTGTGCCCCTTTAAGTGAAACTATTTATACATAAATTTTTAGTTTGTGCCCCTTTAAGTGAAGCTATCTATACATAAATTTTTAGTTCTGTGCCCCCCTTTAAGTGAAGCTATTTATATATAAATTTTTGGTTCTGTAGTACCCCCTTAAGTGAAGCTATTTATACATACATTTTCAGTTCTGTGCCCCTTTAAGTGAAGCTATTTATACATAAATGTTCTTTATGTTGTCCTTATGAGGACCAACCCTTGCTTACATTTCTGTTGCCAACTTTAACATCATAAATAGCACATAGTGTTTAGTTTACAGTTATGATATGTTTACAGTTTCTTGGCAAGAAGGAAACCCAACCAGGAAGTAAATATAATACACATAATTAAGTATGGTTACTTTCTACCATTAATGGCATACCTACAATGATAAGTAGTTCCTTTATACACATTGGATAAATCAATATACACTTTCTGAAGAGTTTTGTAATGTATTTATTTTCTTCCAATAATGTGTAATAACTTTTGTATCCCACTATTTCATTAGAAAACAATCTCACTTCTTAATTCGATTCAAAACAAAACTGTGAAATTGCTAGATAAATAAAAACCATAGTGTGAAACTAGGATCAAAATTCAAAATGCATATTATGAAATTAAAGTAATGAAGGTAAAGTATAACAGGAAAAAATTATTGATTTATTAAAAATAAAATCGAGTTCATTTTACTACTTTGAAGTTGACAGGAGCTAAATTTAGTTGAATTTGTAGAATTTTATTTAAAGGCATAATCTGACATAATACAATTGAGTATTGATGCGATTAGGATTATCTTATATTGCATTACACTCTTTATGACCCAGTGTACTTTCTGATTTTTTAGCGTTGGTTGTAAACATGTATCTAAACTTAGTGTGGGGTGGTAATGTTACAATGAACCCTGACATAAAAAATTCACACTGGTAACACTTATTCTACTTTATTTCTGTTAAAAACTTGAATGAACCCTGCAATTTGCAGATAACCATGCAGTATAGATGAGTGACTATACATGGGTGATTTTTTACACCCTTGTTCTACCCATCCATGTGCTTTAGTGCGTAAAAAAGCATCATTAGAATGTGTTTCCTTTCCAGGGTTAAAAAAATGTAAACATGCCAGACAGTTAAAAACATATGAGTTTTTGGCTCTTCTAGCTTATTTTACTACTATGATTACCATATGTTGTATTGTATTAAGATCCTGCTTATTTCAACTTATTTCAACCATATACATATATCATATTTGTGGGAAAAAGTACGTCTGAGAAGGTAGAGAGGGGAACTATTCAATGAGTAATATGGTTTTTCAAATTTATTCTAACACACGATGTGCTCCCAAATACAATATACACAAGGGCTTCCTTGAATTATGTTCTAATAAAACGATAAACTTAAAGATGTGAAATATCCAGTTTTTTATACTTTAACAGATAGAAAAATTGATGCAAGTATTTCCTTTAAGGACAAAGAATTCTTGCAGAAAATATAGTTCTTCAAAATAAATAAGTCATCAAGTAATTCACAATCATTAAAAATAATCCAGGCAGTAATACTGCAAATTGTTAATTTGCCATTTTTAACTATAACACAGATACAACTAAGTATTTTTTAAAAGTATGAAGTAATGCACACAAAAAGAAAACTTCTTGCTAAGGGCAAAGTAAGAAAAAAAGGAAACTAAAAATATTTCTTAACCAAGGAAACCTTGCAGCTCCCAGTTACCATAGCAACACTTAATATTTATCTACTTACAATTTGGGAACATTATTACACAGTATTTCAAGCTAGTCATGTTCTATTTTGAGATTTCTTTATGTTAAACGAAGAAAGGTTTTAGGCCCCTGGACAAGGTGTGATGTCTATACATCCATACATTAAAAAATAGGAAGCCTTCTTCAAATATAAAATATTTCATATGGCTTTTTACAATACAGCAAGGTTTTCAGTGCGTAACCTTCTTACAAAGTGATTGAATATAATAACCCCACACACCTGCTCTTTAAAAAAATGAGAGGAAAGTACTCATAAATACAATCAAACATTGTTATATCCCAACAAAGAGCATTCATATATAGAAACTTTCTTAACCACCTAGAATATAAAAAATGAGCTCACTCTTTACACCCAAAATTTGAATCAATTTTCTGAACCCCTTCTGATTTTGATTTAAGTATGTAAAATGATAGCTAAAATAAACATGTCTCTAATTACAATTTCTAACTTGTTTTTTTTTATTTTGTGGTTTGGATTGAAAAACTGAATTATTACTTCTATATGTTGTTTGGATTGAAAAACTGAATAATTACTAAGAATATGTGTTGTTTGGATTAAAAAACTGAATAATAACATAAAATATATCTTGTTTGGAAAACTGAATAATGACTTTTACTATATGTTGTTTGGATTGAAAAGCTGAATGATTATATAGAATATATGTTGTTTGGATTGAAAAACTGAATTATTATATAGAATATATGTTGTTTGGATTAAAAAACTGAATGATTATATAGAATATATGTTGTTTGGATTGAAAAACGGAATTATTACTTAGAATATATGTTGTTTGGATTGAAAAACTGAATTATTACTTACAATATCTTTTCATGATGGCTTTCTTGAATGAGCATTTATTGTTTGTTTGATCATCCGAGTCACTTTTCTGTGACTCAGAATCGTCGGAAAGTTCGCTACTGGATTCTTCTTCATGCTTGAGATCATTGTCATTGTTTGGAATATAAAAGTTCCGTGATTGGTCAATATTTAAGCCGTCCCGTGAAGGACTTAGTCGTGGATCAGTGCTACTAGAACTACTAAGTCTAAGTCTTTCTACGTGTAAATCTCGTAAACTGGCACTTAAGTCCCTTGTTTCTAAATTATTTAAAACGCCATCTTTTGGGTATATATCTGTTGGCGAGTTTTGATTGGATAATAGTCTAGGATGGCACAAATTTGCTGGGATCGTCATCCCAACTGGACTCTGGGGTGGTACCCCCATTGCGAACCCATAAGGATATAAGCCTGGGTGTGGTAGTCCATACAACATTGGGTTATGATGAAGGGGGTATACTCCTCCCATAATGCCTCCAGGGCTTGGAGGAAGACCAAGTCTCATTTTAGAGCTGGAGCCTTGAAAATCCATAGCAGCAGTAGAAATAGGAATGTACGGCAATGACATCATATTCGCAGCCATTTAGTCACAAAATCCCCAAAAAATCGTATTAAAACTTAATTTTCGTCGAGTTTTATAACAGTTCTATATAAAATTTGAGCAATATGTTTCTAACATAACTTTAGTCACAAAACTTCAAAGTCTAAAATAATTAAATCTAACTAAAAAACAGTTCATCTAGCATCCTCTATATATTCTCTACGTAATGTGTTAAGCATCCTATAGTATTGACCTAAGGTGGCCAATGGTCATATGCGAAAAGTCCTCTAAGGTCATACGGCAGTCACAACACTCCTCAGCCAGACCCTTTCTTTCAATCCTTGTCTATTTATGAATATGTGCTACTGCTGCGCTCGCTTTATCCTTACCAGGTCACACCCCTGCTGCACTTTCTATAGCACTTACAGCTGTGCTAGTCAATCTATACTACACAAACCTGAACACATGAATAACCTCTTTTGTGTTCTGTCTATCTTCTGATTCAATTCTCCGATTACAACCAGTTTATTTCATCGCCTCTTCGCTGACTTGAAGTATAACTCTCAGCTTTTTATAGTTCATTAAGTTAAATCCGTTTCTGATTTGCGAATAGTTGATTGATAATCCTTTTCAATTTGTCCAGTTGTGCCTTTTTTCTTCGTCCTTCAAAATTGAGTGAAGAACGCGTTATAAATTAAACTTAAGTCTGACTTCCTAAACATGTGTGTGCTGGTTGTAGTTTGCGAAGAAAATGATTGGCTGTCATCTAGTTATCAAGTAGTCGAAAATGCGGATCTAAATTCAGATATCAGTTGAACTTTGAACTTTAGATTACGTAGATCTGATAGACGTACACACACTGAAATTTTCAAGTTTCTTCCTCACCACGTCTGGCCTTCCTACTAAACTAGTGTTGTTTTTCAAGTGATTATACAGTGCATACATATACACCCGGATGTGTTCACTAGTCTGCTTAGTCTATACTACAGGCCTTTTAGTAGCAATGCCCTTGCTATGAGTTGTTTTTTAAGTTATAAATCAAATGTTTTTTAATAGCAATGATAAGCAATTTACATATGGAATTTTTTACAGGATTCCAACAAGTTTAATCAATTTAGATTAACTATTGATGCATTGATGTAGTAAGCTTGTTTTGTTGATAGCCGTTCATATTTATAAGGAGTGACCAGGTTAGAGA